CCTCCTCTCTCTCTCTCTCTCTCTCTCTCCCCCCCCCCGGGCAAACCCTCCTTTTTCCCCCCTATCTCTTACTTGTGGATGGAGAATGTGGGTTGCTAACTCTTGAGATAGACTTCCGCCTGCGCGCAATGACCTTCGACTCCGTACCTTGGGTCGTCACCATGAAAAAGTGCGAGCACTACTTCCCCACCATGGAACTCATCAAGGACCCGAGTGAACCTTGTGGCTGGCGCCGCGTCACCTACGAGAGCGGGAAGGTCTATCAAGGGGAGGGCCCAGATGGGGTCGTCCAGCCGGCTGGGGAGAGCACAGATATGGATGTTGATATGGGAGTTTGCGATATTTAACTCCCGAGGTGGGTAGTGTCGTGGGTGAAAAGTGAGATATAAGGGGAAGTGGTTAAGTAAAGCAAGCCAAACAAAAAAAAAATGTTATGGGTTCTCGATATAGGCGGATTGGATGGGGCATATCCGGGAAGGCATGCTCAAACTTAATGTATTTTGGGCTACCCTGTGACCTGGACGGAGGTAAGAAGAGGGCTGACATTGTATTCCCAGGACATGATTCAACAGGAGACGGGGAGAGGGGGGGCTCAATGACTCCATTAAAAACTAAATGATCCTCTAAAGAACGGTATATACGTGGAAGGAGAAAAGGGGGGGGGGGAGGGAATGTGATTGTAATACCTACTGTCAACGCAGTGTTTAGTATACCAGTGTGTGAGACTACTATTGGTAGTTGTATACATATCGTAGGCTGGGTGGATAGAGTGGTGTAATGGGATAGACAATGAATCTTATCGGTTCTGCACAATCAAGTGTCCCATCCAATTTCGTCCGTTCTACGGGCTAGGTGATATGAGATGAAGAGAGATGGTGGCGGTGATGCGCCTATGCCATTAGCTTTGCAGATCCCAAGACGATCTAGAGGTAAGGGAATCCAGCTTGTTACATACAGCGCACTAATCCTTATCTTTGGGGGGACAAGCCCCGAAGTGTAATATATTCCTAATACAACCTCTTACACTTCTCGTCTGTCTATATCTTCAGGCTCCAATACCTGCGCGAAAAGGTGTCTCTTCCTTCCCATTCCTCACAGCGGAATCCCCTCCATCAACTCCATCGTCCCCTCCCTCCCCACAGTGATGATCACGTGCCCAGGGTCTTGGTCATGAAGCCTGCTTCGCAGTAGGAGAAGTAGTACTACTCAAGGTTAGCAACTCATCAGTAAACTTACACAAAATCTTCCCATCCATCTAGAGCACCACAACATGATGTGGGCCTTGAGAAGGTTATGAGCTCACCTCCCACTTTCTCCTGAACACCTCGACATCCCCCTCCGTCCAATTCGGATTCTCCCTCGTCAGCGCCGGTTTGATCTTGCTGTCAAAATTGGCCAGGAACCGCTCCCTCCAGAGACGTAAGGTACGGGCGTAGTGTCCTCCGATATTCTCGATTCGCTCAATGATCAACGTCCCGGTCGATGCGGCAGTAATGTGGTTGATGAGCTGCGTCGTCGAGGGTAAATACCCGCCGGGGAAGATATAGCGGTTGATGAAGCTATTCTCGTCAGCATCTCACATACCAAGGACAGTTATGCAAGTAGTGACTTACTCCTCCCTTTTGGAATACTCTTCATGCCTTCCCTCGGGCATAACAATCCCCTGCAGCACCACAATCCCGCCCCTCCGCTTCACCAACGCATCCACCCTCTCGAAGAAGCCCCTGAGTCCCTTCTCCCCGACCGCCTCGATCATCTCGATTGAGACGACCTTGTCAAACCTCTCTTCCTCGCTCTCTGGCAGTTCCAGCTCGCGATAATCCATCAGTAGTACCTCGACCAAATGCCCCAGTTCTGCGTCAGCGATCTTTTGGTCGGTCCAAGCCTTCTGCTCGCGGGAGAGGGTTAGAGAAGTGACCCGACACCCGACAGTTTTTGCGGCGGTGATCGCAAAGCTGCCCCATCCAGAGCCAATTTCCAAGACGTGGTCAGTCGGTTTCAGCCGGGCAAGCGATATGATATGTTTAATTTTCCTGTCCTGCGCTTCCTCCAACGTCTCCTCCCTCCCAAGAGGGGGGTTCGCCTCCCAAATGGGACACGAATACGTCATATCCTTTGATAAGAATGCGGCGAAGAGCTCATTCCCCAGATCATAATGCCTCCTCACATCCCTCCTCGCCCTTGCCAACTCCCCCTTTTGTGTCCCCAGCAACTTGGTCACAACATCCCAGGCTTGTTTGACACCTCCTAGGAGACGGTTGAGCACTTGCGAGGGGAGTGTTGTGCCGTTGTGGAGGGTGTCGCGGTTCAGGATGAACAGGCGGAAGAAAGCAGTGAGGGAGGGCCGCACGTCGAGGTAAGAGAGGAGGTAGGACGAGGCAAACCCGTGGTCTGTTTGGAGGAGGAGGAGGGGGTAGACGGTGAGGGAGCGGATGATGAGGGTTGTGGTGGGGGGTTTGTGAAGATTGGTGGTCTTGGGGGCGTTGTCGGCGCCTGCTGTGGGCAAGGAGTCGTTGTTGTTGGGGGAAGCAGCGGGCGATGAATCTTCGTCGTGGGTGAGGCCGTTGTCGTTGACCTCGATATGAGGTTCATGACCTTCAAGACACGAGATGCGCCCATTGTTGTGACAGTGGCAGTCAACTTCTTCCCCATCCTCAATCGGCTGCCCAAAGACGTATTTCCTCCCCTCTGTCTGGTCAATCACAATCAGTGCACCCGTCTCGATATTGGACAGGCGCGAAAGGACGGCCATCTTGGCCAAGTCACAGATCGAGGTCCAGAGAAGGGCAGTCATGATTGCTGTTCGCTCGTGAAGCAGTCACTGATCAGTGGGTTATGTTGAAGGTTGAGGAGAACTGGACATTCAGTAGATGGGGGTGGGGGTAAAAGACAGGAAAGGACTGACAAGATTCGGGTCTTTGACGAGTGAATGACTGAAGGTATTTAAGAGGATGTTGTTTGTGATGTAGTGAATGGATGGTTTGGAGAGGGGAAATGGATTGATTGTCAGCTGCTTGGCTGGCGAAATATGAGAAGTGAGGCCAGTTCTTCAGGCGTGGTTGGATGATCTCTCGTGTGCTCTGGTTCAAGTTTTAGGGAACATGGTAAATTCTATGTTTGCTTCATCGCGAGTCAAAACGTGGCTCACGACTGGAGGGTGAAGGATTTGAAGAAAGAAGAGCAGATGTCAGCAAGATCACAGGTTCCTGCACGTCAAGATTGTACTGGTTGCTTGATTGCCGTTAGATAAGTCGACAATGAGCTTTGGTAGAGTGTTTGCTCCGGAGCAGGTCTCCATGTCAGATCGTGGAAGCCTAAACACAGTTACAATATTGCATGAAGTCTCCGTTTGTATGGCGTCTCTGGAGAAAGCCTTAATGATAACTGTCACAACGTTTGTTAATGAACGTAGTAATTGAGTCAGCATTCACTTCATTGATCCTTATTTATCACGGGAATATACGGTCAAGCAAGCAACAACATGTAAGCTCCCGGGTACCATACGCCGCAGTAATGATCACCAGTGAGTTGGAACTTATGCTTCGACTTGTCTTGGTCATTCAAGATTGAGGTTTGTTCGATTAGCCCTCTCACAGATGATACCTAGGAGATTCTCTTGCTAACTTCTATAAAAACAATATACAGCTGTAAAATTTCCTAGATTAAGAGATGAGTGGTCATCAGGGATAGCCTATGCCTGCGTTGCAATGAGAGCTGTTTATAGGGCAAGTTTTCGACTATGGATGGTGTCATAAATCCAAGCGACATGGTGGCGTAAAAACTGTCTCATTGAACTGGATTCCTGAGAAACGAATACTCAGAAAACCTGGGAGACCAGCCGGCTGAAATGCCCTTAGGTTTTTTATTTGCTCAATTTGGTTTTTAGTTTCCATCCCAACTCTTTCGTAAAAGTCAAATCGACGTCTTCTAGCACGTTGTCAAGTTGTTAAACCATATCCCACCTATCGCGCTTATAGCGGCAAATAGCCGCGGCTTACACTACCCTACTGTCACGACCGCTGTACATACGCGTAAAATTACAGCTTATTCCTGGGCCTGTCGCGCCAGTATGTGTTCCACATCCATGACAACTTTCGCGACGCGTCTTGATTTCGACATCATCTCATCTCACCGCCAGCTTCTGCTCCTCCTAAGACCTGGCTCCGCAACTCAGGAAGTGATCTCAACCAGATCAAGATGATAGCCACCGAAAAGCCCATTCTCACCATCAAGCCTGCATCCGGCACCTTCTCCAAGGCCACAGCTCACCTCCTCCCTTGCCGGATTCATTACGACGGACCAGTTGACCCTGTTGATCCGTTTTGGGACCCGAAAACCAATTCTAATGAGGGCAAGTCTTTTACTGGTTGCTTACGATCGTAACCTATTTTACTAACATTTGAGCAAAAGCGAATGGTGCCAATACGCAACAAACTCAAACAGCCTACTTCCGCGGGCGCAAACTCCTTGGCACACCGCTGTCCCTGCCTCAGAATTACCGTGGCGTGATTGCTGTGCCTACCGCTCCCGAAGATACCGCTAATAGCCAGCAAAGGAGACCAGAAGAGGAGCACATCGAAGTGATCGATCTCGACCCCGAACTGCTGCAGGGTAGTTTGGAAGCTCAAGCAGAATTCGACAAGCTGGTTGTCTGGGGGCATGAGACGACTGTTGATGGCGCGGCTGATCCTTATGTACGGGCAGTGGAGGAGTGGATTGTTTTGGCTGAGAAGGTACGTTTCGTCAGATTTTGTGACGGAGATTTTAGAACAAGGAGATGCTAACTTGAGGTGATAGATACACACCTTCGAGGGGCCTTCATCAGAGGAAAACAAGAAGTAAGGCTCCTGCTTTGCCATTTGCGTACGTAGTTAAACAATCAAGTCGACCCGCGGTGGTAGATGCCCGCGGCATGGATATGGCCGGTCAACCCTCAGCCGCTGGTGAGCCATGCCGACCGGGTAACCTGCCGGCATTAGGCATCAAGGTTTTGCCATTATCAGGACTTGATGCCAGTCGACTAGACGACGTGGAAGGACCCTGGTGTTAGATAGCTACCGGATCACTGCATCTAAACCAGGGGACACCGGAGACAAGAGACTCGCTCATCTCCCTCAGGTGTGGCCTAAGCAAGAAGTCAGCGTACAGGGTTAGAAACGAGGGTTAATCACGACAAGTATCTGCTTTATAGGTGCTGGCGAGCTATTTTCCCGGCAGGTTTACGTCAACAATGCCCATAACGAGATAGATATATTCTAGGCTATTGTTGATGTCATGTACGCTTCGACTACCTACGTAGTTCATGCCAAAATGTAACACCCTTCATCACGGATACACCAGAATTGACCATGCAATTTTCCCCCCAAGCTGCCCCTCCCCCTTCATGCGGGGAACAAGTACTCGATGTTAGAGCAAGCTGTGCCATTTGTTCCGCTGCAGTCTGCAGCTGGCTGCCCCGCTGTTGGAAGTGAAGACGGAGAAGATGCCTTGTATGGCCGGTAGTTACCTCGACGGCTAGCGCTGCACAAGTCAGGGCAAGGGGAGGGAGAGAGGTTGCGAGTGGATGAAGAGAACAGCATTGTGACCGACTGGCCTGCTTAACGTTCCGCATTCCCCTCGATCTCAACTTACATGGCAAACTGAGTAACGGAGGAGGAACTTTTAGGACAGGACATGCTCTCCAAGTGCCAGGTGTAACGTGGGATTTTCAGGCTCACCTGCGCCTGTATCTCTCGTGTTCTTCCTCCGCCCTATAGAAGCTAGAATTTATGCACGCATATATATGCCCGATGCACTACAGCCTCAAGTTCCCGACCAATGAAGGCAAACCTCCTTCGAAGTTTGGTTTCATTACGTTCCTTTGTCTGATTCGTCCTCCCTCAGTTCCTCGTTTTGAGTATTTTGCAGTACTACCTCCCGACCTACCAAAGGTTGTATACAAGATCCTAAGTAGCAAGCAACTTACCCACAACTTAACTTCTGACGCAAACTTGCGACACCGACCACATGCTTGTCAGCTATATATACGGGGAAGCTGTCTTCCCCTCATCTCTTTTCTCTTCGTCCCCTAGATGTCCAGTCTTTTTGCAGTACATCCAACTCAGCCAACGCAAGCCTTCCAATCTCTACCGTCCTCTTCTTTAGCAGGAGCAGGGGCAGCATGACCTCGTCGTCCTTGCTCAAAATGCCAGGTCTTGGGGATACATTAGCACAATCTGTCCCGCCACATATCACGATGGGCGACCCTACAGGGGAGTGGTATCCAAATCGAGTGAAATTCTGGTGCCGTCAACGCAGGTACCTCTGACAAGACTGACACTTATGATGCTAGCAAGACCAGCAATGCCACCTTGATTGAACATCTTTTTTCAACTCTTCTAATATGACACCTCGTCCATTATACCTTAAATGCTCCCGTTGTGCAACTTAGATCATCCATACTCGACCAGGACCCAGATGTCTCTAAGTTGATCTTAGCACGAATCCCTCAACTCCTGCTCTTGAAGCTGCTTGTATTCCCTTGCCATCCCGATCTTCGCCGTATCCGAATGAATCAGATCATCATCATCCTTCAATATCCTACCCAACACCCGTGCTAACCTCTTGATACCCTCCACAATGTTCTTCTTATCCTCCCACGAAAAACATAGCCTCACATTATTCCGAAACCCCCCATTCTTCTCATCCCCTTTCACCTCAAACAATGTCCCCGGCGCAATGATCAAGTTCTCTTCCTCCCTTGCCCTCTGGGCCAATCTCTCCGTGTCTATGGTCTCCGGGAACGTAAGCCACACAAAGTATCCTCCAAACACCGATACGTCGCCTGACACCCCGTTCGGCCCATTCCCGTTCCACACTTCAACTATATCTGGCAGCTCTTCTTTGATAGCCTTCATGATCAACTGATACCGCTCTTGCAGCGCCGGCTTGACCACACCGTCGATCCAGGCAGGCAATTCCCCGCTCTGAAGCATCTTGGCGAGGATCGCGGCTGCAAACTGGCTTGCTGCTCCCCCGCTGCGATTCGTCCCTGTCACGGAGAACCCGTGAACGAAGTCCTTCGTCCCATGGATCCAGCCCGTGCGCATCCCCGGCCCAGCCAGCTTGCTAAACGAGGCGTTGGAGATGGCATGGCCGAAGTGTTTACCAGGGGGGTCGTGTGGTGACCGGCCAAGGGCGATGTCGATCTGGGATAATGTCGGCAGCGGCCTTATATTGCGCTGCTTCATGTTTGTGGCGGAAATTTTGTCGGCGGTAGTCCACTGCAAAAAGTCATACACATCATCCGATATGATCAACGCGTCATGCTTCCTCGCCAGCTCAACCATCCTCCTCCTCTTCTCCACCGACATCGTCTTCCCCGATGGATTCGCCGAAGTAGCCACCAAATAAATCACATATCGATAAATCTTCCTATCCTTCCCAGGATTCTTATACCTCACCTCACCCACAAAATCCCCTGACCCCCTCCCATCCTCCCCCTCCAACAACCATCTCAACCTCTCCAAATCCATCCCATCCTCCTTGTCCTCCCTCACCGCATACAACCTCCCCACGAAACCCGCATCCTCAAAGATGGGGCACCCCAGGAAATAGCACGGCGCAGAAATGATGATCCCCCTTGTATACCCCGGATCGGTGAACGACTGTAAAACGCACGCAATACTCTGGCTCGCGCCGCCGGTAATTGCGAAGTTCTCTGCTTCCCAGACGTCCTTGATACTCGCGGAGCATTCCTCTTCGGAGGAGGAAAAAGTTCGTGGTTGCCCTGCCGACTCGAATTCATCAAGTGAGGGGTAAACCTTGCAAAGATACTCTGCCAATGCCTCACGGAGGGGTTGGTATCCTGGGTCTGGGGCGTATTGTAAAGCAGAGATGGCGATTGCAGGGTCGGAGAGGACTTCATTTGCTTTGGCTTGAATGAGGTGTGTGGGTAGGAGAGAGGGGGCGGGCCAGCCGCGGAGGAGATTGATGAGATGCTTGGTTTTGGTGGGTTGATGTTCATTCTTGAATTGCGAGGAAGGTCGGATTTCCGTCATGTTTGGGGTCATTTGTAAGGGCGGAGATGAGGGAAATAACTGGTTTGGTTTGAGTCGGGAGAGGTCGAGTGAAGACCACAGAGGTGAGGGGATGCGTGATGTTACGGGGAGGTGACGCCAGCGGGGGAAGGCTGGCCGAAGGAACATGTACTGCTTGGTGACTTAATCCACTGATTTCATGGGTTGAACTGTAAAAGTCTTCAACTTTAATTTGTTCAGCCACTCGCGGGTTTAACTTGATCGAAGATCTTAAGATTTCTGGAAGGGGTAGATGCTAGTGAAGCTGTGAGTTGAACAGTGAGGTGGGGCACGCTCCACATACCCTAACCCTGAATACACTTTTACCCCTGAATCTTCCAAGTCTCAGGGCAGCAGTTGAGAGAAGCTGTGAGGTGTTTTTTCTTGCTTGCTGTGGACTGTGTGGTGATGGCTGTGACTGGGAAAACATGGGATATGGTCCATCAAACTGCATTCTTATTTGTTCTTAGAGGTGTGTTTGACACCGTAAACTTCTATGCGCTGTGGACAGGAGCCAAATCCGATAGAGACTGTTGGCTAGTCACGACAACACTCCCCATCTTTCACACAAGCACAGACACAGAAACTTCATTTCCGTGCAGCCACATAGAGCCACGAGCTAGCTAGTAGGTAGGTGTGTGAGTTGGTAAAATAGACATCATCAATCACCATCGCCCTTTCTCTGTCCATCCATCGTTATGGATCCATCAATCATCGTGCAGCACTTGATGAAATGCTGGTCGACATACTCTATCGGCAGGCCTGGTTGATGTGTAATAGATATTTTTGGACTCTCCGGCATCCATCCGTCCATCAATATCCTCCTTTCATTCCTTTCCTGTCTCGACTGGTTGATCAGCTCAGACTGGCTTGGTCAAGTCCATCGACATCATGATATCCGTCTTTGTTTTCTGAGAATACCTTCTGGGGAAAGAGCCTGAAACTAAGAAGACCAGACCCATAAGAATTTTTCATCGTTGACCATGTCCATCAAACCAAGCCAGACTGCAGCCCACCAAGTCTAGCCATCACGCCGTATATCCCAGCGCGACATCATTACCGTCATCACACTTTAATTCTTCACCACCAGCAACCATTCACATCGTCACAAACGCTCCAATTTGCACCAAAGCAAAAAAAAAAAGCAAAGGAGAAAAGCAGATCAGAGAAAAAACGCCCAATTATGTTCATAGTCGCGACCTCTGTCAAAGTTTCTCTCCTTCACACCTCCAAAGCTCATCATCAGCTAATTGCTTGGCTGACCGTCATCTTCTCCACACCACAGTCGCAGTCCTGTGTAATATTACTTTCTCAATCATGTCCACGTCGCTGCCGTAAATACCAGACACGCGCTCGTCGTTTCGTTATGGCTTAACGCAGTGTATTGTGGTCCAAGAAAGATGGGGCCAGACCATTCCGCATTCTCCAACACCCTTCTATCACCTCCACAAGTTCATAGTTATGGTATTGCCCAGGCAGGGCATGTCGGGGCTTGGCAGCTTAAAGGCTACCAGCTACCGAGTATCTTTCGTTAGAAAAAAAAAGACTTCGAAAAAAAAAACCTGAGAAAACCAACAAAACGCGACATCTTGACAGCTAGTATCGCTGTTACTTGTCAAGCAAGTAGCAGCTTTCCATATCAGTATTGGTATTCTCATCTTACGCAGCATCTTCAACTCTGCACAGGCGCCGCCCCACGATTCCAATTCTCTCTACCGCGATATCCACCACGGCCATGGCCTCTGCTATGTGGCCCAGAGCCAGTATTTTGCTGGCCTCCATATGTATTCGACCCATCACGCGGGCCTCTGCTCTGTCTGGGCCCAGCACCGCTGTGTCTGCCTCCACGCGGGCCACCACCACGGCGAGGGTTGCTCCTGGTTCGACCAAATGGGACAGTAACCGTCTTCGGCTCAGCGCCAGGAATACGAATGTGCCAGACCGTACCTGCCCCCGAGACATCAGGAGGGAAACTAATCGGATCGGCGCTCGTAGCATGCGGCAGCAATTTCTTTGGAAGCGGCTCCGGCGGGGGACTCGGCTGCCAAGCCATCTCAGGGACGACGGTTGGCACGCGAACAACGGGAAGGGAGCCCATCTCCTGCTCTTCGAAGCATTCCTCGGCCATGGGTTTTGTGATGCGCGGTTCCTCTTCGGCGACAACTGCCTTTGCGGGTGCCTCGCGTTGCTGCTGCGAGGCACGGCTCAGGGGCTCAACGTGGGGAACGGGAACGGGTGCCTTAACGGGATGGGGAACCTTGCGATCACCAAGCAGGCTATCAATGCGGGCCTGCCACACGTTATCGGGCTTGCGGGTAGTCGTCGGTGCGGGCTCGGACTCCTGCGTTACTTGCTGCGACGTCCAAGCCTGCGGCTTCGGTTTCTCCGAAGCAGGTGTCAAACGCAGGGGTTCTCTAGCAGGGCCGGTCGGCGGGAGACGAACAACAGGACGGGGACCTGGTAGCGAGACATGGGGATGGCTGGCATCACCATCGAAAGCAGGATGACCCGGCATATCAGGTGGCGGAGGTGATGGAGACTTGGGCCGCACCTGTACTTCAGGAGCAACTGGATCGACAGGTTCCTGACGGACAGGGAAGAACCGAGATCCCCTCGCTGAAGAAGGAGCCGCTGTGGTACCCAAGAAAGAAGTGCTATACTCTGTCACGCTCGGGCCCGCCGGTGCTTGCTGAGCGACCGCGGGTTGCGATTGAGCAGTCGAGGCCCACGACTTGTCCTGGCCAATTTGGCGCGAGTGGGTGGTATCTGCCTCGATACGCCTGCCATTCTCATCAGTCTTGACTGGGCGCCAAGTATCCCGAACAATTGGTTGATTCAGCGAGCGACCGTCAGCCTGGGGACGACGCTCGGGCTCTTCGAACTGGGGCTTGAGCATTGCAGTAAACTTTTCGTCATTCAAACGGGCAGCGGCAGCCCAGGCGTTGCGGTTAACGTCGCGTTCTCGCTCTGCTTGAGGGAGTTGGTGCGACGGAGGACCAATCGGTGGTTGCCTGGCCGGCTGGGCTGGCATGCCCGGAGCCTGGCCAGTAAGGTTGCGAGCCCCGTTCGGAGGAGCGATCGGCCCAGGTCCAACGGGGGGCAAATGAGGCCCAAGGTCCGATGCGAAAGTGCCGTTGCCCAAGCTGCGGTTGTTTGGTGCGGCCCAGACGTTTTTGGTCTGAGGTTGAGGGCCCCAAGATACGGGCGGGAGTCGGTCACCGGGCCGGGGAGGCGGCGGTCCCCAAGGGTGATGAGAATGGGGTTGGCCCGGAACGCCGTGTGGGTGTGGGTGGGGCTCGAGATTGGTGTGTGATGAGAGAGGCTGTGGCTGCATACCGTTCGCAGACAGAGTAGGCTGCTTGGCGGGTTCTAGTGCAACAGTCGGGGGCATTGCTGTTGGTTGAGGTGCCGGCGGCTGTTCCGGTTGTGGGGGAGCAGACTGCTTGTGTGGCTGGATCTGTGTAGGCGCCGGCGTGGGAGCCGGAGCAGGAGTCGGTGCTGGAGGAGCCTGTGCCTGTTCCTTCGGGGAGTCATGTTGTGTAAGCGGCTTTTCCTTCTCTGGAGTGACCTTTTCGGCCTCTCTAGCAGCCCCCTCGGCTGCCTGCCTTTCTTCGACAGCCTTCTTCTCCGCGGCAGCTTTCTCGGCTGCAGCCTTCTCAGCGGCGGCTTTCTTCGCAGCCTCCTCAGCAGCCTTCCTTTGGCTCCTCGATTCTGGAGCCGGTCCGAGCGCCTCGAGTTTGGCACGGAGTCTCTCTCTGCGCGCAGCTTCTTCTCTTGCTTCTTCCTCCAAACGGCGGCGCCGGGCCTCTTCTCTCTTTTGGATCATCAGCTTCTTCTGAAGCTCGAAGTCCTCCTCGGTCACCACAACGGCAGAAGGCTGCAACGGAGACTGTTGCGGCGGTGCTGGCTGATAGGGAGTCGCGTGGGTAACACTAGGAGATGCTCTCGGGCCCCAAGAGCCTTGCCGCGGCCCACCATGGGGAGAGAAGCCACGGGGCGACATGGGGCTGAACCCAGGCCCCTCACTGCCGGCCGTCATTGAGCCACGGCGAGCCTGAATGAGTTCAGGAGGGGGCAAGGGGTGCTCGGGCCCACGGTACCTCCAGCTACCACTACCACCGCTAACCGTGGAAGAACCGCGCCTGCGATCATATGGGTCATTCCTCCAAGAGCCAGCGCCAGGAGGATCATGTGGACCGGGCTGATCAGGGTGAGAGCGTTGAAGAAGTGACGGAGGGGGCGGACCACGGCGGTCAAAAACAGGCTCGTAGCGACCCGAACGAGAGTTGAACAGCTCCCGGTTTCCCGGAGGAGCACCGTCCCTCCAGGGACCTCGGCTGAAGTCGTCGGCGGACATCTCCCGCAGGGGAGGAGCGGTAGGATGTGCATCTCTGGACGGAGCGTTGGCTTCGCTAGGTGTGGGCTCGACCACGACTGGCGATACTTTCTCAATTTTAGGGAGAGGGGCCCACGGGGACTTGGTCGGCGGGGGAGGGGCAGGCGGCTTCGCGACCAAAGTCGGCTTTTCTGAAGAACCTTTGAGGGCTAGACCAGGTTTCATCGACGGTGACGCAGTGCCGGGCGTCGGCGACTTGGGCTTGTCGGCAGACGCTCCGTTTTCCTTCTTCTCTAACTCCTGGTTGGAATTGTCCTCGTGATGGGCGATGCTAATTTTTGTACCGTCTTTCCAGGTAATGGCGTCTGGCGTCCAATCAGCGTCGTCGTCTTCGATATCTGCCCAACTCGACTGGCCCTTATGATCGTCGGGATTGAGGCGACTAGCCACATGGATGCCGAACTTTTTGAGCTCCTCGTCGGTGAGCTTCTTAGGGTCTTGGGGAAGAGTGGCTGTTGAATGTGTTAGCAGAAACACTCTGCACAACGGTCAAAAGGGAACTCCTACGTCGGTTCTTGTTCCAAACGGCATTTGGATCGGGCGCCGAGCCTGGCTTCCCGTTTGTAGAAGACTTAGAAATAACGCCGCCCGTCTTTGCGATTAACCGGGGCCGGTTGGTAGATGTAGTACTGCTAGAGCCCGAGGCAGAGCCAGAAGCCGAGGACGACTTCTCGGCGGCCTTGGCCTGAGAGCTGGGCGTAGTGCCCTTGGACGTGAGGAAGGTCTTGTTGACATTGACAGCCTTAAAGGTGGTGGGCTTTTTGAGGGTAGTTTTCGGCTTTGCGTCGCTCTTCGTCTTCGAAGCATCGGACTTGGCAGCTTCGTTGTCGGATCCTCCACTTATGCTAACTTCTGTTGAGTTCACCAGATCGTCGACAATGTCGGTCAAGTGCTTGTTCTCAGGCTCTTCCGTGGTATTCCCGACGGTCGGAGCGGCTGAGGAAGCGGCAGCGTCGCCATTTACTGGCGGTTGGCTAGAATCGACATTTTGGGAGTCGGTCGAGTCGATCTTGACAGTCTGGACGGCCGGCGCGGGGCGGCTGGGGTTAGCGACGAGGGGACGAACAAGGGCAAGCGTCGCGCAAGCGGACGGCGGGGAGAGGCTTGGGCTTACGGGCTCGGCAGCAGAAGTCAGTTGAGCTTCATCGGATCGTTGGTTCTGTGAGTCAGTTGCCATTCTACACTTCTCGGCTGGATTGGTGGTCTGCGGTCGAACGGCGATGGGTTCTTGGTGTTGCCCGATTGCGCGTCCAACTGTTCGCGGGGTAAGGGTAGTATCGAGTATCGAAAATCTACAGTCGAAGTCGGGTAGGGATGATGATGTCTGCGAGACCGTAGGAGCCGGTCAGTAACTTGAGTTTGCTCGATGCAGCGCAGGCGTTGGAAGGGGAGAAAATGAGTAGAAAAAGTTATGATGTTTCTGGCCAGTTATCGATGGCTGGCGCATGGCACGCCCTGCCTGCTCTTGGCTTGTGCGACCACAGCACCGGAGGGGACGCTGGCCAGGCGCTGGGGCGCTCGCTCGCTTGTTGGACTGCTGGATGCTGGACAGGAACAGAGCGGTCCGAGCAAGGGACTACAACGATACGATGCCCATCCGCAATGCCAGCCAATTTGTGGGGCCTCAGGCCAGGCGGCAAGGGCTGAGCCAGAAGTGAGCAGTTGGAAGCATAGAAGAGGCTGACTTACTTCTCCTTGCTGGAGCTGGAAATTGGTGCAAGACCGAGGTCTGCGAATCGACGAGCAGTTGCAAAAGAGAAGAGGGGAAATGGATTAACTCTCTGCGATCGAGGAAAGGTGGGTGAGGGAAAAGGTAAGGGGTTGCACTCCGCGAGTTTGGATGTGAAGGTGCAAGAATGCGGGTTGAAAGGTTGAGCCTTGTGTAGCCAAGTGCTGCCGGCCTTTGCTCAGCGGCCACTGAGGCAAGGGATGTGAGGGTGAGCTGCTGTTGCTGTCACTGGCCACCCTCTCTTCGTGGCCGGCGGTTGGTGGACTCGGCACATCAGGCTGCCAAGACTTCCGGATTTGGTTTAGCGTCACAGGTTTCCAGGCGCGGGGCGGCAACGAGGCCCTTGCCCTCTCAAAACTTTGGCTTTCATCTTGACAATACCGACTGTGTTGGCTCATTGTGTTTACCAGGAAAGTTTGCAATGGTTTGTCATATTTCGCAAATTGAAATGAATTCCCCGTAATTTTCTGCTAGATTTTTTTATGGACTATGGAGTAGTCCGAAGCAGGTATTCGGCCGGTGAGCCTCTCAAGGAAATGAAGTGCACACATTGACTCCTGATTGTTGCATGATGTTCGCTGCCATCTGATCAAACGCATCCTGAGTCCTCAAGCTGGTTTTACATCAAGCTAGCCATCACTTTGGCTGAGCCAAACTATGAGATGAAAGCTATTTCAGAAGTTGTATTCCCCAGTAAGATCATGTTGCACTCCTCAACACTGCGCTGAAGCCTCGGTGAGAGAACAAAAAAACCCTGTTCGGTGCCGCTAGCACTCAGTCTATTGCAACAGCTTATGTACATGCCTGGGTAACGACCAAGCAAAAGGGCACACCAACTCCACGGCCAGCTTAGTGGACATTGTTCTTGTGGTGGCCTGTAGACTGTCAGCATGTTCCCTCTCGACCGAGCAGCCCGTTGTAGCTAAGGACAGCCAGGAGCACTTACGGAGGTGGAAGTAGTAGTTCTGCGCATAGCCGACGATCAGAAGGCCAATGATGGCATGAATAACAGCTGTATAAACAACATCAGCACTCGAAGCTCCATTCAACGCCCAGCTTGCCCTCTGCCCTCAGGGACTCGAGTGCCAGCCGGATCACAACCCAGGGACACATACGCTTGACGGTCGGGTTCTTGCCGAAGTGCTTAGCCTGGTACTTGCCCCAGAAGCCCTGAGGCTTGACTTCGGGAGCCGCACCACGAGGGAGCTTCTCGTAGAAACTGACGACGCGCTGCATACGGACAGCGTCGGGGTTGGCGCCGATCATCTGCACCTCCGTGTCAGCGACTCCGATAACCATTTATAAGCCAGTATTCCCTCCTTTAAGCTTCACCATGGGCCTCAGGCTCCGTCCGATCCGCGGTGTCGTCGTCTATGTCTTCCTCCCATCCAGCCTGGTCCCCCATCCTCCCCGCAGCTCACACTGTCTTCCCAAGCGCCCTCAACGGTCAAAAACAACATACCTTCGGAGAAGCGACCTGGAGTTAACCGTTAGAATTTTATCTAAACCTTTGGACCACCATATCCGCAGATTCGAGCATACCTTGGGCGGGATGAGGGTCGAGAGCGCCCGGCGAGTGACGTAGCTCATTTTGGCAGAGGTGTCGTGCAAACGATATCGTTTAATCGTTCGGGTCGGGCGGCAAGACAACAAATCCCCAGCTTCTTTGGAGATTCGTGGGTCCGGCTCAATTGGCGAGGGCGAGGGGGGACAAGATCGCGGGTGCAGCACAATTGAGCTGTTAAAGATGGAGTCCGGCCGGATCGCACAACGCTGCCTTTGCAGCGGGAAAAGCCAGAGCAAGAAGATTGGAGCGGTTGTTCCCGGCTGACCAATCACACGTAGGGCGGTGGGGTAAGAGACCTCCCACTCTTGGCACCGGCACGGGCGAGGAGCACCACCCAAAAGGTTGCGAATCGCCTCAAGGGCAGCAAGCATCATCGACTCCGTCAGCTTGGCAGAGTTCTCGAGGGGGGACAGAACAAGCTCGATCGTAATTATCCCTCGAAGTCCAAACTGCCTTGTAACCTTACCATCACCAATTCCCCTCGTCGCAACCAACAACCAAAAAAACCATGTCCTCATTACGCCCCGCCGCCACCTCTGCTGCGCGGCTGCTGCGCAACAGCACGGCCAGCTCCCGTGCTACTGCCGTCGCCGTTATGCCCTGCCGTGCAGCCCACAACATCCACGTCCCCGTCCAGAAGGAGCGTACGAAAGAGGACTCGCCTCTGGCGACCCTGCCGCGGAATGCGCCCGATTACAACGTTCCGATTGATATCGCGACCTCGTACGCAGCTCTCCCTGCCCTTGCCCCTATTCCAGCTCTAGCTGGGTGATATTGAGGGATCTGTGATGTTCAGACCAATTGACGTTTGTCTGTCTTCTCAACGCATAGTACCTTCACCCCGGTGCCCAAAAATGTCCAGGACGGCAGCGAGGAGAACGTCGTTCCCGCCGGTCTGATCTCCGGCGCGCCGATGGAGCTCCAGGCGCGGACAGTCCGGTATGTCTTGCCTCCCCACAGCATCTCTTTTCCGAGCTCTACCTAATACGCGTGTGCCAGCATCTACAAACCCGCCAAGCCGGCTACGCAATCTGGCGAGAAGAACACCCAGCTCTGGCGCATGGACTGGGACGTGCTGGGCAAGGGTCACCGGTGGGAGAACCCGCTTATGGGCTGGCAGTCGTCGGCCGACTTCATGCAGGGCACGCACCTGACCTTCAAGACGAAGGAGGACGCCATCGCCTTCGCTGAGAAGCAGGGCTACGAGTACTTTGTTCAGGAGCCCAACGAGCGGCACTTCCGCCCCAAGGCGTACGCCAACAACTTCCTGTACTCACCCGGTAAGCTTAAGCATATCCGGACCAAGTAAATGATGAGGAAATAGAAGGGGAATGGTGGGGGAAAGGTTGCTCGGTATTCTGTCTTGTACATAGGTCGTGGCTGGCTTGAGGCAATTTGGAATTGGCCAAGATAACATGAAGAATGCGACGGCGACAGTTACTACATTCAAGAGCAAGCAAACACTGGCCCTACGTTTGACTAATTCGGGATTTAATCTTCCATGCCACTGATGTCACACTTCATGAGAAACTTAAGAGCTCCAGAAAAAACTGAATCTGGTTGAAGTGATAGTATTACGCGAAGTGTTCCATGAACGAAATGGTCATGATAACGCCGCCACCATGCTAACTATGCCCCTGGCCGTACCAACCATGGTGATCATGATAATGATAACTCGTAACCATCCCTATGTCATAGCCGTGCCGTTGTCCCCATAAACGCCAAACCAAAAATCAAAAGCCATGGCCATCCCGTGGCACTAGCATTACAATTAAAAGCCCATCGTACTATGCTTCTCGTCGTCAGTTCACCCATGTTGTCAGTCATCAAGTATCCATGGGCTCAGGCTTATCCTGGCCCTCGGGGTTCATGCCCAGGTCGATCTTCTCCGGGAGATTTCTCCCCTTGGAGCGGCACACATCCTCGGCGTGGATGCGAGTGCGCATCAGCCACAACAAAGATGGCTCCGCGTGCGCGGGGTACCGACGGCGCAGCATCGCCATGTTGACCTTGTAGGCCACGGTACGGCGGAGGTCAGGGCTGAGCAAAGCCGCAAGCTCCGGCTGGAGGCTGTTATGTGGGAAGATGATCAGAGCCATGGTCTGCTCCAGCTTCTTCAGGAACTTGGGGTTATTGGCCGCCCGCGGCGCCAAGTTGTTGGTCGCGAACTCAACCGCAGGTGTCGGGTCCTTGCCCTGACACATGCGGATGAGCTCGATCAGATGAAGCTGGAGAAGGTCGAAGTGAAGCTCTTCATCGACATCCAGCAGCTGTGTCTTGTCAGCATACGTTGCTTGGCCAGCAAGATGAAGACAGATATGAGGAATAAAGGTTGCTCATAGTGGAGTGGTTCTTGCTCGTCATCGGCCAGAAGCCTATGAGTGGTGCATGATAAACGTGTTCTAATCATAGCAACAAAAAGAAAATCTCGTAGTAACTTACCTCTGGGTCCCATTCATTGAGAAGAGAGATTGCCTTCATCACAATCCCCTCAAGGATGAGCATCATGATGGATGCCCGGCACTCAACGAACTCCTGAGACTGCTGGAGATCTAGCTTGGCCTCCCTGCAGAAGCTCAGAGCTGCCTTGGTGTGAGCCATAGAAGTAAGATAGTCAAGGATCATGCGATTGATATCACTGGTAGGGAAGTCAGTAACCGCAGCCATGTCGATAGTTGTTGTAAAAGCAAGGCCAGAAAAAGGTTGAGGATGGCATTTCAGGGTTCAACGAATTTGCAAAGTTCTCCACATCAGACAGTTCGGAGAGATTCCCATTGATATGCAGATCATCATAGTGCCAGTGGGCGGGCCGGGCGCTGCCAAAATATGCGCGCGAAGGTCCGAGAGTAGCTCCGGAAACAAGAAACAATGGAAAATGACACTTACTCCTTATGAACTGCCATCTCGGCAACCCGCCTGTCAAAGGGATGAAGGCTGGCGGGCGCCTGCGCCGCGCCTGACAAAGTGGCCGAGGCCTGATTGTACGAGGACGCGTTAGCTCACTTGATCCAAGACAAAGGATCAAACGTCATCTACCATCATGTCGATTTGGGGATCGACATACCATCCCAGCTATGCAAGCTGTGGTCCCAGTTTTGAAGTTTGAGTGGGATATTTGAGGGTTCGGGAAAAAGTTGTGAGCTGTGGGCAAAATGAGATTGAGGGAGGAAAAACCAACAAGCGGGATGGATGGAGGCCGGGCCGTCAAAGCTCCTCACCTGTGGTGGAGCCTAAGATCACAGACCGCAAATGGTGGGTCTTGCTGCTTGGCCACAATGTGGCGTTCAGCCCACAGCGGGGTGGCTGCCGCACCAAAGCTCAATCATGGCTCAACGCAGTTCCGTCCTGTTGCCCCTCGCTGTGCGTGACCTGTATCGCTGTGTCGCGCTGCCAGCTCAGTGGGCCACCCACTGATCTGAGGTATGGTAGCTGGCAGGCAGAGTGGATGCCCCGCATGACACTTGACACTTGGAGGAAGCAGAGATGAATCCTGAAATTACAATTCAGCAGACGACGGCGCAACTGCAGATAAGGCATGAGGCTTGCAACTGTTGACGCCTCAAGTACCTGTGGACGCTGATCTGACCTCCAGAAGCTCTGGCCAGCTTCAGTCTGCGATCAAGAGCTGGGTGACGACGACGTCCAGGGTCGGGTTCCATCGGCTTGGGTATTTCAATAAGGGACTAAAAAGGAAAAAGGGAATTTATATTTCCATCTTTACATCAGATCACACCTCACCTGCTGTTCGCCTCATCATCCATCTGACGTCGACCAGAGGAACCACAGGGTTCCGTCCAGAGAATCCGTTCGACCTTTCCACGTCGCAGCGACTAAAAGAAACTTCGGTTCTGGATCATAATCCTACAAGGCGTGACCTGCCTCTGACCCTGAGGTTCGGTCACCACCCAGCTTATCTCACCACCATGTCTCCCACTTCAACCGGTACCTCGTCAGATGCCAGCTCCCTGGTCAACGGCGTCAACAACATCAAGCTCTCCGACCGCTCCAAGACCGACGCAGACATTCTTAGTGAGAAAGCGCATTATGCGCCGCCCTGGGCCGATGTCAGCATCATTGGCATTGCAGGCAGCTCAGGCTCGGGCAAGTCAACACTCTCTCAGGCCATCGTGAACAAGCTCAACCTGCCGTGGGTTGTAATTTTGTCTATTGTAAGTCCCAGGCAGGGGAGATGAGGAGTGTATGGGTGATGTGGATAGATGAAGCTCATGCTGGCTTCCCCGTAGGATTCCTTCTACAAGAACCTCACCCCCGAGCAGTCAAAGGCGGCCTTTCTCAATGAGTACGACTTTGACTCTCCCGATGTAAGTTCCAGGCCTTCAGCTTGTCCACTGTGCGCCGTTGCATAGACGCTCATCGCCATCATCCTATTCTAGGCCTTGGACTTCGATGCCCTAGTAGAGCGACTCCGTGACCTCAAAGCCGGGTGAGTATTCGGCCCCATGTGCAGTTTCAGGGGCTGTGTTCTGATGTGTTGTCTTGGATTGTAGCAAGCGTGCCGAGATTCCCGTGTATTCCTTTGAGAAGCATGCCCGTCTGGACCGCACAACGTCCATCTACTCGCCCCATGTCCTTATCCTTGAGGGCATCTTTGCGCTTTATGACCCCAGAGTCCTTGAACTGCTGGACATGAAGGTAGTCACACCATCGCAGTCCTATGCAGTATCCTGGGTCTAACTTGGTGCTGCCACATAGATCTTTTGCGAGGCTGATCTGGATACTTGCCTGTCAAGAAGAAGTACGGCGGTTGTACGACCTCCTTCCGTAAACTGACCTTTACTGACCAGTCGCAAGTATTGCGCGACCAAAGAGATCGGGGACGCGATCTCGAGGGCATCATCAAGCAGTGGTTCAAGTTTGTCAAGCCTAACTTTGAGAAAGTAAGCTTTACCTCCTTTTTTTTTTCGCTGAGCGTTGGCTAAGCTGAGACAGTACGTGAACCCTCAGAGGAAAGTGGCCGACATCATCGTTCCAAGGGGTGTAGAGAATCATGTCGCTATGGGTACGTTGGCCCCTAGTCATTGTAACGGTAGTTAAGTAACTGGATATTGACTCTTATAGCCATGGTGACCCAATTTATCCAGCAGAAGCTGCTCGAAAAGTCAAAACATCACCGTGCAGCCCTGACAAGACTTGAGATTGGAGCACATTCCGAGCCTATGTCTAAGAAGGTTAATGTGGTGAAACAGTCCCCTCAAATTCGTGTTATGAACACGATCGTCCAGAACATCGACACCTCGAGCGAAGACTTCATATTCTACTTTGACCGCCTAACTGCACTTCTCATCGAGCAGTACGTCATGCACCCTTTTTCTACATTCGACACCAAGCTAACGACCCTTACAGAGCCCTTAACCAAGTCCCATTCGTCCCTGCAACAATCACAACCCCCCAAGGCTGCACCTACGCCGGCCTCCGCGCCAAAGGCGAAGTCTCAGCTGTTCTCGTTCTCCGCGGCGGCGCAGCCCTCGAAACAGGCTTACACCGCGTCATTCCCGACTGCAAGACCGGCCGCATTCTGATCCAAAGCAACATTCGCACGGGCGAGCCCGAACTGCACTACCTATCTTTGCCGCCCGACATCGATAAGCACGAAGCGGTATTGTTACTCGATGCGCAGATGAGCAGTGGCGGATCGGCGCTCATGGCTGTGCGGGTGCTGCTGGATCATGGGGTGCGCCAAGATCGGATAGTGCTGGTTACGTTTACCGCCGGGAAGATGGGACTGCATCGGTTGACGAAGGCGTTCCCTGAGATTAGTGTTGTTGTGGCGAATGTCGTGCCGGATCTTGAGGAGAGATGGGTTGAGAAAAGGTACTTCCGGTGTTGAGGACTAGGAAATAGTGCGACTGGATTTGAGGTTGAGTTGGTGCTTTGCGATGGGCTCAGGAGAAGAGCAAGGATTAGGTGTAAGGCATAAGTATCTCAATGATTGTTCTGGTACTCTCATTTCTGGCATACGGGCGTGTGGGAGGATTTGGCCTGCTTTCTGCATGGCGTCGGCGTCGATATTGGCACGGTGTACTCACCAGGTTGGCGAGCCCGGGCTTCTGATTTCACAGATATCTACCCCAGGTTGACTGATGACTTCCACAAACTATAATTGAAACTAATCGTCCATGTGCTATCTTTCAGGGGTTTATTTCCGTTGTCACTGGCCCAAGACTTTTGGAGTTGTGAAACCATATGCTCATCCCTCGAAGCGGCACCAAGAGTTACCCCTCCCCGGCTCTGTGCCATGCTGTAATTTATGAAAGCCCTTGTCTTCCCGTCTTGGGATTGATGCTCAGCGTTGAATGGTAAAGCCCATAACTGAACCCCCTGCGACTTGGCGACCCTTCTCATCTCAGAGCGGCCTCCAACCATTTTCGTCTTCAACGTTTAACCCAACATCCTTGAGTTCTCACATTCATCATTTCCCTCAAGTCATTAACATTTGCTACTATTATATCAGAAATAGTTCTCTTTTGTTCTCTGTTGTTCATTTTTGTTTCCTGACTCCTGTGCAAATTCCAAATTTTCAGATCTCAGAATTAGTGGAGCTGTTGATCGCGATCCAGTTCCCAACTGACGTCACTCCTCGAGTCTAGGCCCAAGGGACCAGGGCTACCTGACTCGCAGGACACCGATCTGCTCACTTGAGCTCAATATCATTCGGAATCTGCATTTTTTGACTTCGTATCTAGAAAAAAAGCCCATTTGGGGTTAGAGAGATACCCTATACCCATCACCATGCTTGGGCGCAGCATTGGTCGTGGGAGGAGCGCAAGCCTTCGCCCTGGAGGAACGGCGACGGCTAGGATGGGCCTCAAATTCGACTATGAATCACTAGCTCAGCAACGGATACAGCGTCTATGTACTCGATCGCTGATAGCAAGCCGAGATTCACAACTCGTTCAGCAGAAAAGACCCTTGAGGGTTCCCTCAAGACCTCTTCCAGTTAGCCATCATCATGGTCTTCACCTCGTCCTCTCCCGCTACATATCCTCCGACCCTCTGCCCCGCAAGGGCTCACGAGCCCTCCGGATCGCCTACCGCTTGGCTGCCCTCCTCGGTAGTGCCGTCGTTGTCCTTGGCATCGGCATCGTAGGCTTCTTCATCTACGACGCCTCGACCTACGCAACCGAGCACGCTAACCAGCGCGAGGTCGACGTCGCGGCCCTCGCTCTAAACCCGCGCCACGGCGGACCTAAGAACTTGCCTATCCTTGAGGTCTGCCTCGACGACAACGACAGCGAGTCCATGCGGCGACAAAAAGAGAAGCCGCGGCTCGTGATCTTGGGCGGGGGCTGGGGGGCTGTCTCGCTGCTCAAGGAGCTGGAACCCGAGAATTACCATGTCACGGTCATCTCGCCGAAGAACTATTTCCTGTTTACGCCGATGCTACCGTCTGCGACCGTCGGCACGCTCGGCTTGCGCGCGTTAGTGGAGCCCATTCGGCGGATTATTCATGCGGTCGGGGGGCACTATGTGCGGGCGCAGGCTGAGAACGTGGATTTCCAGTCGCGGTTGGTTGAGGTGTCGCAAACGGATTGTAATGGGAACGAGCAGAGGTTTTATGTGCCGTATGATAAGTTGGTGATTGCGGTTGGGTCAGTGACGAATCCGCATGGAGTGAAGGGGCTGGAGCATTGCCACTTCTTGAAGGATATCAACGATGCGAGGGAGATCCGTAACAAGGTCATTCAAAACCTGGAGCTGGCCTGCCTGCCAACGACTAGCGACGATGAGCGGCGCAGGCTGCTGTCGTTCGTTGTCTGTGGTGGTGGTCCGACAGGCGTCGAGTTCGCCGCCGAGCTGTTCGACATGCTCAACGAGGACCTGATTCAACTCTTTCCCAAGCTCCTACGCAATGAAATCTCGGTACACCTTATCCAGAGCCGTGACCACATCCTCAACACATACGATGAGACCCTCTCCAAATACGCCGAAGACCGCTTCGCCCGCGATCAAGTCGACGTGCTAGTCAACTCTCGCGTGCGGGAAGTTCACCCAGACTCCATCATCTTCACCCAAAAGCAGGACGACGGTACCATCGTCACAAAACAACTCCCCATGGGCTTCTGCCTCTGGTCGACAGGCGTCTCCCAAACCCCCTTCTGCAAGCGCCTAGCCGCCAAACTCGGCTCCGCACAAACCAACCGCCACGCCCTCGAAACGGACACTCACCTCCGGCTGAACGGCACGCCCCTCGGCGAAGTCTATGCCATCGGCGACTGCGCTACAGTTCAAAACAACGTAGCCGACCACATCGTGAGCTTCGTCAAGCGTAGCCTAACATGGAAGCACGGTGCCTCGGCCGTGGACACCGACCCCTCAAAACTGCACCTCCGCTTCAACGACTGGCGTGCCATCGCTGAGCAAGTGCGCAAACGGTTTCCCCAGGCTACAGATCACCTCAAGCGACTGGACAAGCTGTTTGCCGAGTACGACAGGGACAAGTCAGGGACGCTAGATTTTGCCGAGCTGAGGGAGCTGTTGGTGCAGATTGATAGTAAGTTGACGAGTTTGCCGGCGACTGCGCAGCGTGCACATCAGCAGGGACAGTACCTGGCGAAGAAGTTTAATGCTCTGGCGAGGGCGGTGAATTCGGGGCGGTTGATCAGGGAGCTCGCCAAGGCGGAGGAGACGCCGGATGTGGATGCCGCAGTGTATAAAGCGTTTGATTATAAGCATTTGGGGAGCCTGGCGTATATTGGGAATTCGGCAATTTTGGACCTAGGACATGGGCGGGGGTTTGCAGGAGGGTTGTGGGCGATGTATGCGTGGAGGAGTATCTATTTTGCGCAGAGCGTCAGCTTTAGGACGAGAGTGTTGATGGCGATGGACTGGGCGAAGAGGGGGTTGTTTGGGAGAGGTGAGTCCTAATCCCTTGGTCAGGGTTCGTTAATTGTTACTGACGGAAATTGCAGATTTGATGAGCTATTAAAGTGCTGTCAACTGGCTGATACAGGTGGAATGTTGGGCTTATCTGGGAAAGATGGGAGCTAGGGAAGTATAAAGGGGCACCGACTAGCTTGAAGCCCCTGAAGACAAAAGCTGAGGTCTAGTTCTGGATACCACATCCTTTTGGATCGTAGAATGGGCGGTTATACTTTGTCTTTGAGAGGGTGGCTGGTTCTGTCAAGACTTTTTGGAAATATGTATTTCCTTCGAGTATTGTATTCGATCAAAGTCACCCGAAGCATCAGAAGAGTTTTGCTTCTCATTAAATGCAGAGCTGTATATTCGCTGAACGCCAGTAACCCATTAAATCCTGAAGTCCTTAAATGTCCACTTCTCTGTAAGCTTCGTCTTGGCCTGCTTCCTGAACGGAATCTTCCTGCGCGCCTCTAGCTTGCCGCGCACAATCATGCTGCGGTAGCGATCCTTGAGCAGGTTGCCCTCGGGTTTAAGTCTCCGCAGAGAATCCTCCAGCTCGTCGGGCAACACCAGCTCCAGGTCCTTTTCAGGCAATTTGAACTTGCCCAACTGCTTGCGCCGCAGCACCGTGTCGTCGCCCTCCTCGCTGTCGTCTGACATCTCGATCTTCTGCAGCGCCAGCTGCCGCTCCCGCTCCTCCACCTCGGCCGCGATCTTCTTGGCCTGCTCCAGCTGTTGCTGCTTGCGCTTCATTGCTTCTTCATGCTTCCTCTTCCGCTCTTCTTCCTTCCTTCGCTTGATACGGTTCCTTTCTGCCTTGGTCTTGCGCCGCGGTTTCTTGGCCTTGATGTTGAGACCCTCGCCATCGCTCTCAAATCCTTCCCAAGCAGAGTCATCCTCCCATTCGGACATCTCTGCCCGTGCCTCTGCCGCCTCAGCTTCAGCCGCTGACCGGGCAGCGGCCTCCATCTTCTGACGTTCGAGTTCGAGTTCCTGCAAGCGCTTGCGCTCGGCCTCAATAGCCTTTTCACTCTCCTCCATGAGCCGTTGTTGGTAGTCGGTGAAAGCTGGATTGTAGCTGTAGCCACCTGTGGGTTTTGGGACCGCTGGGACTGACTTTCCATTCGCGGCCAAAGAAATCGGTTTCTGCTCGAGAGTTTTGGGCTTCTTCAACGGGTCAGGCTTTGGCAAGACAGGCCGTACTGGGTCCTGCTTCTTCGGCTCGATCGGGTCTTGCGCCCAGGGGTCATATGTGGCGTCGACAATATCGACGGTTGTCTCATGTTCGCCATCGGCGACCTTCTTTATCCTGATGAGCTCCTTATGGGTGATGTAGTTGGTTCTTTGCCGCTTGACGGGCAGGATGCCGTCGGAGACCTTGGAAGCCGGTTCATCACCGGCACGTTTGCGGACAGACACAGCAGGAAGAGCAGATCTTTGCGCAATAATCTCGTCGGCCTTCAGGCCCTTCTTGATGTGCTTCGAGAAGCGCTTCTCGAGCGATGCATCTCCCTCCACATCAATGGTGAAGAGCTCCTCGGATGGCTTCTCAGCAATGACACCACTAAAACGAAGTCAGCATACAGTCCAATGTGACATAGACTACACAAAATGATAGCACATACCCCTTGATGATTTGCTCATTCAGCTCCTCGAGGCCCTGCTCGACCTCGGTCAAGTCGATGTTCTTGCGCCATGCCTTTTTGCCTTTCCTTGACGGCTGGCTGTGCTGCTTGGGCGCTTCTGTGTTGTCGCCCGTCAGGGGCTTTAGGACGGCCATTTTGCTGTATTATTATGTCAAATTCAAGCTGACCTCAAACTTCTTGACGCTCAATCAATCGGCCGTCTTGTTACCCTTTCTGCTCCTCCAAGGCAACTCGACGGCTTGCAGTGGGCTGTGGGGTCTCAAAATTTCAGTGATCCATGGATCTCCTATCGCGATAAGATAAACTTGGTGGGTCTCTTGGTCCGAAGGTGCCCGCGTAGCCTGCACTGTCCCCACACTGTACGCATGACGCCCCATTACCGGCCCCTTTTGGACGCATGCATCGCCAGTGGCCAGTGGCCAACATTCAGGGGATCCCACTACCAACCAAGTGCCAGACTCGGAGACCCGACCGACATCGACAGACTCTCCGACACAGAGACCATTTTCTGACTTGTGAATCCCCGGGTTTGCCAGCGACGCGTCGAAGAAGATACTTGGCCTCAAGAACCGCTTCTTATAATACAGAGCGACGACGATAGTTCATCGCTTTCCACGCTACGGATAACGTCAGCGGTGCCGTTACCGACACGCAACCGTAGCCCGCTGTCTCCGCTGCCCACATCACTCGTGTTACCGTTAATCATTCCGATCGCGTCCATTGCATCCAGCCTATCCATCTTCCTTCCCACAGATCGCCATGGCGCAGCCAACAACCGGCGGGACGTACAACACCAACCCGCTCAAGAAGTTTAAGTATGGCTTGGTTTATCCAGCCCCGCACTACAAGGACCCCATACTAACGACAATGTAGGCTGGTCTTCTTGGGCGAGCAGAGCGGTATGCGCCATTGCATCCGTCAAGACGATATTGGGGCCAGCACTAACACGATTGCGCCGAACAGTTGGCAAGACCTCGCTCATCACACGCTTCATGTATGACTCGTTCGACAATATGTACCAGGCCACCATCGGCATTGACTTCCTGTCCAAGGCAAGCAGCACCAGGATGCCATAATCCTGAGGGCACAGGCGGACTGACATTGAAACAGACCATGTACCTGGAGGACCGGACGGTGCGGTTACAGCTCTGGGATACGGCCGGGCAGGAAAGGTTTAGGAGCTTGATTCCTTCCTACATTCGGGACTCGAGCGTGGCGGTGGTGGTCTACGACATTTCAAGTGCGTCTCAATACCTACCCCTAAGCCAAATCCCCTACTAACGCCATGAAGACGCAAAGAGCTTCGAAAATACGAGAAAATGGATCGACGACGTGCGCGCGGAGCGGGGCAACGACGTGATCATCGTGCTGGTCGGCAACAAGACCGATTTGGCGGACAAGCGCGAGGTGACCACGCAGCAGGGCGAGGAGGAGGCGCGCCGCCAGGACCTCATGTTCATCGAGACAAGCGCCAAGCTGGGTCACAACGTCAAGACGCTCTTTAAGAGGATAGCCCAGGCGCTACCCGGCATGGAGGGCACCGATGCCGCCGCCCAGGCTTCGAGCCAGATGATCGACGTCAAGACCCCGGCTACTCCGGCGCCTCAGGAGGGCTGCGCTTGCTGAGCGGGTCTAAGTATGACGAGATGATCATGATGAATGATGAATTAGGGATAGGTGGCGGAGCACATAGCAATGGCATGGACATGGAAATAGCCTACAAGCTACGTACTTAGCTGACACAGGCCGGGGCGAGTTGGTTGAGATGAAAAATGATACCCAAATCCGCCAAGGCTGTGCTTCTGAGAAGGGGATAGAGCGAGCGGAGGATATGGAGGCTTATATTGAGCATCAGCGTTACATGAACAATCTAATAATATGTAGTCATGACCGCTTGCTCTAGCTCCTTTGCAACATCTGTGTAACTCAGGTTGTAAACCCGAAAACTGTCTGCATATCGATCCACGCAATCGGTTCAGGGATCAACCAGTAGCGTCGAAAATGCCAGTCTAATTGATTAACCAACCCATAATTTTCCCGTCCATACATGTTGAGTGTCTGCCAGGAGCATCTGGATATAGGTACCTAGCTAATAAACATAGCCCATGATCTCTAGACGACTTCCCCACCCATTAACGCCGATTCGCCGATTTCTTCAACGGAACCTATTGACGACCCCAAGGGCATAATGCCTCATGGCCATGCCATGAGCCCACTACCATTGTTCTCAAAGCCCCTCAAAGTGCAAAAGCATCCCTGACACGGATGCCGTAGTTTGAAGGACGAGGGCATCGAATCGATTTTTTGCTCGTCGCCCTTGGTCATGATGTCGAGGGTCCTTAAACTGATACTGTCCCGTAAATCTCAATCTTGAGAATGAAGAGCCAGCAATTGCGATTCGGGGTCCACTAAGACTTGTCTGCCACCAACCCTTCGCCCACCGCTCAATCGGTATCCATATCGTCATCATCGCGGTCGCTGTCATCGTGATCGTCGTCGTCCATTTCTTCATCGACATTTTTGCCGCCAAACGACTCGGTAATCTCCTCGACACCACCGTCGGTGCGTACGCGCACGCGGCGCACCTCGCCGCCGAATGCCTTGCTCTTTTTCTTGCTTGCCAACTTGGCCAGCTCTTCGCGCTCGAGCTCCTCGACGTCGACGCCACGCTCTGCGGCCAGCTCGGCCAGACGGCGTTTCTCGGAGCCGCGCAGGCGCGGCAGCAAGTGCTCGTTCTCGGCGACCAGCTTGCGGGCGGCGGCGACCTCGCGCGCGCGCTTGCCCGCCATGCGCTTCTTGTAGAAGACGCGCTCGCGCCGGGCGCGAATCTCGGAGATGCGCTCCATCGCCTTGAGCGTCTTTTGCCAGAGCTCGCGGTTGTAGCGCACGGGGACATTGCGGCGTGCGGCGAATTGCAGAGTGCTGTCAACCACCATTTCCTTGCCGGCGTTTTTGCGGTAGGCCTTAGTCCACTTGAGCTTGCGTGGATTGCGCTTCATCTTAAAGTTCTTGTGGCACTTAGACCGGCAGAAGCGGAAGGCTTTGCCTGGAGAAGGAGGATTCATGTTAGTGATGGTCATTGATGTTTCTTGTAATGGATTCTCACCATCGTTCCGCATAAAGGTAATGCCCTTGCTAGGCCACGCGGGCCTGCCGCAGAAGAAACAGTTCTCAATACGCATCTTGTCGCTCCGAACCGGCCGGTCTGGTCGAGGGTCACCGAGAGCGTCTTGACGATTGGGACAGCCTCACCTGGGGTTGCTGATCGTCGAGACTGGCCGAAAAAAATTGACCGCCTTTGCGATCTGGGTTAGATGGGAGGGGGCGGGTCCAATATTATCGATAAGGATTATGAGCGCTTTCAGGGTTAGGGTTGTGTTTCCCCTGCATTTGTCAACATCGCGATGATCCGTCCAGGGGCAACACCTCAGTTTGCAATCAAAATGTTAAGTACATCATTCTATTGGCTGCCTTAGATGTTCCTTTGACAACTCTTCATCTGTGAGCACCTGTATTTTGCAAAGATAACAGATGTGAGCTGACATATCAATTGTTCCCGGCTGCAACCCACGGGTGGCCTCGTCCCAGTCACTCTCCTCCTGTGGGCCCTCTTCTTCAGTAACATTCTAACTTTCCTTGCCAACCTCTCCTAATTGTGAATCATTGGAACTTATTTTATACACTTTTGTTGGTACCACGATCCGTCAAATGTATTATACTGATTAGGTACCTATTCGTCACCTGTTAAAAGTCCACCATGCTTCGGATGCTGAGTTCTCATCAGTTGGCTAAATAAACGTGGTCTCTATGGATTCCACACCTTCACCGAGACTTGCAGAGCGTTAAGACATGTAACTTTTGTAGCAACAGCTGAATCATGCAGTTCCAAGGACCGCCACACAAACGCATGAGGCCCGACGCGAAAGTTCTCGTTGACTGCGAAACTTTATGAGGATAGCTGAACGAACCCAGTCTGATTATTTCATACTCAGGACTTCGCTTCCGATGGGTTCTAAAGCTTTGTTCATCAGGGAGTATCAAAATACCTTGTCCGCAACTACGATCCGAAACCGAGTTTCCAGATCCGGCGGGATGTAGGGTGATCCCTCCGTTATGTGCCTTATCTCACCAGTATGGGACCCATCGTCTTGAGTGTAAGGCTCGAGAACCTGAAAATTAGCCACTAAAGGTTGTGATACACAAAGGTTTTGGATCTGAGATAATGAGCTGAACGTAGATTCAGGTCGGCCCGGCATATCTAATGCTGCAATCTCTTTAGATGGGTGGAACACCGGTCTTCCCATCAGTATAGCTGATAAAAAGTTTGTCAGGTATCAGGTCGAGCAATAGTATTAAAAGGGGACGAGTTGGCAATTCATGAGGACTCATAGGCTTCGTTACGGACTTCTTCAAGTTGCTTCTTTTGTCTTATGAACCGCACGCTTCCGATCAGCTTGAACCTCAGCCTCCAAAATGGTCCTTCAACTCATCAAAAGCAACCTCAGCGCCTCCACGAGCTAGGCGCCCAGCTAATCAAGAACGGCGTCATCATCGTCCGCTGCCCCAAGCTTGACCTGGCCACTCCCCAGGGTATTACCAGCCTTAACCTGCACATCAGTCTGCGTCCTCTTCAGGCAGAAGACGCCATCGCTTTCAACACCCGCACCAAAGCTGGGGTCTGAGGTGCTGAGAAGCGTGTCCCTTAGCAGGGCAATCCGGGTGCGCGGTCAGATCCACTGATCACCAACGTGGATCTCGGCGACAGCTATCAGATCAAGATCGACGGCGAGACGACGCATTTTTAAGAAGCGGTCCAGACGCCTGGCAACGGCGTTTCGTATGCTACGGACGGGAAGGTCACTCCACTGTTTGGGGATACCGTTGCTGTGGAAGCGTTTGCGACTGGGCTTACGCTGCACTTCCTGTGAGGTAAGTAACCTTGCGGTGGCTCCGGATCATGGTAGTCATTCCCAGGGTTTTAAAACATGCTAATTGTTTCTAGGCAGAAGGCCTAAAAATTGAAGGAGCTTCCAACCGTGACTGGTGATTATTGGACACGTTAGATCAAGAGGACTTCGTATCAACAGTACGCCGAATTAAAACAGAAAATACAGGGAGTAATCTCAACCGATTTGGCTTGAAGTAAATGGTAGTATCTCTTTTGTTGTCGTGTATTGAATGTTGTGGTATTGAGATAGTATCATGGACTTCCACGCTGCCACGAAGTCGCCAGCTATGAATGCCAGGCTCTTAACAAGTATCTCAGTGTCTCACCCTTTCAGAATCCATAAACTTGCTTCCATCACACTTTTTGTACCTCAATGACAATTCGCTCACGCGTTTTCATGCTGGAAACAATCAGATCAAATTCTTTGTAAGCGCTGAGACATAAATAAGCATTTTGGTCCCTGACTGGGTTAGGTATCCGAAGGCCGTTCTGCCAAATCGTTATCTGAGCCGACCCCGCATATCGTGCTACACCGAACAATAGCTGAACTGACCGCTTCAGCAACGATTCTCAAAGATTCAGAGCTCTCAATTACCGAGCAAAGACATTAGGGATGCAACAATTGGTGAGGCAATGGAGCGATGTGCCCTCCAAGAAGGTCGGGCGGAGCAAAAATTACGGCTTGCAGTCGATCGCTGAAGAGTTGCTGCATCCCAATTACAGCGGCAATGCCACAGAGGTTCTACGGGTCGACGGGAGCTAGGTAAGGCATCCGGTCAGTATTCGTGCTGGTAACGGCACTCAATGAGAGTTTCGTAGCCTGAGTTCAGGATTTTCAGGCTGTCTTCACCTCTGCCTGCACGGCGTGAGAGTATAGGATGATTTCTTGTGATCATATCGTAGCAGATACAACCATCTCGCCTATACGCATGAAGCGCTTATTCTAGTCACCCACGCGATGGCGAAATTTATTCAAGCCCCAGCCTCGCCGTCCAACTAAGTTCATGATCCGTTTACTCTCCTGCTTTGCATAAAAGATCCCAGAAACATCTGCAGTATGCATATCAAGGGAGCTGACATGAGATCAGTTCGTGACAATGGACCAGGTATTATTAGAAAATAGAAATTCTTCGGAAATTGTGGCTGACTGCTCTGGAAACCATCGGATACCTGCTTTCACCGCCATCGGACCGTACTCAATCATGCTCTCGGAAGAGGACCTGGCGGTCCTGGGAGCACATCAGTTACACCGCGGACCTAGACGTCAAGCCTTTGTGTTGATTGTGTGAGATGGTGGCTGAATGAACGCGGGCCAGGAGATCGAGTCTGGAAGATATAAAGGGGCATCGTGTCCTGGATGATCCGTCAACAATCAGTTCAGTATCACACTAACTCATTCATCTCAGCAGACATATCAAACTTATCATCCCATCTTCGAAGCTTCACCAAGTGATCGAAATGGTTCTTCAAATTGTCAAGGTCAACCCCACTGCCACCAAGCTGGCGACTCCCGTCCAAAAGGACGCCATTGCCATCATCCGGGTGCCCAAGCTGGACACGTCGACTGCGAATGTCTCCACCTTAAATTTCGTCGGCAGGGATGACGACATCCTCCTGCACATCAGCTTTCGGCCCAACCGGGGTCCGAGAACGCAATAGTGTTCAACAGCAAGACCAAGAATGGCCAGTGGCAGAAGGAGGAGCGGATCACGTTCGCGGGCCGCTTCACCCGTCGCGATCCGCGTATCGAGGTCGAGGATCTGGGCAATGGTTACCAGATCAAGATTGACGGTGCAACGGTGCATCTCTATAACAAGCGGTTCCCCACACCTGTGACTGGGCTCTTTTACCTTGTTGAGCCTGATAACATTCCGCTGTTTGGTGACACTCTCGCTGTTGAGGTCCACCCGAACTCGAACAGTCTGGGCTTCTTTTAAAGTTAGTGAACAGTGATATACCACGCAAATGCCTACCTCTCAGTCTGACATAGTTTCTAGCGGACACCTGTTCGACGTCAACAAATTAGTGGCGTGGAGGGGGCCCAATGAATATTTCAAGTTGGGGTTGTAGCTTGGCTTTCAGTTCAGCTCGTAATTCGTCTTCTAAGAGTTCAGGTAGTGTCTCCAGGGTTCAACACCCTGTGAACTTCAATCAAGTCGTCTATATCAAATTTCTTTCCCTGAAACCTTGAATCTATTTGAAGGCGGTGGTGCGAAGTGCAGCGCTGTACGTGTAGCACCGTGTAAAGCGGACATCTATTCATGCAGTTTGTTGTGTGTTTGCCGTGATGATCTATCACTATGCATGTGACAAAATTGTTAGCTGTTGAAAATTCATGTTTACTGTAGCAGTGATTTCTGATCGAAACTCAGCTCCAAAAGCAACCGGGCGCAAATTTGAATGCTCCGGAATCGAACGAAAGCGGAAGATCCAACGGTGAATCTCGAGGAACACCGTTGGCAATCTGTGCTCCACAAACCCCACTAAAAACGCGGGGGTGGGTCTGGGGAAGTGGAGCCTTCAGCGCTAGCGGACCCACCGTGTCCTCTCGGCCGGCGCTAGCTTAAACCAAAGAAGCCTTCTCAACACTACGGAATATCAGGTTGACTATCGCGGTGTTTATCTTGAGGTTTACAGGCTTTCATCGTCAATGGATTTCCCAGATCCATCAATGAGTGGAAGCAGATGACTTCTGCTGTGCAACGAGCACTCGAGACGAATGCGACCTGCCCGCATACACCCGCTCAATTCTTCCCCGCTCATGCCTTCTAAGGTGGCGCCATTGCGGGCTAAGACCTCGAGTCAGGATGGAGGACAGAGCACCGAACCTGGCCCAAGACTGTATGAGTGAGAGTGACGTTTGAATAGCCCTTTGTTGGTCATGATTGGCGCCCGGCCGGGCAATGCAGGATAGCTACTCCGCTTGTGCAATGCTTCGGGTTACGCTTCCAGTCGGCTCTCCATGAGAATGTCTGGAGGGTCGCCGTTTAGTTTGCTTAGGGGGGTGGAAGGGAGGGGGTCTTGTGGTCGTCGAAACTACCAGACACTCTTCGCCGCTCCATGTCAGTGTCTGGCAGCTGGGAGGAGCTGGGGCGGGTAGACTATACGGTCTCTGACGTCCGCTCCTGCCCATCAATAAAAGGGGTGCTGGCCCAACTCTGTCTTCCTTTCCCCTCTTTGTGCGACACATGACTGCCCAAGCCATATTTGCCACCTATTGACCGCAGTCTTCAACATTTATCAGTTCCATTCCGTTCAACGCATCTTTTATTTACATAGAGCATTCAATACTTGTTGAGAGCCTAATTGGTGACTCTTGTTTTTGAGGCAAGTATCTCCATCTTCTTTGTTGGCTACCAGGGGCTTGCTGTCTGGCCCCTCTGGCAAGAGAACAACACAACACATCAACAACGGACGTGGACATCACCTTCTGTTTCATCGTCATCGCGTCTCTCGAATATTCACTGACCTACTTATTCTAATTGTAGGCCACAGAATAACTCAAACCCTTTTTAAATTTACAATCTAACAACCATCAACATGCCTCTCCGCGTTCCACCTCCAACCCGTGTCGAGACGCTCTGCATGGGCGCTGCCGGCATCACTGGTCTCGTGCCCTTCTACCTGATGGCTCCCGGGGCCGACGAGCGCATGTCGAAGCAGACGCACAAATGGGCGCCCCGCTGGGAGCGCAACATCTCTCATTTCAAGAGCCCCGCCGAAAAGAGCATCCAACGCGTGACGCCACCCATCGAGCGCGCCGTGCACCGGCTTGAGGAGCGCCTGCCGCTTGAGAGGGCCGCCAAGGGCAGCGAGCGAAGTATCAAGAAGGCCTTGGATATGCTTGGAGTGAAGCACTCTTGAAGGATTGGGTTAAAAGTGGATGATACTTACGATGGGCTCTATATTGTAGAGCGATGTGCAAACGAAATTCAATGAACATTGAAGTTCGGAAACGAGGTTACCTGCATAGCTGCTTGGAGGAAGCCGTTGTTATTTCGGAGAACAGAATGAGTCATGACTTGCCATTTGACCTTTCTATGGAGCTGAAGGGATCCTTTCGACCCTATGTCAGCACTAAGCGAATAAGCGCCATGTCGTAACATTAGATTTTGAGTTGCTAAGTGACTGTGTTGACATGCAAGTCTTGTTCCCTGTAATAGGTTGGTGAACAGATCGAAGTCAATGTTTTGCCACTTCTCTTCGAACTAGTAGAATGAGGTACCTACCTCAGGTGTCTATTGCTGTCTCAGATAGGTATAATGCTTAAGTTGTTGGCAAAAACCCTCCAGAGCTTATAACTTTGGATTCGGTCTCGGAATCTCAAGTCAGCTTGAACTGACAAAGCTCAACTGAGGAAAACATTCACACAAAAGCCCTAAATGACTGACACACTCCAATGATACCGGTATCGTACTTGTTTGAGTGAGGATAATGCTCAACAAAGAGTAACATGCAAAGATCTCACTATTGTCTGCTATGCTAATGGTTAGAAAATGTGTTATGAGTCAAGAAAATAAATTCATACCAAATCCAACATATTACAACATGCTAACAATGATATTCGGTGCTACATGCTGTAGGTAAGATGGTTACTTGTAATGGGCTGGTCACCCTTTGAATAGCTAGAGTTAATGCTAACATATAATTTCTAGTTGCTAGATCTCATTTGACATGGCATCTTAGACTTTCTCTGTTGTGTATCACCTATCATATCACTTTGTAAAGGTGATTGCCCTTGAGATACAATACCCCATCTCTGAGACGCTGGGAGGACATATAGCTTCCAACCAGCTGGCTTAATCCTGTAAATAGCTCCGAGACCTGGAAGTATTGCCCTTAAGCCAGCTACTCAAGAACAAGATATCTTTGTCCTTTCAACCTTCAGCAAACTCTCAAGGGTTGAACAGGCGGAGGGTTAGATCCTTGAGACCATTAACACCATGATCAATAGTTTACCTGATGTAAAAACCAAACCATGCCTGCCTAGTTTGCTCACCATATTTTAGTTCTCTAAAGAGTCTCGGTGATGACAGGAAGAGAGCTGGTTGACTTGGGGGCTCAAGAACTGTCGCTTTGGCTCTTCGGAGTCAATGGCCAATCAGAGTTGTCTCCTCTCAACAAAAGCAGAACCAAAACTTTTTTCGGGGAAAAGATTGTCCGACTAGCGCTACCAGTTGTCGACAACTGAAACGACTGCCCCAAATTGGCAGATCATAAGAGTGGAGATCCCAAGAGCACCGCCTCTCGGCGCCGGCAATTTCGATAAACGGAGAGACACAATCCGATCCGATCACTTTCCAAGACGGGACTGACGTCAAGCATGGGCCGAAACGCTGGTGGTGTTCGAGAAAACTTATCCAACAAGCCGCGAGAAAAAGGGTCGGCGCAAAGTTGACCTGTTGACCTTCCAAGTTATCTGCTTTTTGCAGCCAGCCACTATCAATCCTTGTCTTGCATCGCTGCTCGGGCCGCTCTGCGATCCCAGCTCCCGGCTGGCCAAGAGGTACCTGGCTCAGTCCAATCGGTGCCCCCGGCCGGAGGCCTGACCACCTGATGAGCTAGGAACTACTCCCAGAACGACCGGCCGCTCCACTCGGGGGGTTGGACGGCTGGCTGCTGGACCCTTTCTTCTTGGCCGAAACAATGCAAATCAAGGCCAAAACCATGCGACAGTCGGGGGAGGTTGTACGATAGGAGCAACCGTCATTCCTTTCCTTCAAACTCTCACATTCCTTTCCACAACGTTGTAAACAAACTATCCCGATCGCCATCGCATCCGAGATGGCACCGTCGTCGAGAACCTCGTGGCTCCGCCCTCCCCGCCCCAAGGTAGGTGCAACTTTTACCCGACCTCCGTCTCCGCGCTCGCGGGTTGCGCCATTGTTGTCGAGATCGCAACACCGGCGGGAGCTCGCCGACCGCCGACTTTTTGGATGGACGTCAGCAAGGCAGACTGCTAACAGATCGCGGCACAGTCCTTCTTGGGGTTCATGTCGCTTCAAACCGGCACGGAGCTGATTTCTCTCGCGTTGGTGTTCAACAAGGCGACGGGTGTCTACGGCATCCTGACGCTCTTCACCGGCTACTCGCTGTCGGCGCTGCAGGTGTCGGCCTACCTGGGCTCGCTGTTCGTGCTGGCCACGCTGTGCGTGTGCATCCCGCAGATCCGCAAGCAGAGCCCGCTGCACAACCTCGCCCTCGCCTGGGTGTATGCCATCGATACTGTCGTCAGCGCCATCTACACGACGGTTTTTGCGACAAGTTGGTACGTAAGCTTGATACATGGGAAGACTGGCGGCGCGACAGCTGATGTGGCCAATGATGATGTGACTGCGGTGGTGGATGGTTCGGTGGCCGACGGGGACCCAATGCAGCACGGTTCTAGGCAGGCGGTGCTGTCCAAGCCGGGAGGCGATGGTGTGCAAGAGACGGCGTTCAGCTTGGTGCTTGTCGTCGGCTTCACGCTGATCCGGGTCTATTTTGCGCTCGTGATCATGGCGTACGCGCGCATGGTGTTGCTGCGGTACGTCGACGAGCGGATGAACCCCGATCCCACCGATGAGGAAGATGCAGGGGAGGGTGTCTCGGTGTCGGAGACGTCGCCTAACCCGTTTGCCCTGGGCGCTCCCCTTGGCGAGGGCTGGAAGGGTAAGCTGGGTCGCGCGATGGTGTCGATCGGGAAGAGGTACTGGCTGGGTGGCAAGAAAGAAGACGAGGAGTGGGCGAAGCAGGTCCATTCCAGGTTCAGGTTCAGGAGCACACGGGAGTAATGGACGGATGGATAGAAGTCATCAAGCCGTGCTCACGCAGTGCGGGGGACGCCATTCGAGCCACCGTCACAGAAGGCTGCTGCATTCAGACTTCAGGGATCACGGTTGCCTGAGCTCATTCGACGATACCTTTTTGCATTTCTCTTTGCGAAGATTTCAAAACTGCATGGCCAGCGGCGTTTTGCATGCATCATATGTAGACTCGTTACAGCCATGATGCTATGGGATGATGAGATACACATATCTAATCTAGGGGTTTTGGGGGGTTGGGGTTCGTCTGGGGTTTGAGGTTCAAGATCTGAGATTTGCGGTTTGACAAGAGTCAGGTAGACCATTGGATTGGACTGGTACCGAATCATGCTTACCAGCATCTTAATTAAAGTTACGGAATTAATGATGATCAAGCGTCTCACCAAACAGCAAACTGAAGACTCTCAAATAGTGCAAGACTTGACGTTAAAAGCTCATCCCGTGCGGCGTGGAGGATGGCCACCTGCTTGGCCTGTGCTTGCATAATCCTCGCCGCCACACTCCCGCAGTTGCGCGGCGTGGGTTGCAAGAGTGACACATGAAACCTGACTCTTCATGAGGTTTGCAGCGTGACTTCACACGACATTATTGCTGGACAGATGCCGAACGGAGCTCGGGGCAAGACAACCACAAAGTCCCAGGGGCCGCGGCTTGAGGGATCCAGCGGGTGGCAAGAAGCAGCAGAAGACACAAGCTGAGATCGTCCGCAGCCCGGAAATACAACTTTGTCTCCGTCCTCTGGAGGTGCGTGCTTGGGCAAGTGGATGTTGTGGATGCACTACGACTCTGGCACTAGGGATACATTCCCCCGAGGCCCGAGATGGCCAGAAAGGCTTTCATGCTGCATGCCGCCCTTGACGGAGCGGTTGGCGGGCGCAGGAGGGCCGCAGCAAAGCAGATGAACGGCTGTTGAGACTGCAACGGGACGTGCAAGCGACGACAACGGGACGAGATTCGACGAGGGCATCTCTTAGGGGTCGCTCGTGCTGGGCTCGACGGGGTATGTATGACAAAGCAAGGTCAAATCCCTTGCGTGTCATTCGCTGGATGATCTGGGGATTCTGGGCCAAACCCGGGATATGGGGCGCTAGGGCGATCACGCAATCGGTCGCCTCGACAGCCGCTTACCGCCAGGGAGAAATTTGGGACGCACTGCGGGGCCGATATAGGCATTTTGCTGGGAGCTGTAGCAGCGTGGCTTCCGATTCTGGGACTTACATAAAGAGCAGCGCGCGGGATGGGCCGCAGAGGGGCCCAGCACGGGAGAAAAGAGAGAAAAAAAAGTTGACGGCATCTCTGCGATGCTGCTTTCTCCTCTGTCAACAAACTTCGTCCATTTCTGATCCGTGTAGGGTTTAGAGATGGCAGTCCCTCAGGCCAAGCTCAGAACGCCTGAAGAGGCCGGTACGTAGCGCTTACACCCCGCTCTCCGTCGCTGGCGTGCTTGGGAATTTGCCCCGCAGTGCGAGCGCAGTTGCTGCTGCCGTCGCCATCGCCTTGCTCCCTGAACTCAGGCTGGAAATTGGAGAATTGACGTGAAAATTTTGAGATTTGAGTTTGATGGCGATGGACGACGGCAGAAGTCAATCTTTTGACCAATTGGTCCTGTTGCACAGAAGCATGCGGCAATGGCAATGCATTATATTATTGCAGTGTCTCATAAGCCAACGCTGACATCACACAGTCGCCTCGATCGCTTACCTGGCCAGCGATGTCGTCGTCTCAGTGCAGCCGGCGATTGGCACCGACTCGGCCTTCTCGAAGCAGCTGAAGCAGCTCGCTCAGTCCAAGACACAGAGCCTCGTCGCGAAAACGAGTGATGCCGTGCCTGAGATCGTCCCGGTCAGGCACAACACCGACCCTCTGCTCTCGGTCTTCACTCCTATCCGCTCGGGCCGCCTGGTCTCCGTCACCACCACATCCAGCATCCTTCTCCCCTCAGTTGCCCATCTCTACCGCCTGGCCAACTTCCCCGTGGTCATCCATGTCGCCCTTGCCCCTAAGAGATTCCCCGACTACTCGGCGATCACGGCCGTGAGGAACTCGGGCTGGACATTTCTGCAGTCATGGTCGCTACAGGAGGCCCACGATATTGCCATTACTGCCCACGCCCTGGCCATCCGCTCCGGCAAGGGTGTCATCCACTTCTTTGACCCCTCTTCCAGCGAGGGTAATGCCCCGATCGAGCTCGCCAGCCTCGACGTCATCCGCACCGTCCTCAATTTGGACAATGTGCGGCGATTCCAGTCTGCTCCTGTCCCCGGGACAGGCATCTATGCTGACGATGGCCGTAAAGCTCTGGTTGCTGAGCAGGCAGAGCCTGTGATCGCTCCGGCATCTGCTGCCAGTGCGGTTGCCGCTGCCAGTGAGGTCCCTGCGACGGGCGCCTCGTCCCCCAGTGCGACCTCTTCCTCTGCCAAGTCCAGCCAGCAGAGCACCAACACCGCGACGCCCACTGCCTCGGCGGCTACGACGATCGAGGAGTCGGCTCCTGCTGTCACCTCCGAGCACATCCACAAGTATGCGACTGGCATCTGGTCGCAACTGAGCAGCCTTATCGGCCGCAACTATAACGCCTTTGAGTACAAGGGCCCTGCCTCCGCCGAGAGCGTTCTTCTGCTCTTCGGCTCTAATGTCAGCCTGTTCGCCGATGCCATCCTTCATGCTCCCTCGAGCGAAGCCTTTGCCGGTGCTGGCCTGCTCATCCCCAGGCTATACCGCCCCTGGCTGGGCGCCAAGCTACTCGAGGCCATCCCTCAGTCAGTCCGCAAGATCGCTGTCCTTGAGCAGATCTCCCGAAAGACGACCAGGTGGGGTCCCGTCCTGGTCGACGTCCTGACCTCGGTCAAGAGCACCCCTGGCGGCGTCGAGACGGTAGTTGGTCACCAGCTCGGCTACATCTCCAAGACGACCGTCGAGCAGGCTCTCCGCGGCGTCTTCCAGAACCTCAGCTCCGACAAGCCTGTCCAAAACCTAGAGGTTGGCGAGCGGGAGGCCCCCAAGGAGGCTCCCGAGTATGGCCTCGAGCAGCCGGCTCTCGAGAACGCTTACATCAAGATCCTCAACAAGCTCTTCGGCAACCGGGTATTCATTGCCAACGCACTTGGTTCTGACAATGCTGGTGTCTCTGACACTATTGCTGCCTCTCCGGAGTTCGGCTTCGGCTCTCTCCTGGCTCGCAAGGAGCGCCGCCAGAAGTTCGTCGAGCAGGCAAAGAAATTCGCTATCATTGGCCAATTCCTGACTGACGTCCCCAAGCGTGCCCTGGCCAAGTGGGCTACCAGTCTTGACGACGTCAAGAAGACCGAGCAGGCCGCCGAAGAGGTCATCTCTTCCCTTACCATTGACAACTCGACCCTGGCCAAGACTCTCCTCGAGGGCAAGGCTTTCTTTCATAAGGAGTCTCTCTGGCTCGTTGGCTCCGATGCCTGGGCCTACGACCTCGGCAACTCTGGTGTGCACCACGTTCTGGCGTCGGGCGAGAACGTCAACCTGCTTATCATCGACTCGACCCCCTACTCCGAGCGCGCCGCTGCTGATGCCAACAGGCGCAAGAAGGACATTGGGCTTTATGCCATGAACTTTGGTAACGCCTACGTTGCCTCGACCGCCGTCTATTCCTCCTATACCCAGGTCCTGCAGGCGCTTGACGAGGCCGACAAGTTCAACGGCCCGTCGGTCGTCCTCGCCTACCTCCCCTACAATGACGAGCACGACTCTCCTCTCACCGTGCTGCAGGAGACCAAGAAGGCCGTCGATCTCGGCTACTGGCCCCTGTACCGTTGGAACCCGGACAATGAGGCTAAGGGAGAGCCCAAGTTTGCTCTAGATTCGGAGCGCATCAAGAAAGAGCTCAAGGAGTTCCTGGATCGCGAGAATCGTCTCACACAGCTCATGCGCAGCCAGCCTCAGTATGGCGCTGTCTTGTCGGAGGATTACGGCACCGAGATCCGCGCACAACAGAGGAGGCGGGCGAAGGATGCCTACAACAAACTGCTTGAGGGTCTTTTTGGTGCTCCTCTGACCATTTTGTTCGCCTCCGATAATGGCAACGCTCAGAATGTGGCGAAGCGGTTGGGTAACCGTGGCCGCACGCGTGGTCTCAAGACCATCGTCATGTCGATGGAGGACTACCCTGTCGAGGACCTGCCAAGCGAAGAGAACATCGTGTTCGTTACCTCTACTGCTGGTCAGGGTGAGTTCCCCCAGAATGGCAAGCCGTTTTGGGATGCCATCAAGGACAATACCGATCTCGATCTCGCCTCGGTCAAGTACTCGGTGTTCGGTCTTGGTGATAGCCACTACTGGCCTCGTAAAGAGGACAAAGTCTACTACAACAAGCCCGCCAAGGACCTCGACAGGCTGCTGTCCAACTTGGGCGCTACCCGGCTGGCTCCCCTCGGCCTTGGTGACGACCAGGATCCTGATGGCTACCAGACTGGCTACCAAGAGTGGGAGCCCAAACTGTGGGAGGCGCTCGGCGTGGCAAGCGTCGAGGGCCTGCCGGAGGAGCCTCCGCCGAGGACCAACGAGGACATTAAGCTCGAGTCCAACTATCTGCGGGGCACCATTGCGGAGGAGCTCAAGGACGAGTCGACCGGTGCCATTTCGGCCGACAACTCCCAGCTCACCAAGTTCCACGGCACTTATATGCAGGATGACCGTGACATCCGCGATGCCCGCAAGGCCCAAGGTCTCGAGCCGGCCTATTCGTTCATGATCCGCTGCCGTCTACCGGGTGGTGTCGCAACCCCTCAGCAATGGATCCAGATGGACGATATCGCCAACACCTATGGCAACAAGACCATGAAGCTCACGACCCGTCAGACCTTCCAGTTCCACGGCGTCATCAAGCGCAACCTCAAGAAGGCTATGCAGGCCATCAATCGCGCCCTCATGACGACCTTGGCTGCTTGCGGTGATGTCAACCGTAACGTCATGTGCAGCCCGCTGCCGTCGCAGTCCAAGTACCACCGCGAGGTCTGGGCCTGCTCCAAGAAGATCAGCGACCACCTACTGCCTCAGACGTCAGCCTACCACGAGATCTGGCTGACTGACGATAACGACAAAAAGGAGCTGGTTGCTGGCAACGCCGTCCAGGACTTCGAGCCTCTCTACGGCCCGACTTACCTGCCCCGCAAGTTCAAGATCTCGATCGCCGTGCCCCCGCACAATGATGTCGACGTCTACGCGCATGATATTGGTCTGATTGCCATTAAGGGTGCCGATGGCCACCTCGAGGGTTTCAACCTGCTGGCTGGTGGTGGTATGGGTACCACTCACAACAACAAGAAGACTTACCCGCAGCTGGGTCGCATGCTTGGCTTCGTCAAGACGGCCGACGTGCACATTGCCTGCGAGAAGGTAATGCTTGTGCAGCGCGACTTCGGTGACCGCAAGAACCGCAAGCACGCTCGTCTCAAGTACACGATCGACGACATGGGCGTTGAGATGTTCAAGGCTAAAGTCGAAGAGTACTGGGGCCAGAAGTTCGAGGAGGCCCGGCCGTTCCACTTCGACAGCAACGTCGATACCTTCGGCTGGCAGAAGGACGAGACGGGCATGAACCACTTCACCTTCTTTATCGAGAACGGCCGTATCGAGGATACTCCCGACTTCCCGATGAAGACTGGTTTGCGCGAGATCGCCAAGGTTCACAAGGGCGAGTTCCGTCTCACCCCGAACCAGCATCTCATCCTTAGCAATGTCGCCGACGAAGATGTCCCTCTCATGAAGGAACTCATGGCTAAGTACAAATTGGACAACCTCAACTTCACCGGCCTGCGTCTCAGTTCATCGGCTTGCGTCGCCTTCCCGACCTGCGGTCTCGCCATGGCCGAGTCGGAGCGTTACCTGCCCGTGCTGATTACCAAACTGGAGCAGGTGATCGAGGAGGTCGGCCTGCGCCGCGATTCCATCGTCATGCGCATGACGGGCTGTCCGAACGGCTGCGCTCGTCCTTGGCTGGCGGAGGTTGCTTTCGTCGGCAAGGCGTATGGCGCATATAACATGTACCTGGGCGGCGGCTATCACGGGCAGCGACTGAACAAGCTGTACCGGTCGAGCATCAAGGAGGAGGAGATCCTGCCGATTATGAAGGGTCTGCTCAAGAGGTATGCGGCGGAGCGCGAAGAGGGCGAGCACTTTGGTGATTGGTGCATTCGGGCGGGTGTGATTAAGGCGACGAAGGAGGGGAGGGATTTCCACGATGGGGTGAGTACTTCTACCCAAATGTTGAGTGACTTGACGACAAGATGCTGACATTTTTTTGTTTGCAGGTTGCTGAGGAAGAGGGTGAGGAGTAGGTTGTACAGTTACAGGGGAGCATGCATGAACCGAGTTGGCAGGGGAGTCCAAAACACATTTGCTACAGATAACCGCGCGATTAACACCACCATATATTATCATCATCTCTCAACACCTTGATTTCTTTCAGTTTTCTAGGTTCAAATCTGAAGTAAATATTAAGGACATGGTACATACATATTTCTACGTTCATGCAGGTGTTCCATGAGTCTGGAGTGCAGTGGATGAGATGGTGCCAACATGGAGATTTGGTTTCTTGACGCGCTGAATGCGCCCCGCAGGAACCGAGCAGCCGCAGCCAATGGAGACCTGCCAACAGACATGCAACTTCAACAGCCGCAGTAACATCGTCGGCTCCGCGGGTTAGTAGCCCGAATCATAGCGCAGGATTGACCACCACGAGGCCGCGAGGATTGGCCTCCCGGGTCCGACTTCGAGGCAGTGCTCGAGATCCTTGTAAAGAAAATGAATGCCCCGTAAGATGCGGCCGCTGGGCTGTTTCGGCCCAGTAACGGGAATTTGAAACAGGGCAGCTGCGAACGCGCCTGTTCTCGGGCACAGTGCTTCTTCACTCCGGAAAAGCAGACAGCATCTCACAAAAAAGCTGATTCCCTTCCACAAAACTTCAGATCATCACTTACGGCCGTCATGATCGCATGAATTCCGTAATCCGTAGATACCTAGGAGCAAATGCAGGGTCCACGATTTGGTGGGGGAGACTCTGCTGCAGCCAAGCGCGCGGCGTGGGATGACGCGCGTACCACGCGTGGATGGGGCGTTGCCGTGGCAACATGACTTGCACAAGGGTGCAGGGCTGGGCAGGCGCATGCAGACTAAACAACGGGACCCCTCCCCGGCTAGCGCCCTAGAGACCAGAAATCCCGACCTTCCGACCCCTCGCTGGCTCTTTTGTTAATCTCCATCGCCCAGTCCAACGTCTGCCCAATCATCTTGTATGTTGATTTCTTGCTTCTTTCAAGCCCTGCTAGCGCCAAAGGCAAAAAAGGATCCACGCTGGTCTGAAAGGAAGGCCAACGTCTGGGGCACCAACCTCGCGAATTTTGTTCCTGCAGCGAAAACCGAAAACGATCCGAACAGATTGCACCATTGTACTGCATTGCGTTCAGCGACTCCATTTCCTCGCAGCGGACGTTTCCTCGTTTCGTTGCTGGAGACTTTCACCCCACCTGTGACCTGTTGGCTGGCGATCTACGATTGATCAACCATTTGGCTGGAACGCATCCAGCAGCATTCCTGATCCCGTACCTGAAGATCGCATCCCTTGCGATTCACAGTCTACCGAATTAAACCATCTGTGCAACATCGCAAGACGAACAATTCCAGTCGAACCGAACCACTGAGAGGGAGCCGAACCGACTAACCAGCCCAGGGCCGCGCGCTCAGTCTGAGCCCGCACACTCGCCCGTTTCTCGCGGCTTCGCAAACGAACCCAGGCAGGGCCGACAAGACCACGACTGCGACCGATTCAGTTGAAACCAAAATGGACGGTCGACGCACGCCTCCACGCCCACCAGCCGGCTCGGGCTACATGCTACCCCCCAACTACGGCCACGACGACATGGACAACGACCCGACTGGCATGCACCACCGCTACAGCCATCAATTTCATCATCAGCACCATGGCTCGGGCGTGCGCCTCTTGACCGGAATGGAGGATACCAGCTACGATCCAGATCCCAGGGTGTATGTGTTGTCTTCCTTTTCTTCCTCTCACCCTTCACTCCGTTCCAATTGCTCTTTAATTCCCCCCCTGGGCTCGAAACATGAACACGAGCATGAGCACGAGATATGCGTCAACGTTCCCGAGATTTTGTCTCCTGTTCCCATTCGCGTTCCTTGGCCTAGTCCGGTTTGGATACCGAGGACGTTGGAGGAGGTTATGGAAGAGGAACAGGAACAGGAGCCCGAGTACAAGCCTCGTCCGCTGCCCGAGATTCTTAACATTCTTCGGACAGAAGCGAGGGATGGTTTCAAGGACGACAGTAAGAGTGATTCAAGCATCGATATGAGAGACATCGGCCATGTTTGTGCTCTTTCCCCCGTGAGCACAGGACTGGCTCAGACCCAAGGCTTTACAGTCAACGCAACAATTACAGTTCCGACATTAGCAACCGCTCCAACAGCTCGCGTAACAGCTTAGGCAGCTCAATCCGCAGCTCAAGGGGCCCAGTCTCAGTCGCAGCCAAAAGAACAGGCTTCTCCAAGTAAGAGGCGCTGCATCAAGGCCGTTCGCCGAAAAGCAATGGCGTCATCCAGCGACTTGCGACAGCCCCGTCCGGCTATGACAGCTCCGCGCAGAACTGTCAGGCTGCAGCGGCGTCAGGATCTGCCTCCTCGGCCTCAATGCAAGCAGCTGTCATCACCACCAAAGGGCTACCGAGAAGAGCGTGAGCTGAGCCCCGAAGCTGTTGCCGCCATCGTCGCGAGCCTGCCGACCATCCCGGAGGGCCCATCTCCGAGACGGTGGTCGAGGTATAGAGCGAGAGTTGAAACTGCACCTAATAGCGATGAAGAAGAGGATCCTAAGCCAGTCAAGACCGTTGCATACCTATACCCCAGAAGCACAGGCACAAGGAATGTCTTAACAAGCAGCGGCTTACACGGACACCGTAACAGGCACACTTCACATGGGTACGAGCCCTCCCTCGATGACCGGACCAATCTATATGAGCCATCGCTTGACGATCGGCGGCCGTATGAGCCCTCGCTTGATGAACGCCCTTCTCGCGTTACCTATGAGCCGTCGCTTGACGATCGAAGGGGTTATGAACCCTCGCTGGACGAGCGCCCTTCCCATGCTTACGAGCCCAGCTTGGATGAGCGTCCCGGACCGAGCAGCAGCAGGGGAATTTACAGCGAGTCGACTACTTCGTTTACGACGGATGCAAGACAGTCCATCATGAACCCCCCACCTATCCCTCCTCCGCAGCAAGGAGGTCATACGGGGGGCTTTTCGGTTTACAATCCCGAGACGGATGGTTCTCCTACCGCGAGAGCAGGACATTGGCTTCCCCCGCCGCCGACGCACAGTAATATCTCGTTGAACACGACCACAACGAGTAATGACTACGCCCCGCCGCCGCGTCCCCCTCCGGCAAGCACACGCTATGAACCGGCCGATCTGAACGGGAACCCTCGACCAGGGACGTCATCGAACTCCGCATATGATAGAGGCGCAGCTAGCAGGCCTTTACCTCCGGCACCGTTGTTTTCACTCGGTGGGCCAGGCACCAGGTCAACGACCAGCTTTGCGCCAAGTAGTGGCATGGGCGGGCTCGATGACGCGGTTAGTATCCCTCTTGGCGCAGAGGACGACGATCCGTTTGGTTCGAGGGCCGAGCTGCGGAGCGAGCATAACCATGAGAGGTATCCTATGCGGAGCGAAATGGACATGGAAAGTCAGCGGGAGGGATCAGAATACGGACCATCGAGGACTAACAGCGTTACGGACCGGACTACATCCTCGGGGTCGTCGATCCAAGAGAAGTTTGAGCAGTATCGCCAGGCCCCGACAGAGGGCAAACAAGAACGTCGCGGTCTGCGCCCACCGCAGATGAGCAAAAAAGAAGTGCAGCTTATCAACGGCGAGCTGGTGCTGGAGTGCAAGATCCCGACGATTTTGTACAGCTTTTTGCCGAGGAGAGATGAGATCGAGTTCACGCACATGCGGTACACAGCCGTCACTTGCGACCCAGACGATTTTGTTGACAGAGGGTACAAGTTAAGGCAGCAGATCGGGCGGACTGCGCGCGAGACGGAGCTGTTCATCTGCATCACGATGTACAACGAGGATGAGTTCGATTTCACGCGGACGATGCATGCTGTGATGAAGAACATTGCGCATTTCTGCAGTAGGACGAAGTCAAGGACTTGGGGTGAGAATGGGTGGCAGAAGATTGTGGTGTGCATCGTGTCCGACGGCAGAGAGAAGATTCACCCGCGCACGCTGGATGCCCTCGCGGCCATGGGTGTTTACCAGCACGGTATTGCGAAGAACTACGTCAACCAGAAGGCTGTGCAGGCGCATGTGTACGAGTACACGACGCAGGTGTCGCTCGACTCCGATCTCAAGTTCAAGGGCGCCGAGAAGGGGATTGTGCCGTGTCAGATTATTTTCTGTCTGAAGGAAAAGAATCAAAAGAAGCTCAACTCGCACCGGTGGTTCTTCAACGCTTTTGGACGTGCCCTCAACCCGAATGTCTGCATCCTGCTTGACGTCGGTACTAAGCCGGCTAACACAGCGCTTTACCATCTCTGGAAGGCCTTCGACCAGGACTCTAACGTCGCTGGCGCCTGCGGAGAGATCATCGCCATGAAGGGCAAGTGGGGGAAGAATTTGCTCAATCCTCTAGTGGCGTCTCAGAACTTTGAGTACAAGCTGTCGAATATCCTGGATAAGCCGCTTGAATCAGTGTTTGGGTATATTACCGTGTTGCCGGGTGCGCTAAGTGCGTACCGGTATCATGCATTGCAGAATGATGAGACGGGGCATGGACCGCTGAGTCAGTACTTCAAGGGTGAGACGCTGCATGGGCAGCATGCGGATGTTTTTACGGCGAATATGTATCTGGCCGAGGATCGTATTTTGTGCTGGGAGTTGGTGGCCAAGAGAGGGGAGAGATGGGTGTTGAAGTATGTGAAGAGTTGTAAGGGTGAGACGGACGTGCCTGGTGAGTCCCCTGCCCCTTTTGTTCGACTTTTTCGAGAGCCTCGAGCTAACAGCTACAGATACTGTCCCTGAATTTGTCTCGCAACGCCGCCGCTGGCTCAACGGCGCCTTCTTCGCAGCCGTCTACTCGTTGGTTCACTTCCGTCAGATCTGGCAAACCGACCACACCATGGCTCGCAAGATCCTGTTGCACATCGAATTCGTCTATCAAGCTATCCAGCTCTTCTTCACCTACTTTTCCCTGGCCAACTTCTACCTCACCTTCTACTTCATCGCAGGCGGCATCGCCGATCCAGCCGTCGACCCCTTCGGCGGCAAGACCTGTCTCTACATCTTCACCATTATGCGCTACGTCTGCGTCCTGCTCATCTGTACACAATTCGTGCTCTCCCTTGGCAACCGCCCTCAAGGCGCCAAAAAGATGTACGTCGCGTCCATGATCATCTACTCTATCATCATGGCATGGACATTCTTCGCCTGTATCTACATTGTCATCCGCCAGTTCCGTCTTAAGGATGATCCGGACCTGGCGCTGGGCAATAACGTTTTTACGAATGTCGTCGTGTCCACGATATCGACTATCGGCCTCTACTTTGTCATGTCCTTTTTGTATCTCGACCCCTGGCACATGTTCACTTCCTTCCTGCAGTACCTCATCCTGTTGCCGTCGTATATCTGCACACTGCAGATCTACGCGTTCTGCAACACGCACGACGTGACATGGGGTACCAAGGGTGATAACGTGTACAAAACCGACCTGGGCGTTGCCAAGGGTGATGGGTCCAAGGTAGAGTTGGAAATGCCCTCCGAACAGTTGGACATCGACTCGGGGTATGACGAGGCCCTACGTAACCTGCGCGATCGTGTCGAGGTACCGAAACAGCCTGTCAGCGAGGAACAACTGCAACAAGATTACTACAAGAGCGTCCGCACCTACATGGTGCTAGTCTGGCTCGTTGCGAACGCGACGCTCGCTATGGCGGTGAGCGAGGCCTACGGTGGTAGTGCCATCGGGGACAATTTCTACCTGCGTTTTATCCTGTGGTCGGTCGCAGGCTTGGCCGGGTTCCGTGCGCTGGGGAGCACCGCGTTCGCGGTCATTGAGATTATTAATATGATTGTCGATGGCAAGATGAGGATGTCGCTGCGCTCGCCGCGCTGGAAGACGACTAAGAGCGGGAAGATCCGGCCGGGTGGGCGGTGGGGATGGTTTTCGGGGATTGGTGAGAAGGTTAGTGATGCGGTGAGTAGTGTGGCGACGAGTATTAGGCGTTAGGGAACTGTTTCTTTTGTAGGGTTTTCTCGTTTTGTTATGATGGGCTGATGATGATGATGGGATATGAACGGAAGGAAATAATGATGGGTACTGTCGGATACATGAGTGAGGAACTGTCTGTTATCTCCATGGCTTCATGTATGTTGATGAGCTTAATGTCATGAGTGTTATGTGATATACTGTAGATACCCTAAAACTACGATTATGTCTATATGCGACTCTGTCATTGCCAAGTCGTTGCGTGTCCAATCATTAAGTCCAACCCTTGCACCACCATCATTTGCACTGCATCGATCCCATATCCGAGCATTACCTTAAGCAGAATATTCTCCGTCCAGTCCATCATCACACATAACCTCATAAACCCATAACCCGTAACACTGTCTGCTCAAGGTAGACATACGTCCTCCTGCCCAGCTTCCCCAACTGGAACGACACGAGCCCTCCAGACGCTTTTCGAGCCTTCAAAAACCCATAAACGACGAACCCCAACGAAATAGCCGTCGAAATGAACAGCAGCGCCTCGTCAGCCCGCGCCCGCCGACAGTTGCCCTGCAGCCGATGATAAACTTTCTCCTCGTCGTTCGTGCCCTTGAACACGCCATACACTTTATTTTTTCCAGACCCCCGCGAGCCCTGGTTGAGGAGGTTATTCTTGAGCATGTTCCCGCCATGCTTGCAGTTTTCTAGGCCACCTCCTAGGCCGATTGCCCATGCCTTGTGCTGTTAGTGTCATCGTAGCTTGAGAAGGGGGACGGGGGAGGGGGAGACGTACGATGCCGGCGGCAAGGGCCAAAATCGCAAAGATGGCATCCAAGAGGACAGGCCCAAGTTGAACAATCGATGAGGCGGATTCGGAGGCGAAGAGCAGTACTGCGGCTCCCACTATGGCCACAAACATACCAAAAGCGCCGACAAAGACTGTGTAGCGGATAGTGACTGGGGCCGAGCCAATAACCCAAATCCGGACAAAATGTGCCGCTAGGCCCAGAACAGTTAGGGCGAGGAGGAACTATAGAGTGGTCAGAGTTGTTTCTAGCGAGGACGGGGTTGAAGTTGCGTTGGTGAAGGGCCGTACCTGGAGGACCTGAGGGCCGAGAACTGCGAGCTTCGCCATGGTTTTGGAGTTGAGAGAGAAACCTGGCAAACAGAAGAAAGAGTATCAATTGAGGATGACAGAGAGGCAGAAGCTATATATCTGCTCAAACTAGGCCCACCACATGCCTTGATAACGGCACCGACCGACTACGATTTCCCTTCAGCCTCTTTCGTAGGTGGTTGGGCAGTAGTATTGAATCATTCTGTGCCGTAACACACCGGTAGCTAGCCGCTTATACCGTGCTCGATGCATAACTCTTCAGCCAGTCAGATCTAGGTCAGGGTAGGATTGGGAATCCGAGGGCGGGTCGTTTGAATCCTACCAGACTTGATGGTTGGGGGCCAATGTGTAGCTAGATCATGGAGATGCGGGTAACACAGGATTCTTGCATAGTCGGGCCATTATATTATAGCTTTTGTTGTCTTTCCCCTCTTCAAAAAGTAATGTGAGTTACGCCAAGCTGTACCACGATAGATGGTTGGAAAACCGAGAGATCAGGCAGCAATTTAAGAACTGATCCATGAGGAGAAACAGTGTATATTGGTACTCAAATACACACGGCTAGAGAGCTGGCACTGCGTGCTCGATGACATCTCTCTGGGCCTCCCAGGCCAGCCAGTCTGATCTCGTCGTCCTGCACAAGTTAGCATCACGGTATCGTCCGTCCTCATGGGCCAAAACTCACGGTAACAGCCCCATGGCATTAACCTTCCATATCCCGAGCGCCAATGCAACCAATTGGAATGCTACATAGGCCACTTTGACCTGCAGGATGCGGGAGCGGTTGGTGTCGGTCTCGAAGCGGTGGAAGGCCTGGTTCGTGCCGAGGATGCCCATGATGGGGTTCTTGAAGGTCATAAAGACCATCATGATGGAGAAGATCTGAAGCGAATTGGGCGTCATATAAATCATGAGCAGCGTCATGGGCAGGCCCTTGATTGGGCCCAGCGCCACCTCCCATGCCTTCTTGACCTTGAGCGTGTCCATCTCGTCGGCGGTCGGCTGCTGACGCTTGGCGTCTTTGTCTTTTTTCTGTGGGGTGTCAGCATTGTTGGGTCTGCATTGGAGAATCAACGGCCGGTTTACCTTTGAGCTTCCTGAGCTCGGCTGGCCGTAGCCCGGGGGATCGGGGATTCCTGGTTGCTTCTGCTTGTACGCGGGCGGATTCTTGAGCCCCGCGGCCCAGGCTGGGAGGATTGTTGTGTTGGACATGATCGATTGTATAGGAAACTGATTACTGTTTATTTAGGCCGCTGAGTGTATTTGCAACGCGAGATTGTAGTCGTCGGAGTGTGTTGATGTCGAGATCAAGATGCGATTGAATGAATGGCGGCAGCTTGTCGCTGCTGCGTTGCAGTTGGAGCTCCAGCCGTTGTCAGCCCAAGTCCCACCACAGCAGCACGCTAGTAAACTTCACACCCCCATGCTCTCCTTGGATCCAATCCTTTCAGGGGCCAGATCCACTTCCCGCGCTGAGCGCGTGGCCCGTGGGCCATCACCAGCGACGAGGAGTCGAGGCAATGGATGGGATCGGCTGGGATCTTTCTTCCCGACTTCCTACTTCAGTCGCATTTTCGGCGCTGCGACGACAGGAGTGCGTGCTAGCGCGACAACGACATCATCGTAGCTGCGGCTGGCTCGACTTGTCCTACCTTGCTAACTAACACCAAGAAGCCCTCCGAGTTTACCTTAGGGACTACGACGACGAAGCATCAACACCGATCAAAAGCAGCACTTCTCTTCCCAGAACGGCGGGCTGCCTTCGCTTAACGAGTCGTCTTCATCAACCAACGTCCAGCGCCTGTTCCCCAACCACGTCCATTGGCCTCGCCTGTTGCCGTCAATCGATTCAAATCTCTCGTTTGCCATTCCCTCTCAGCGTCATCGGCCCGGGCAGACCGGCCTGCCTAGGGACGCGCCGTTCGGTCCAGTCCTGAGCCTGTCAGCGACCCGTTGCCATCTCCACCTCGGGCCGTGACGTCCCGCGAGCCGGAGCGAGAACGCCGTTTTGAAATCCTTCGACCAACAACAGACAAGATGTCGAGCTCGCAAGGGGGAGACTCGAAACTGTTCGCTCGCGTAAGTTGACACCAGCTCTGGTTCTGGTTCTGGAAGTCAGGTGTCTTGGCTGCGCTCTTGGGTCGCCTTGCTGGGAGGGGAGGGGAAAGCAAGAGACTCCGGAAGCAAACAGTCTGTCGGTTGCCGTCCAACGCCGTTTAATATCTGCATCGCGCCCCTCCGGACCACTCTTTGCGTCCAGAGCCAGCCTTGCTGCCCTCTCCCTTTGTTGCTGCCCCATATGAACCACAACCGTCTCCTAGACCACTACTCTCCTATCATGCCCCTCCCCCGCCATGATCATCGACGCCATGTTCACTCCTTATCTGCCTCCTCCGACTAGATACTTACCCCGCGTGCAGGGCAAAGTCGCCGAGCTGCGCTTCGAGCTCAACAGCGGTGGCAAAAAGGACAAGCACCACACCGCCAAGCGCATCGCCCTCAAGAAGATCGTCGCCAACATGACCATGAGCAACAACGACATGGTTGCCCTGTTCCCAGACGTTGTCGCCTGCATGACCATCCAGGACCTCGAAATCAAGAAGATGTGCTTCTTGTACTTGGTCAACTATGCCCGCATGCGCCCTGAGGTCGCCGTCAAGGCCATTCCTGTGCTGGAGCGGGTTAGTCTAATTGCTCCCATATCCAACAGACGTCTCTCTGACCTTCCCAGGACATGGAAGACCCGAACCCCTTGATTCGCGCGCTGGCCCTGCGCACCATGTCGTATATTCATGTCCGTGAGTTCGTCGACGCCACAGTGCCCATCGTTAAGCACATGTTGCGCGATCCGGACCCGTATGTGCGCAAGACGGCCGCCTTCTGCATCGCTAAGCTGTACGATCATGACCGCCAGATGGTGGAAAAGTCCGACCTCATCGACCGGCTTAACAGTCTGCTCCGTGACGACAACCCCACCGTGGTCGCCAGCGCCTTGGCTAGCTTGATGGACATCTGGGAGAGGAGCGAGAATATCAAGCTGACGATCGACTATACCAATGCGTCGAAGATGGTTGCTATTCTGCCGGACTGCTCGGAGTATGTCCCCTTGACTTTTTGGAATTAAGTCAGAAGCTAACTATGGCAGATGGGGCCAAACATACATTCTCGAGGCGCTTATGACCTACGTCCCCCAAGAATCTGGCGAAGCCTCTCTCCTCGCCGAGCGCATTGCCCCTCGCCTTTCCCACAGCAACTCAGCCGTCGTGCTAACCGCCATTCGTGTGATTCTCTATCTTATGAACTACATCTCCGACCAGAAGCAAATATCCGCCCTCTGCCGGAAACTCTCTCCTCCGCTGGTGACCCTCTTGGCCAAGGGCCCCGAAGTCCAGTACCTCGCCCTGCGCAACGCGCTCCTCATCCTCCAACGCCGCCCCGAAGTCCTGCGCAACGACATCCGCGTCTTTTTCTGCAAATACAACGATCCAATCTACGTCAAAGTTACCAAACTCGAGCTAATCTTCATGCTCGCCAACGAAAAGAACATCGATGAAGTCCTCACCGAGCTCCGCGAATACGCGACCGAAATCGACGTCCACTTCGTCCGCAAAGCTGTGCGCGCCATCGGAAAGCTGGCCATTAAGATCGAGCCCGCCGCCCGGCGCTGCATCAACCTTTTGCTCGAGCTTATCCAGACCAAAGTGACCTATATCGTCCAGGAGGCGACGGTCGTCATCCGCAACATCTTTCGCAAATACCCGAACCAGTACGAGTCCATCATCTCGACCCTCTGCGAACACCTCGATTCCCTCGACGAACCCGAAGCCAAAGCTGCCATGGTCTGGGTCATCGGCCAATACGCCAACCGCATCGAGAACGCAGACCAACTCCTCGAGGACTTCCTCTACTCCTTTCACGAGGAGCCCGTCGAAGTCCAGCTCGCCCTGCTCACAGCCACAGTCAAGCTCTTCATCCAGCGCCCCACAAAGGGTCAAGACCTCGTTCCCAAAGTCCTCAAATGGGCCACCGAAGAAACCGACAACCCCGACCTGCGCGACCGCGCATACATGTACTGGCGCCTGCTCTCCACAGACATGGAAGCCGCCAAGCGCATCGTCATGGGCGAGAAGCCACCCATCACAGCCGAATCCGAGCGCTTAGACCCTGCCACGCTTGAGGAAATGTGTCTAAACGTCGGTACCCTAGCAACAGTCTACCTCAAGCCGGTGCAAACCGTTTTCCGGAATGCCCGCCCCCGGCGGCTGCAGGAGTCTCCTTGCCTGCAGAAGAATGATTTACCTGGTCCAGTGATCGGGATCATGGGTGATGCGACAAAGAGTTTGAGCCAGTTTGGTCATGGGAGCCAGGCGATTTTCAGTCATGCAGCACCAGCTGCTAGTGCCAGTCCTAACCCGCAGAATGGAGGAGGGAACATGGCGCAGGCGGTGAACCAGGCGGATGCTTATTTTGCGTCACAGATGCAGAAGATGCAGATTCATGATGGGGGAGATGCGTTTGGAGGGGCAATGGGGAGCGAAGGGGGAGGATATGTGGTGAATCAGTATGCGCCGCAGACGGTGTATCAGCCGGCACAGATAGCGGCGAATAATCAGGATTTGTTGCTCTAGATTGCACGATGTTGATAGATACCTGAGTTGTTGTAAGTTGTGGTGTACGGTATGGTTGTCGGTAAAGATGGTTTCTGAAGGGCTCCTTTTGCTGTACATATTGGGGTTACTTTTTAATCGAGGATTTTGCCATTCAGCAGACATAGAGTCATAGTCTGAGAGATCTCAATGAAGGGGACCAGTCACGGGCATCGAGTAAACAGCAAATCAACTCTCATTACCTCCTTACCCTCATTACTACCGACCCTACCACGAACAAGAGCACACGAGCTAGAAATGGCCGAGCTCCATGAAAGTTACCCCTGGCACTGTATAATGCTGGCAAGACCACATAACATCCCCAATAACCCACATTACCCGCCAGTAAACTAGCAACATGAAAGTGATACTTGGTCAAACAAAACAGAACCAGATCAAGCAGGCCAGGGGGCATAGTGTGTACGAGCAAGCTCATCAAACAACCATCATACCAAACATCATGGCTCCGATGCCAACCAGGTTGCCAACCTTGTTGGAGCCAGCACCAGCGCTAGCCGGGGTAGACGTAGGAGGATTAGAGGCAGTCGACGTGGTTGAGGAAACCAATAGACTGGTGATGGTAGTATCAGGAGAGATCGGAGGAGCCAGACTGTTGGTTGAGGTCTCAGTAACGCCAGGAATGCTGGTGAAGGTTGTAGTGATGGTCTCAGTGCCGCTGGTGAAGGTCGAGGTGAACGTCTGGGTCAAAGTAGATGTCTGGGTGACGAACTCAGTGGTGGACGGCTCCGTAGCAGGCGGAGGGGGAAGGATCTCCGTAGTGCTGCTCTCAGGTATGGGGACCGGCACGGTCTGAGTGACAGTGGCACACGGGGTAACGGTGGTGATAGTCACGACAGCACCGGCACCAGTCAGGGTAATGGTAGTAGTGGCCGAGGCTGTGACTGTGACGGTAACAGTAGTAACGTCAGAGGCGTCACGAGCGGCAAGAGCCTTTGCTTCAGCCAGAGCCTGCTCGGCGTTGCAGGCCGGCATCATGATGTTGGCAACTCGGGCCGTGGCAAGGCCGAGGTTGCTGACGGCGAGGGCCGTGGTGAGGATGTGATGACCGAACATGGTGACAATTGACTGGTCTGAAGAATGTCAACTGCTATATTCCAAGGTAGTTGAGGGAACAGAGCAACTAAGAGCTTGAGTTGACGAGGAGTTCGATCCCAGCGATCACTGGCACACCACGTTGGATCGGGGAACTTGAGCATTTTAATCAATTCTTTGACTAGCTTGCCAAGTTTTGGATCACGAAACTCCTATCCAAGATGGAAACGACTGAAAAAGGAGAGAATTGAAGCCACTTACAGGCAGAGAGTTCACAATTGAGCAATTCTCCAGTACTAAAGGTCCGTCGTTGCGTCGTCGTTCCTCAAGTTGGCACGGGTGAAAAAAAGATCGAGAGGTTGGAAATTTGGAAGAGTTGGAAAATGTGGAAGAGTGGGAGAAGGAAGAGGAAGGTTACAGGATCAGAAATGCCGGGTGTGTTGGCGCCTTGGAGATGAGGCAAGCGGAAGAGTGAGGAAGGAAGGTACGACACAATAACGATGGGGCCATTCAACAGTTTCACTCCCCTAGGGTTTAATTTTCAGGTCATGGACAGACAAAACTGATTGCGGAACGGACAGGGTGCAACTCCAAACGGATGGAAGCATGCCATTGTTTAGGAGAATTCAGGATGTGTTGCGTTCCATGCTGAGACTCTTGTTCCGGCCGTTCACAGGGTAACGGGATGATTTGGTCACAACGATGATCACTCTTAGAATGTATACAAAAAGTTCTACAAAATTTTCATCAGAATTCTGTCCACTTGATGAAGCTTGGGTGGATGAGGCTTTTCGCATTGCTCTGTTCATGGGAAGTAGTTATTGATATGCTCCCCGTTAGTCAACTCGGCTCACTGGCTTCCATATGAGTCGAGCGGAAGATTATCACAACTGGTATATTGTGGCAATTCATGGGGAGTTACACAGATGACAAGTCTTTCATCTTGGTGGCGCTTTTTGTGTTCATCGCACGGCATGAGACGTACCTGCGTCAGTCTTTAAGTTGTGCCACTTGAGTTGTGCTCCTCTATCATGGTGGAGTTACAATAACCGTAGAGGAGTTCAACGGATCTCGCTATTTGATGACTGTTTGAAGCTCTCCTCCGAATTCGAGGGGAAAGTGTCTGGCAGACGTGTCATTGATCTCAATTCTTTCACGTCAACTCATCTTGTCAAATTGAGGGATTGAGGGGTTTTAGATTTAGTTGCAGTTATGAAGTTCAGAGAGAACTACTACCCTAACTCACTTATCTGGTTACTGATCTGGGAGTTAGAGCTCAATCGATTGAGAAGTTGTCTTTATTATCTCGGCTTGCAGTGTACATTTGTCAGGATCGAGTCAACCTCATCCCCAGCCTCATGTCTCAACTCAACATGCTCATTGCCCAAACTGGTACGGCCGTGCACGTAACAATTCATCTACCAACATCACTGCAAGATGCAGTGATATGACGAGTCTCAGGCGGATATTGCACCCTGAAGTGCTGTCGTGTCCTGACACAGTTACAGCGTCTGGAGGCTTGCCGTCCATGAAACGGGCATAGTTGACAGTTGTAAGTTTCTCTGTATCACAGTCCCGGGATTTGTGCTGCAAAGCTGCGACAACACCGCCCATTCTGGTGCTGATTCCTCGCGAAGGGTAACCCTCTCATTTCAGGCAAGTTTCTGGCCAGCGCGCCATTCTGCTCCAAGATGAGGCTACCAGCTGTTGCCTGCCAAAGAGAGACTCTTGATTGCCAGCAATTGAATGAGAAATGACAGGCCTCATTTGAAGAAGGATTGAAAGCTAAACTAAACCCTTAAACTGCTGATGGCTTCCGATCTTTGCAAAAATTGGGTCATCACTGTCCTCGCCGTCAAGGTCAAAGAGAGGTCTCCAGCCCAGCCCGGGCAGACAAAACCCGACACAGCCAGCGAGTGGCGCTCTCCAAGGGCGATCTGCCAATCATTTCCACTGAAGTGGGTGTCTCCCCAGGCCATCTATGCTAGGCATGTGGAGCAAGCCGCAGCACTGCAGGGAGCGCAACGAGCTGCTTGGCTGCTGCGTCAGCGACAAAACATCAACAGCACATCGCTCCGGGCTTGCCAAGACCTCCGATGCCCCCCAGCTTTCCCGCTCATCCATCCATCCACGGAGCTGCTGTCCTTCCCATCCGCTTTTCCCTCTTTTCCTACCGACACGAGCTTGCTTACACCCCCAGCGGTGTTTGGTAGGAGTCGTGGTTCCTGTTCCGGGATCTTTTCCTTCTTCCTCTCCTAAATATTTTCTTCAGCGGTGTTTCCACTTCCTGGTCGCGTAGTTCTCCTAGCGCCGACAGCGTGTTCGTCTCTCTTGTGCCCGTGCTCGATTCCTCGGTGATCCCGACTTTCGCCCAGTGCTCAGGACCTCATATCGACGTCTATCTGAGCGATAACAATTTTTCTTGTCCTGACGCTTCCCCTATACTCACTCTGTTCCCTACGTATACACGGATACTGTTGCGCTGTCTTATTGCGCCAAAAGCGTGTCAGTGCGTATCGACAGCCTGACGTTCACGATTGTTGATTCTACGACTACGTCACGCGCGCTAAACCCTATCAACGCTCCCGTTTTACGTTTCGTCTACTAGACCGCATTTTTGGTCATCCCGCGACAAGCGAGATAAGGTTCCTAGGTCGTGAGAAAGGCGGAAACGATTGCCTGTGGATCAATAAGTATATTATAGTCCCGACTTCGCCCGCCACTGCTCGATACCGCTTCCGGGTGTTGAATTGAACTTGAATTGGATTGCTCGCATCGATCGCGCTGCAAGCTTCGAGTCGCTTGAAGCGAAGATTAAGCTTTCAGTGTATCGCAAATCATTGTTCTAAAACTGTAACGGCAATCGCAATGGGGGAACTATCGTTAGAGAATCCAGGCGGTCAGCCTGAGAAGCAGAGCCAAAACACAGCCCCGACCGAGTCTACAGAGCCCCAATTTTCAACGACAAAAACGTCCGCGGAGTTTAAGTCGCAGTCCACTAAATCTGCCACTGTCGCCGAGTCATCAACCGCCGCTGCCGCCGCCATTTCCCAGGAAGACCCCAAACCTAGTGACAATATCAAACTCGACATATCCGCCCCCCAGCCTACCGATAACGACTCCCTCTCAATAGAACCATCCGACCCGCCGCCCGCAGGGGGCATCTCCTCCAGCAACACCAAGCCCGACCCCCCAGTCTGCAACATCACCCTTCTCCTGCCCACAGGCGCGCGCCATCCTTACCGTATTGATGAGAAATACCTAGCCAAGCGCAACGTTTCCGTACCCGAGACGACCGAGACGGGGGCCAAGGATCCGTTTAGCATTAGTGTCTATAAACTGAAGGAACTGATTCTGAGGGAGTGGCGCGAGGAGTGGGAGGCTAAGCCGGCAAGTCCGAGTAGTATACGGTTGATTCACTTTGGGAAGTTGTTGGATGATAAGGAGCCTTTAAAGAGTATGTTGTTGCCTACTTAATAGGGGTCCAGTTTGAGGTGGGTGAACTGACAATTTGCAGAGTACCAGTTTAGCACAGACAGCCCCAATGTGGTGCACATGTCGGTGCGGCCAGCAGAGATGATGGAGGAGGATGAAGGTAGCAAGACAAAGCGCAGCAGCAGCCGCGAGGGTAGACCGCGTGAGAGAGAGAGTGGATGCTGTGTCATCTTATAGCTCTGTGCTCTTGACTGGATGAGCAACTTTGGCATGCATGGCGACGTACTTTCACCCCCGACGTGCCATGGTCACGTATATTCCTGGACGCATGTGTTTATAGGACATGATCAACTTCAACAAATCAACGATGGGCGGCGAGGGGTAGGCGGGCAAGCATGTTGATTCATGCGACGACAGACGACAGACTTCGGACTGACTGACTGATTTTGACGATCGATGTACGTGGACGAATGGCTGGTTGTTTGGTTGCAAGTTTGGGGATTCGGATCGGCGTATCGTAGCGGTGTTTCAATTGTCGTTTTATAGGTAGTTTAGGCATTCTCTGTTTCGAGAAGTACGTATAATGATGGGTCAGAATTGTAGCAACGTCCGCATTGCTCATCATCATTAAGAGGGGGTTCATCTCTGAGAAGGGTAGGGGATATCATGTCTGTTCGCGGCAGGACCTTATCCAGGCCTGCCAGCTCGTCAACGCTATTTGCGCCACCTCATCTCTCTTAGCCCTTATGACGCCATTTCCTTCATTATCCATCACTGTCCCTCAAACCCCCTGTGCGTAGCCCCTCAGCTCCTATCCATCTTCAACTTCCTCTCCACCTCCTCATGGAACCCCACCATCGGCATGCTCTCCTCCTGCACAAACACATCCTCCCACTCAATATCGCAGTCGGTCCCCCGCAGAATCTCTTCATGAACCCCCTTCCTAACCCCCCCGCCCAGACACATCGGCTTCCATTCACCTTCCTTCACAATCTTGAGCTCCATTTGCCGCCGGATGGGCTCCGCCATGCCGAAGGTGCGTCGCAGAGTCTCCATGCGCAGGGATTCTTGTGTTGCGTGCCATTTGCGGAGACGGGATTCCAGGGGATGGGAGGAGATGGGTTGAGTTTGAGGGTGGAAAGCCGATGGGCCGACGCCTGCGCGGAGAGTATCGTGCAGCCCAGGGGCCGAGGGCGCGACGTAGGAGTGGGAGGGGAGATGGGTGAAGGAGGTGTGGTTTTCTTGGGCGGGAACGATACGGAGAGACTGGGAGAGAACGAGGCTTAGAAGATGAGGAATAAGGGCAAGGGAGAGAGCAGGGGCTTACCATTGTGGCGGGTGAAGCTGGAAGGTTAAATAGGGAGTTTGCTTATTTTGGACTTGGTGATCCGATTTCTTGGAACGCGATTGGGTTCGGCCCGGGTTGTGATTTACGCGGAGAGTAGTCCGGCGAGTCGGTGTGGAATGGTGCTGGAGAAGAAAGATGAGGTTGTTCCAGAATGATGTTGGCGCAAGGTTAAAGTCCAGTTCCAGAAGCGATGCGTTGCTTGGGACGGGACAAGCTCAGGCTCCAGTAGGCAGGCTCCAGGCTGACGGCAGCGTATCCGCTGCGCGGGTGGGCCAGGCTGAAGCTGCAGCGCGGCCCACTCAAACAGGGATTAGGCCAGCTGATAGTGGAGCCCCGGATCTGGTACCGAGTAATTACACAGGCGGAATGTATTTAAGGTAACGTGACGTGGTACGATACATTACCGTTTTGGAGGGTTAGGACTGCGCCGACTGAGCTGAGAGCCAAAGTTGTGATGGCATTGGTTCAGCCCTGCAAGTGGAAGAATCCTTATTGAGCTTCTTGGACGGGAAGGCTCAATGTCCTCGCTAACATTGCAATGTCAATGCGAACTGGTGCTTCCTGCAGAGCTTTATGAATGGATTCTGGCGCTCTGCGGTGTCGTGAGATCCCGGACGGGACAGTCCGATGCTTTTTTTTGGGGGATGAAAAGTGATGCCCCTGGGATGCTGGAGACGGGTATTTAAACTGGAGATGACCGAATGAAGTCGCGAAGATCGATGCTGTTCATAGGTAGCGGAGAAGGCAGCTCGGTTCTGAATTGACTTTCAGTTTCCATTTTGCCCCTGGGAGAACTCCCTCTTTTTGACTCCTCTTATCCATACCGATTTAACTACTCTTCTTGCCTCTTCACTTTGATCACTACTTTCTGCCCTTCAGTTTAAGTTAACAAGATGACCTCCTATGACGACCCAATCGACGCCGACCGCTTCGGTCCCCTCGCCGACATCCCCGAATCCTCCCTCCTCCACCTCGGCTCCCGCATTGCTTCCAACGTCCTAAAGCTCTCCAATTCGGAACCAAAACTCCTTCACCGTCTTGGCGGCCCCTTCAATATCGTTCACATCCTCTCCTTCAACAATGACACCACCCGTTTCATCATCCGGGTCCCCGCCACAGGCTGGGGTAAGGGGCTTACCCCCGCAGCAGACAAGGCCCTCGAGGCACAAGTCTCTGCATTAAAATTCATCAAGTCCCAGAAGGACGCCAAAATCCCCGTACCAGAGGTTTACGACTGGGACTCCACCTGCAACAATGAGATCAATGCCCCCTACATCTGTCTAAGCTACCTTCCCGGCAAGCAAGTTCTCAGAGTCTGGACCGATGACAATGGTCCCATGCCGAAGGAACACATGCGGTTGAGAATTCTCACCAGCTTGACAAACGTCATGGCTGAGTTTGCCAAGCTTCCCTCGTTCGACAGACTCGGCTCATTGTTCTTGGACGACAACGGCAACGTTACCATTGGGCCCGTCTACCGCCGCGAAGAAGATCCCGACGGCCCGGTGACTATTCATGAATGTGGCATATACACTTCTGGCCAAGAATACCTCCGTACCATGATGGAGCGCGACAGTCAAGACAACCACTGGGGCCAGGCCGAGTCAAAGATTACTTCGACCCTTATCTCCCTGTTACCAAAGCCCGACTCCGAAGACTTTGTCCTCGCCCCACCAGACTTCGACTCCGCGAACATCCTCGTCAACCCTGACACAGGCGAAGTCACTGGCCTCATAGAATGGGACCTCACACATACCAAACCCCGCTGGCTAGGCTACTCCGCCTACCCATACTTCCTCACCCGCGACTGGGACCCGCTTATGTACGGCTGGCCGAACATTTCCTCCGAAGACTCCCCCGAGGCGCTAGCCGCCTATCGGGCGCATTACTCTTCTGAACTGGGGCGAGCTCTTGGACGTCAGGGAGACTGGGTGTTTACCGACAAGAGTCACTTGACTATGGCGGTTTGGATCTCGACGCTGAATCCGGCGAATAGGTTGGAGATATGCCAGAAGTTTTTAACTGAGGCTTGGGAGGGGAAGGTGGATGCGCTGAGTGTGGTGTGGGAGATTGGGAAGGAGAAGTATGGCGAGGAGGAGTGGGAGGTGTTGAAGAAGAAGCTAAGGACGTTCCTTGCAGAGGGGAGCAAGAGACACCCGGGGAAGTCGGAAGGAAAGGGATATGAAGAAAAGGACAAGGACAAGAACGAGGAGAAGTAGACGTCAGAGAACAGTGAAAACGAAGCTGAAACGTCATGGTGCCGGGGTATGTGAGTCGGGGTTTCATTTGGCAACATGTGATGTCTTGTGGCTCTGTCCTTTTCCCGGGCTGCGTTTGTTGAGTCCCTGTTCTCCTGTTCATCGTTTCTTTGGCGTACATACTTCGGTCTAACCGTCGTTGATTTGCTTTGATTACCCGTGTTAGCAAATTGATTGGTAATATTGAAGCGGAGTTACAGATATCGGTTTTTGGATAATTGCTTCTCATTCGGCAAGTGAACGAGCGAGGTGATGATGAGTGAGCGCGAGCCAGGGAGTTGAAGGTTAAGTCCCCCGGAGGTGCTCCTCACTGAGTATTAAACTCGTAACTTACCGTACTCAACCTTGTAGTTTACACCATGTGGACCCTCACCTCCAGCTCGGCGTCAATATCCTCAACTCATCAGCATTCACTCCTTCACTTGCACCTCACGGAATGCACTAGTTCCCCCAATAACACTTTCCAATCCCACTCCAAAATGCGCCTCCCCTCCCACACGCGCCCCCCAATAATTTGCATCGCCAACGGCACATTCTACCGCTACCAACCAACTTCACATCCTCCCATCCATTCCCAAACCCTCCTCGATGCCACCGTCCACAATCACGTCCACCCGAACCCCCCTCTCTTCAAAAACCTCAACTTCGAACTCCCCTCCTTCAGTTCATCTCCCCACAACTGGTGCATTATTGGCCCCTCCCTCTCCGGCAAAACCACATTTCTCCAGATCCTCCGCGGCCAGCACTTATGTTTCCCGCCCACGGCAAGGATATTCCCCTACCTCAGCGAGGATGAAGTCCCAGCTCGACTGAGAACGCCGGCCAAAGCCATTGGGTATGTTGGTTTCGAGGGAGCGTTGAACTTGGCCCCCGAAACGGGAGGACCGATGTACCTTAGTGCTAGGTACGAGTCGAGGAGGGAGATTACGGATTTTTCGTTGCGAGACTATCTGTTGGGGAATACGTCGCTCAACCCAGGGCCGGAGATCCCTGGGTCGGCGCATATCTCTGAGGAATTGTTCTCGCGGGTGGTGCGGGATTTGAGGTTGGAGAAACTTCTCGATCTGCCGGTAACCTTTCTATCAAATGGCCAGGGCCGGAGGGCGAGGATTGCTCGCGCGTTGTTGACTTCACCGGAAGTTTTGCTGCTGGATGAGCCTTTTATGGGGCTTGATCCCCCTACAGTAGCAGGCCTGAGCCAGTTACTGAAGGTGATGGCGGAGAAGAGGAGTCCAAGGTTAGTGTTAAGCGGTCGTCCGCAGGATCCGATTCCAGAGTGGGTCACGCATATGGTGTATCTGAGGACGGACGCGCAGATTGGGGTTATGGGTGAGCGGGAGGAGGTTTTGGGTCAATTGAGGAGGTATGTGAGAGAGGTTAGGAGGGGGGAGAAGAAAGAAGAGGAGGGGATGCCGGTGAACGCGTTGAGTGAGATGGGCAGGGTGTTGAAAGAGGGTCGTGTTGTGGGGGAAATGATTGGGGAGAAAGGGCCTGTTTTGGTGCAGGCAGGGATCGATCTCGGTCAAATGAAGCCGGCTGGGGAGCCGCTTGTTGAGATGGCTGGTGTGAGAGTACAATATCGTGGCAAAATCGCTCTCGGAGACTGGGAGAATGGCTCTCAGCCTGGCGGGCTGCACTGGACTATCCGTCGCGGAGAGCGCTGGGGCGTGTTTGGGCCGAACGGCTCCGGCAAGACGACGCTCGTTTCACTCCTTACATCCGACCATCCTCAGACTTACTCCCTCCCCATCAAGCTTTTTGGCAGAAGCAGACTGCCCGAGCCGGGGTCAGGCGAGCGCCCCCTGACGCTGTGGGACATCCAGGCCAGAGTCGGGCACTCCAGCCCCGAGATCAACGCACACATGCCCAAGAGCCTGACCGTCAGAAAAGTCCTGGAGAGTGCCTGGGCAAACACATTCATGTCCAAGCCCAAGCTAGACGAGACTGCCACCGCAAAGGTAGAAGCTACTTTACGCTGGTTTGAGAGCGAACTAAACCCCGCCTACTACAAGCGTATCGCCGCAGGCGAAACACATGGCAGCATCGGACAATCTTCACTAGCCTGGTCAAGCGAATACCTCTTCGGGGAGCTTTCCTTTTCCGCCCAACGCGTACTGCTCTTCCTCCGCGCGGTAGTCAAGCACCCCGACATTGTAGTTCTCGACGAGGCCTTTGGGGGCATGGATGAAGCTGTGAGAGATAAGTGCATGCTGTGGCTTATGCACGGGGAGGAGAAGATGTATAAGCGGACGGGGACGCAGATCGTTGATAGTCCCGCTGCGAAGGAGGGGAGAGTGAATGTTAGGGGTTTGACGGACCAGCAGGCGCTGATTTGCATTAGCCATGTTAAGGAGGAGGTGCCGGATTGTGTGAGGGAGTGGCTGTGTCTACCGGAGCCGAATACCGGGCGGCCGGCGAGGTTTGGAGTGTTGGATGGGCCGCTACGTCGGAGTGCGAGGAGGTGGGAGGAGATTTGGGGGATGAGTTCGTCGTGAAAAGGGGGATGTAAGTAATGTAATTACGTCCGAGAAGCAATGTAATGTTACAAAAGATATAACCCTAAGCCTTACTGACCTGGATGGACCCTTGCCAAAAAAAAAAAAAAAAAGCCTCGGCTACGCGTCCGGAAATTTGCGACTCCAACTTTCTTCTTTCCCCAATGTTCACATCGACGCCCTCGCCATGCCCTCCAAACCACACGTCCACATCCTCGGGCTGGGTAACATAGCTCGTTATCTAGCCTTTGAGCTCCTCTCAACAATCAGCAAGCCTGGTATCTCCCCTCGGAACCTCCATCCCCCGCGTCTCACCCTGCTCACCCACCGCCCAGAGGATGTAGCCGCTTTTGAGAAGCGCGCGCTGCGCTCCATCTGGTGTCATGTCTTACATGATGAGGCCGAGGGCGAGTTTCAAGTGATGGGAAGGACCCATCCTAAGGGGGAGATTAGCGTGCAGTTCGTAGGGGATGAGAGTGCGAAGGGGGAGATGATTACTTATCTGGTGGTTGCCACGAAGGCGCATCAAACTATTGAGGCGTTGAGGGCAGTGAGAGATAGGATTGGGCGGAGCGCGAGGGTGTTGTTTTTGCAAAACGGGATGGGTAGGTACTAGTGTTTCGTAGTCGTCAGCCCGGCCCGTTGGCTAGGAGAAAAAGGCGCGTAGAAACCAGGGAAGACAGCAAGTCCATCTGTTTCCCCTCAAGGTTGCGCGCAGAGCAAACAGTCAGACCGACCGTCTTGGATCTACGGCTTTCTTGTTGGATGCAGTGGGTTCAACATTAAGTTGCAAGTTTCATGCGTTTGGTCTGACATTCTACCAGTAGTTCTTTGACTATTTTTGGAAGGGGATATCCGTTGTTGTATGTCATATATCGTGATCTAGAAGAAATGATACCCTACTTCACAAACTCCTGCTCTCCCCGGTCACTCAACAATGAAGCTAACAGCGTGACCCCCAGGCATCCCCTCCCTCGTCAGCGCCATCCTCTTCCCCGACCCCTCTACGCGCCCAACCTACCTCGCAGGCGTCTGCACAGCCGGCATAAAGCCCACAGTGCCCCCCTACCCCTTCTCCTTCCACCTCGCCGGCCAAGGCGACCTCATCTTTGGCATCGTCCCCGACCCCGATGACCCCCTCCCTCGTTCTCGCACACCATCCTTTCTCGAAGAGCATCTCCCCCGCTTGCCCCACCTCAACGCCTCTCTTGTGTCGCCCCAGGAGCTGCTGAAGGCTCAGCTGAGGAAATTGATTGTGAATGCGACGATTAACCCCCTTACTGCCTTGTTAAGATGTCGGAATGGTGAGGTATTTGGCACTCCTGCCCGGAAAATGGTTCTTGAGGCGCTGGTTGCTGAGGCGGGACCTGTCATTCGCTCTTTGTTGGAAGGTTCGGGCATCAGAAAAGCTGAAATTGAAAACGAGTTCTCGGATGAAGAGCTGAGGAATGCTGCGGTTAAGGTCGCAGAGGCGACGGCGGCGAATGAGAGCTCTATGTTGCAGGATGTTAAGCAGAAAAGGGAGACGGAGGTCCGGTGGATTAATGGATGGGTTGTTGAGGAGGGTAAGAAGAGGGGGATGGAGTGTCGCTGGCATGAGGAGGTTGTTAGCTTGGTTGAGAACAGGGGACAGGGGGAGAGGAGGCTGTTGGGGGAGGTACTTGAGGGGCGGGGAAACGATGACTGATATGTTCTAGGTGCTAGCAATTGTTCTGGGACATTGCTACGCTCAAGAAAATGGCAGCGTCTTAGCCAAAGCGGTCCTTCTTACCAAAACTTAGTATCCCATTCCTACCTATTGATCAACATAGGTACACGTCGCTACTCCGTCCCCTTCTCCGTCTACAACACAGGTAGCTGTATGTCTAATAACTGCCCCCCTCCCAGTTGACTGACAAACACCCCCGCAGCCACAATCTCATCTAGGCCCCCCCTTCCCCTCAAATCCTCCCTCATCAACGAGCACAGCCTCTGCACCGACACATCCCCTGTTCGATCCAGCACTCTGCACAAAGCCCTGGTCATCATCCCCCCAGGACATTTTGCTGTCTGACGTTTTGTCGGGGTATCTGGATCGAGAGCTGTCAACACATCGTACTGGGCGCACAGTCCGAGGAGCTGTTTGGCTGAGCCGAAGGGAACGGTTGCGCCGGTTTCGAGGCGGGAGATTTCGCGCTGTTCGTCGGTTGTGTTCGGGGGAGAGGTGCAGTCAAAGACGAGGAGAACATCGGCGGAGGTTTGGAGAAGGGGTGGGCGGATGTCATCCCAGAAGAAGCATGCTGGGGGGCTATTGAATAGATCTGGTTAGCAATGCGGTCATCTGCATCAACTGAACATCAGCAAGAGGGCCCAGCTCAAAGGGAACTTACTTCCCGGTCCCAAACCCAGACCAAAACGCCATCCTCCCCTCCTCATCCAAGCCCCCATATCCCCTGTAATACACAATCGACAGCGTCTCCCCATTCCCTGAGGGCTCCTCTTCTTCCTCCAAAAACCTCGACAACAATGTCCCCACCGCTGCAGTACAGTAATCCCCCGGAATCCCCCTACACTGCACGTGATACCCCCTCCGTTTCAAGCACCCCCTCAGCGCATCAATATCCTCTCTCTCAATTGCTCTCCCTGGATACGTCAGTACGGGTAGTAGACTACCCGACGATGTCGGCGTGGACGGGTTTGAGGACGACGGCCCATCGGTCGCCCAGGTTAGGATGAGGACGTTGACCTGTGATGGGGGGCGACGACGCTGCCAGCTTGGAGATGTGGGGGTGCGAAGGATTGTGGTGATGGGGTAGGAGAGGATAGTGTTGAGGGGGTTGAGGGAGAGGGTTTTTTCGAGGAGGAACTCGATTCGGGGACTGTCAGGGACATGGTGTTTGTGTTTTCGTTTCGGGACTGGAGGAATTAAGTCGTCGTCGTCCTCGTTGTTGTTAGTGAGTTGGAGGTGCCCTGGCCGGGAAGGACGCACTGTCCTTGTCCAGCTAGATGTTTCGGGGGATGAGAGGACTGTCTCGGCATAGCTCTCTTTTTCAGCGGGATATCGTGGTGTGCGAGGGCTGTGAGATGTCCCGATGGTCGTGTTAGGGCTCTCGCCATCACCATAAGTCAACATTCCTGGAGAGGTATGCGTAGAGTCTTTGCTGTGCTGAGCAACCGATAGCTCCAGCTCATCGAGGGCGTCGACGATGGAGTCGATCTTGTCATCCCACTCGCCGTCCGGACTTCCGTCACGCTCGTCATTAGAGCTCCCTTCAGTGCTTCTACTTGGCGCTGCTTCAATACTCGCGGTTGATAAATCGTCTCGTAGGGCTAATATATGTCTTTGCCAGAGCGACTGAAACTGGGCAAACTCAAGTTCAGACTCCTCCTCCATTGTCAAAGCTGTGTATCAGCCCACGCTGGTTCAAGGACGGCATTTCTTGCTTTCGAAAGAATGCGTGGTAGAGGAGCACACTGGGGGATGTCCTGTTAGCAGCATCGTTAGCACTGCGACATGTAACATCACTTACAGGCCTTGGTACCGACACGAAGCTCGTCATCCTGCTGCCCGGTTAAAACAGCGCGAGCGTCGCACTGCAGCCACCAGCCTGCCATGGTTACCGGACATAATCTACTGGTACGGCATGTGAGTGTAGAGTCGGTCGCGGTGGGCTGCTGGTGTCGGAATATCGTTCCAGAGCCGGGCCAAGGAAAGACTATTTAAGGTGGTAACATAAGGCTGAAATTCCGGACGGTGCTCGATCGTGGCATGTAGGACGGTTGGTTGATGTTCCTGGTTTAACGGGCGGCAGAACACAGGATTTGACCGAGAAATAGCTTCATATTTCATTACACTTTTCCTGTCACGACAGATCCTAGTTAACACACAACTCATATAGGGCATTTTATCAACCCAAGCCAACATTGTGGTATCTCGTGCAAGCATGCTAACAAAGACAATAGCTTCCTCCAAGTGAACAAGGGAAAAGAGAAGACATTAATACAAATTCCCCTCATCAAGTGCATTCCATCTCTTAGCCCCCAGCCTGCGCACATGCAGCTTCTTCGTCGGACTTGGTGATGGTCGTGGCAGCGAACTTGCTCCATCATCAGGTATCAAACGCAACTTTTCCATCTTTCTCTTCATCACAGGCTCGTCCTGCTCGGCCGTCTGCGGTTTGGTGACCTGCCTGGGAGCGATCATAGACCTTGCAGTCCCCGGCCGTGAAGGCGTCTCAGCCCCCTTGAGCTTCAGACTGCCCTGTTGCTGAACTTGATGCTGGGGCACAACTTGCACATCACCCAAATCCCGCTCCTTTAGCGGCATTCTCTTCGATGCCCCCTTGAGAGCAGCAATTTCCTTCCTCAAAGACTCATTCTCTTGCTTCAGTCGCTCATTCTCTTCTTTCGCACCTTCGGGCCACACAACCCCCGAGTTCTCTTTATCCTCGTCCTCATCGTCAACGTCTTCCTCCCTTATGCCCAACACACCTCTCTGGAATATGTCCAACTTCCTGCCCCAGTGCTCCTCCCCTCTTTTCATCTCAGCTTGTAATGTCGCCTGAAAACGTGCCATTTCGAGCTCCAACCGGCGCTCAAATTCTGTGGCGCACTCCTCGCGAATATCCTGCTCCAGATCGATCATCCTATCCTCAATGGAGAGCAAATGTGCCTCGGCTTCCTCATGAGCCACGCGCTCTTCTTCCAGAGATTGACGTAGATACTCAATCTCTTCCGTGAGTCGCTCGATGTCGGCTAGAGCAGCTTCCAACGCAGGACAGCGATGGTTGGGGTCGAACTCGTCGCCGGTCTCGTAATCATCCGCCGGAGGCGCTGAAATATTGATAGGGGCAACAGCTGGGGGGCTCGTCTTCGGGCGAATGCAATATTCCCCAGACACATCCGTCCTCTTCGGCGAGTCGAGTGTATACTCCGAGCCGTCACTAGTAACCCGGTTCCTGATCGTCGAGGAGGGAACCCTCGTCGGCTGCAAGGCAGGCGACACCGGCGGACTAGAATGCTGACCGGTCGTGTTTCCCCTGCCCCGCGTGTGAGCCTTCCCCCTCGCCGCCGTAGACACACTCATTAGAAACGCCTGCGTGATGCTGGGAATTCGCGGCACCGTGACCTCCCTCGCGAGCGCACTATACCTGAGTATCTGCGACGTAGCATTATAATCGCCCCTGGGATCTGCTGTGACAATCATCACCGCCTTCTGCGGATTGCGAAATCTCATTGATGCATGAAAAGTCGTTACCGTCATGGAGGGGTAACAGTTGGCGAACAACAGTTCAGTCAGCTTACACTGCCGGAAGGGCACCATACCAGCCCCCCTTTGTGGCCCCGCTATTGCAGCGGCGCCAGCATCACTCTGCATCTGCAGACATCGACCCAAGTACATCAAACTTTCATTAATCTTCCCAGCTTCAGCAAGCGTAACACCTGTCGTCTTGGCCAGGTTTGCCCTCTCGCTTCCCGCCAGATCAACAATACTCAGCGTCGCGCCGGACCAGGGTGCTCCTTCAGTGCCAAACTTTCTAGCTTTGCCACTGAAAGAACGCCCCCCATTACGCGGACGCTTCTTGACCTCTATGCAAAAGAATCCATGACTGCGTGAACTGACGCTGTTGCTGCCCGTGCCTGCGACGCGACGCTCGTGCAAGCCTGCCTCTAGGACGAGCAGGGCTTGGTTCAGATTGGAGCAGACAACTTTGCGGAGGCCGCAGACGACTTTGCGGTCGGGGGAGGACTCGGTAGGTTTGAAAGGGAGGTGCCGGCGCTTGTTGATGTTGGCGCTATTATGTGAGAATGTCTTGGTTGGGTAGGCGAGTAGATCGAAGATGCGATCGTTGTAGACCTCGAACATGGACAGCACGACGGCGTACTCGGCTGAGGGGTCGCATGATACCGAGAGAGCGCTGATATTCGGTTGCTGGGGGAATGTTGACGGGCGATGTAATTTACCCCGTGACGGAGTTGTATGCTCATCGGTCTGATTGTTCATCTCCTTGGTAAGCGTCTGCTTTGCCTTGGAAAGATTCGCTGCCGTAGCAGCCATGAAGCGTGGCGTGGCTTGCACTCGCAAGCCATTGCGCGTTGGAATCCCGCTCTTCTTGCTTGGAGTACATAAGGGAGACGGGGGCGCAACAGAGTCGTCGCGGCTGACTATCCGCAGACCGAGTTGTCGACACACAGGATCTGACTGTTCATCGCCGCGTGGGAAGGCGCCGCCTTGGGCGTGGGGGTGTTGCACTTCGTTTGAGTGACGGTGATCTTGCTCAGGAAATTCACAGGGGAGAGGATCGGTTCCTACGTGTCCTGGGGTTTTAGGTTTTGCGTTAGAGCGGACGCTAGCCGCGGAGTCAAGAAACACGCTGTCAAGAAAGATGGAAGCTGAGATGACTGTAGCCTCGGACGGGTCGGATGCGGCGATCGACTTTTCGAGGAGAGGGTTGGCAGCGCTGTCGACGATGTGTTCCCCTAGCGAACGGAAGATGACATCGAGCGCGAGCTGAATCATGCCACGCTGGGTTCTGGAGCCGAGGATCGTATATGTCTGTGGCCGTTAGCTTCACATTTACATGACTTCATCAAGGCTACTGACTTTCCCCGAGCCCGTAACACCTAATGTCGCCAGCAACGCATCAGTCCCCTCTCCTCCACACGGGGCAATAACCCCTTGAATGAGGTCGACAAGCCCAGTGCAGTGAAAAACATCTAGCTGGGTAGCATCTTCCTCAAACACCTGAGTAAAAGCAAACTTCTCGATGGCACGGCGTCGGTCGTTGGGTGGAGTCAGCGTGATGTGTTTTGGCGGTTGACCATCCTCGGGAGACTCGACGGTTAGGAAACGGTCTGCATGGGAAACGCCGACCAGCGGCGGGCGCAGACGCAGGTAGACGTCAAAGAGGTTTCTGGTTTTCGGGTTTGATGCTGACATGAACATGGCTGGATCCTTGTCCATGACTCTGCTAAGTAACACTAATGCCGGACGATGAGCTTATTGATAGCAAGGGTATTGATGGAATGTAAATAACACCGGGTGTTGATCGTAAGTGACACTGAAGTGGGCTAGAGAGTCAGTGAGGTCAGGGACGGGTGGTAAAAAGAGAGGAAGATGAAAAGATCGGCTCGGCGATATCGCGATTGCCGTAATGTATGGTGATTGTGTGTGAAAGTTAGGATATGAAAACAAACAAGAAAAACTCAGCATCAACATCCAGAATCCCGGGAAATTCCTTTGACAGTAGATGCGCTAGAATTCCTGCAAACCAGCTGCATATACCCATTGTTTACCCAGTGGCCTGCAGCAGCAGCTATGGAGCGGGTTACCCTAGCAACGATCTGCGCCAAACTTTTGATAAGATAAGATCTGCCGGGTTCAGCCCAGCGCTGGGTTCCGATCGAAAAAGCTTGGCGCCCGTATTTACCGATTTGCTCTCGCTTGTGAGCCTCAACGTTGGCCTGACTTTTTTTGGTCGCAGTTCAAGCTGCTAGCCAGAGTCGACTACAACACAGCGTAGAAGAAACCAATACCAGCGCTGTAAATGCTAGCTTGGGCATCTTGAGTTCCTCGGTACCTCAATGAATCAATGACCACAGGGCAATGGCTTTCGGACATCGCGGCTGGCCCTCTTACCGTCTTGCTGCCTACCCCTCACTGTGGGGCTGGCTCTTTTTTCCAGAAGCCCAGCCCGGCCAGGTTCCCATGGAAGCAGGTTGGGAAATCCAGCCAGGCTATCAAGAGCTCAACCCACTTTACTCTCTCACCTTTGTCTTTCAAATTTCTCTGTAGAGAGAGACTGGGAACCCCTCATGCTGAAAAATTGCAATGCTGCATGCCGCTATCTACAAATATAATGTCATGCAGCAGAGGAGGGGCTTCAGTCTGATCCCCACTAAATACGGCTCGATGAAACAGATGACCACTACAGCCGCGAGTTTGTAACGGCTAGGTACTGCTCTTCGGTCGCAAGACAGCCCTGTCCGCGCGGGATGACGATGCCATCCAGCCAATACCGTTCGCAAAGTTCCACGAGCATCCACCCAAAACTCACAGAAAACGGTGTCGCCTTGAGCGAGCCAGTGAGGACGGCGAGGACGATGCGAGTCGTTGGCTGCCCCGCCCAAACCACCGTTGTCGACTTGGATCCTGCCAGCTGGCGGCTGGAGCCACGACGCTGCAGCGCTAAAAAGACAGCGCTGATGTTGCTGTGGAGCGAGGACGACGATGCGGAACCTGTTGCTGGACTCTGGCGGGGGAGAGGCCAGATTGCATCTCGTCATCTCGATGCCCCAGGAGCGATTATGCCCTCGTGCCCTTGCCAGCTACGCATATCGCGGTATCTGGATGATCTTCCATATTTTCAAGATGTGGGACCGCAATGGTGACGTTTAGCCTTCCACTTCGGCGCCAAAACACGCAACACTCTGCTTTCCGCTACGTCTTGATTGCCTTGCGCAGTATCCTGGGCATGCTGTAGAGTGCGGGGCAACGTCGTCGACCCGCTCTGTCCCCGCCGTGCGAGGAGCAGAGAGAGAACATGTTAGGCGATGAAAACCGAGAGGCGACCAGGCTGCGGGTGCAATGCTGCAAGCCAGGCAGTACAAACGGAGGTTCTTCTGTATGTAGGCAGATCATAATGGTGAGTAGAATCAGAAAAAGAATCTGCGAGCAATTGCAGCATGTGGATTCTGCTAGTTGACGCTAAAATGTTGGGCCTGGTAAAAAAACATTCCATTACTGCCGCGGGGATGTTCCACTCTCACTGCGACCTGCCCTGATCCTCATCAGCCCATTTCATCCATCTCCAGCTCCGCGGGTCATCGAGAGGAGAGCAGGAAAGCACATGACACGACGACACAGAGCAAACAGCGCACAGGGCTGTAACCGAAAGAGCGGTGACGGGTTCAATTGCCGGACCCCGAGTTCCGTGCACAAGGAACTGGAGGTATGGAGGGGATGGAAGGGCATTGGACACTATGGAGGGGTACGGAATGACCCCAAACTGACGCACCTAGCAAACTGGGCGAACTGGCACGGGAGCTGCACAGTCCACTAAGCACTAGACACAGGCCCGACCTTAAGAGTCATCAGTGAAGAGCACTTGCCCACCCAGTCAGTGTGCAGCCCGCGCTTGCCAGCACCGACTGATGCTTTTCAGCGTTCCAAGCACTGTCTGTAGGGGCCCAGTCCGTTGCAACTTCCCCCACTCACCGTGGACAAGCAGGTGGGCTAGTGTGGGTTGGTAGGTGGTGGTTTGGTGGGGCTATCCACACAGTCGCAGCTCGTGGGGCCAATCCCAGCACGAGCCGTCAAAGGCCAATTCCCCTCTCGAAAAAAGTTTGGTCAAAAGGATGAGACGGCCCGCAAACCCCCTCCTTTGACTTCTTTCCCTTTTTTCTTCCAGAGCCGCAAGCATCCCCTTCACCGTTCCGTCGAACAGCAACGAAGTCGCCCTTCCGCAGTAAAGACAGCCCAGAATCAACCCCCAATTAAACTTCGTCGAGATTGTTTGTTCAAGATGTCGGCCGTCGTTGAGCTCTAAGCGCCCACTGCGGGCGTGCCAGGGAACCTTGCACGCCCGCAGTCCAGCAGCCTCAACGAGATACTCTCAATTCTGCCAGCCCTCGACGAAGTTTGATCACGCGGACTCTCGCCGTCTCGAGCTCAGTCTCTGACGACTCGGCGATAGCCTTTGCTCTTTGTGCCCTGGTGCTCTCTCGTTCTTGAGCAAAAGGAGAGTCTGCCCTCGAACTACAACATCCCAGGTTCAATTCAAGGCCACGAGGCCAGCTTTGCGACTCTATACATCAAGATCTGCCATATCCTTTCCTCATTTTCCCTTGTTGACACCACTATACCCCTTCTCTTTGACGACTCTTTATAAAGTTACCCACACGACAGACATACCACAACACCAACTGCCCCCTGAAAAGGCTACGAAAAATCCGAGTTGAAGAGAAAACTCGAACCGTATAGCATTCACCGCTTGTTCGCAAAGCCTGCACCTCCCTGTCTCAGAGTACGCCCCGAGTATTTAATACCATGGCACGCACCATCCGACTAAAATTCCCTACTCCTGCGCCAACTCGGGCAACCAAGAGCCGGGAGTCTCCTGTGAGCGATCTATCCTCACTGGACCTCTCGGATGACGACGGCTACTCAGCCGTCGAGGAGATCTCCGAGTCTGAGGACGATGACGAGGAACATGTAGTGGCGGCCGAGGAGGAGCACATCATCTCTGCCGTATCGCGGAGGCGATCGGGCTCTTCTCGGCCCCCCATTGAGGACGATGAATCAGAGGATGCCGACGAGGAAAGCGAGGCTGAAAACAGTGACGATGACGCTGAGTCAGACAACGACAATGCTGCAGATGATGATGAGGTGAGCTGGAATGGCATCTCGTCCGATCTTGACGAGGAGGAGGCCGGGGATGACGAGACTGCCGTCCCCCAGCCCGAGCCCCCTGTCGAGCGTCACGTCCGTTTTGCCGGCGTACCCGACAGCGACTCGGATTCGACGACAAGTGAGACCTCTGACAGTATTAATGACTTTTTCCCCGACATCTTTGTCGAGCAGAGTGCCCTAGATCCCGCCTTCCGGCGCGAGATCGAGCAGGACGACGAGACGTCGTCTAACAGTTCCTTCTGGGACTTCCAGGGCTCGCACGAGTGGGCCTCTGCCGACACGGATGACGAGTTTCCGGCTGCCAGAGACTCTGACATGACGCCCATGGCGACACCGAGGCCTAGCCAGCCTCCCACTGAAGTGTCGACGCCCGTCGGTGCCGGTGCCACTACTGAAGTGCAGGAATCCGACGGTTATGAGAGTGAGTCTCTTGGCCGGCTGTGGGTTTGTGATCTGCTAACTTGGCCCATCAGCCGATGGCGACACTACCGAGGAAGAGCCGGAGCCCGTCCTCCGCAGAAGACCGGGCGGTGTTCGCAGGGTGCCCTCGATCGACTCATCCTCCGAGTCTGAGACCGAGACGCCCATCCGCACGAACCCAGGCAAACCGCGCGTAGGTCGCTTCAATCTCAACAGGTCCGATAAGAAGCCCATTGGCGTCGTCGATCCCACGACTGGCAAGATGATAATCTTCACCCCGCGCCGTCAAAACCAGCTGGATCTCTCGCCCGAGTCCTTGCAGGTCGACTTCACGCGTGCCGATCTGAATGCCTCGCCACTGGTCCGGAACCCCGGCTTTATCATGATGGGCGCCATGGTCTCATCCAATACCTTTGGCGACTTCATGAACATGCAACCGTATGGCCCTGCCGAGGCCTTCTTCCCGACCTCGGATGCATTGACTGGGGAAGATAGCGACGACTCATATCTTGCAGATCTCCAGGAGGAAGACGAAGACGAGAGCATGCTCAAGCTCGAGGACTTTATTACCTTTGGCGAGACCTCATCCGACGACGAAGCTGCCAGAACCGATGACTGGAACGATGACCTGGAGTCGAGCCCCACCCGAGCCAAGTTGGAGAACAAGTCGACCAGCGAGACTGATGCCGCCTCCTCGGCCGCCCATAAGCTCCTCACTCACTTCGATCAGAACCCGGATGCCGTCGGCGCCTTCCGCAGGAACCAGATTAACCAACAGCTCATCTACAGCGACAAGGCCAGCCAGGAGTCTCTGGCCTTCTCAGGCCCGTACCACTATGGTACCCTCAGGGGCATCAAGTCCGGCAGCATGGAGGCCGTCACCGCGCCCATCACGCCCATCCGCAGGCAAAAACGCAGCATGGTAGGACCTATATTCGCCTTCTCCGACTTTGTTCAGCAGAGCAGCCCGCTCAACATGTACTCATCACAGAAGAGGAAGGCTTCGCATCTCCACGATGGAAACCCGCACAAGCGGTACCGGAGTATTTCGGACATGGAGGTCCTTGGCATCTAACTGATGCCCTACCCTAACGAGGGAATTGAACGAGCATACGACCCCAGTGGCATTAGAACCGCTGCGAGGAATACATATCCAGGATACAGACTCGCGCATACACCAATTACGGCGAAGGACGGCATGGCTGTTGGGTGTGTTTGTCAGGTTCTACGGAAATTGGCCCGGACCACAAGCACCACTCACTCCATCCCTGGCCTCGAATCGTATTTCACGATGTCATTCAGCACCCGTTTCTCATTTTTCCCGTTAAGTCATCTATGTTTGTCGTCTCTTTTTTCCTATCTATTGTCTACAGCGTGATTACCTAGGGTCTCAAGTGAAGAGAAAAGTTTTATCTCATTGTCTGAGTTTGCTCCGGCATTTTGCTCCTCGGTTATTCCGTCTTGCTCGATCATGATGTCGATGATAATGACTTATTTGTCTGTGTGGTATTGTGGTCCCTTTTGGTCCGTGACATTGTTTTGATATTTAGCTATCTACACGGTCTGGTCTGGCGTTTGTCGACGGCTTGCGTGCTTTCTCTGGGGGACACTTTCTTCTTGTCTTCATGGTCCGGTAGAGGAAAAGGGAACCCTGGGTGGCATGGGCATAGACAAAGACAGACGGTCGGTCGGTCGGTTGGCGGTCGGAGTAATACAGGTGGAAAACAAAAGGGTTGCTTCTGGAGGAAGGGAAAGAGGATTGGGCTGGGCTGGGCTGGACTGGACTGGTGGATGAGTGGGCGGTAGACTCTGCCTATATAATTCCTAGAGTTGGAGTGATATGTCCTTTTAGTTTGGTCGGTAAACGTTTCCACTAGTAAATGATAGTGTTTTGAGACAGGACATCCATTGCTGAAGCCTATTCAAAGGGAGCTTGTTCACTCTGCACGACGGCAGCAAAGCCCTGTTTCACATCACTTCCGAGAGTAGTCCTTTCAGTCGAGTCTCCTTGAGTTTTGGTATACCTGGATAATTATAGCATCTAAGTAGGTATAGTAATGAGAAACTAAGTTCCTCCTATGAAGGGGCCAAGCACTACTGATCTGAGTTACAGCCCTTTAGAATGACTATCATGGGACCGATACACAACGTCGACTGCTTGACATCACACAACCTGCTATATACGTATGCCAATTCCTCTTGCGAGCACACTACAAACTCAGCTTTCGTAGATACTCATCCGGGGATTTACCGGCAGCTGTTGCAACTCTTACTACCTACCTATAAGCTATACCAAAGACCTAACTCTATAAGAGCACTCACCAGAGCCAGGAGCCAAATGGTTTGAGCCATCTGAACCAATAGTAAAGGGATCCTTCACCTCATCTGCTTTGTCTACGACGAGAACACGGTCAAGAGGGCCAAAAGGAGGCTCAACCGAGAGTCAAAATTTAAGACTGCTAATACAGCATGATGAAGGTGCTTGCGCAGGGTAAATCAGGTAATGACAACAGAACCTTAAGAATGACTGCCCCATTCGAATGAAAGGGATCTTCAAGCCTGGAAACAAAGAACGAAGCGAAGTTGCAAAAGTTATATGGATCTCTGAAGGGAAGAATAAACATGTATATGTACATGGAGGCACCCGATTTTTTGTCCCCAAGACTACTGGAAGGCTTTGCTATCCATTCTATTGGCCGTCCTCGGCTCCTGACTGGAACTTTCCAATACTTTCATCTGACACCACCCATTCGGCCGTCACATAAGTTACAAGTATACTGGTCTTGATCGAACTGAAGCGAACAAGCCGTTCATTTCGCTTTGCCCAGTTTGTACTGCCTGCTTAGCTCAAGCTTGGCACTTTTCAAGTTCTAGAGCTCTTGTATCTTATTTAGGTAAACCTTAACCTTGTTCCTCTTCTTCCTTATCCAGCAGTATGTCGAGTGAGTGCCCCTCCCACCCACCTCTTCCGCGCTATCTACCTCTGTGCCCTCCTCCTCAGTTTCCTCCTCAGAGTTCATCCCCTCCTCCGCATCATCCTTCTCCTTGAAGTCCTCCTCCTTCGAGCCCTCTTCCTCGGCTTGCCCTCCCATTTCTAGTGCTCTACGCCTAATGTCCAGTGGGTAGTATACTATGACTTTGGCTTTTTTTGCCATCTCAGTAGCTAGTTTGCCGTATTGCCAGTCATCAACCCATTCCATCTTCTCCGGTGGGTTCTCCACGCGATTCCTTGTATTCCATCGGATTCTGCAACCCACTCTAAAAATGAACCGTAAGTATCATCAAAATGACAACAGATACTAGAGAACTTTTATCATCTTGATATATCGCTTGTTGGCCTAGATAACCTTGAGCTGAGACGGGGGAGTGCAGTAATTCTTATAATCATTGTTATAGTCTAAAAGCTTCTGACGGAATGTGAAAACCAACTTCTTGTAATCCCAAGTAATATCCTCTAGTAAATTCTGGATAGTATCGTTTGTTTTTGGATGCAGATCTTTGATGAGACTTTTGATTTCTTTTGTGACTTCCTTTGTGAACTCATTGTCTGCCCTAAGTATCTTCTCGATATCTTGGACACAACTCTCGAGAACTTCCAAAGCCTTTCTCACGGTATCTTTATTCCCACCAAATATCCGCAAGTAGAATCTAGAGTGGTAATATTTATAGAATCTTTGTTGGGCATTTGCTCCAATGTATCAACAACTTCTGCTAACAATCTTTCTGCTTCGGATAGGGTGTTTTCTGTGGGTTTTGGTTAACCGAAGGCTGTCTTTGACGACAGTATGAGTGAAAACTCATCTCCGAAAGCCTTTGTCAACTTATTGAAAATATGTAATGTGTCGTCCTGTTTTCCAGTCTCGGCGAATTCATTGGACCATCTGTGTATGGCCTCACCTCCCAAATAACATTGGTTGAGAGTCCCTTCATGAAAGTAAGCACCTCATAATCGATTTTATCTATGAGTCTCTCAAGAATGTCATGGCATTCTAACGCGGACCTCCGGTTCTTCATCCATAATTGTTATTTTTCCGTGACTTCTGGAATCCTCGTAGATCATGGGCTCCATGGCTGCTTTCTTTTGATCAGAGCAGTAAATAAGGCACTCGGTCAGAAACTGTTCTATGAAGGAGACCAACATTCTCTGCTTTGAATCATTTGACGAAATGCTGGAGCAGATTAAGTGTTCCTCCTAGCCTGACTACTTACCTTAGCAGCAGAATACAGGATTGAAAAACACTAGTGTGACGATTCCACAACCACCTGAGATGGATACAAAGGTAGCTGTCAGATTGCAAACCTGGGTAACTATGGGCCTCGCACAGTAGGGTGGATTTCTTATTGTAGCCACCAGTCGTTGGTACCCAACTGTTTGCATTGCCGACTAACGAGCTCTCATCGTGGTCCTGGGATGGTTAGTCATATATATATATATATATATATTCATATCCAAAGGTTGTTGGTATGCCTGTCTCGCCGTTCAGGTTGTCGACAGCCAAGCTTACTATTATCGCCGAGGATTTTGGGTTAATTATATGTGGCTCTGGCGACGATAATCTTTCCCTACCTCAATTGGCCTGTCCTCCGGCCCTGCTCGGGGCTTCCTTATTGGTTCTTACGCCACTGCCCCGGGGCAGCTGCTCGTCCACACCTGAGCCATAACGCGAAGGTTGGTTGATATGCTTGGCTTTGTAGCCATGTCTCCTTATTTACGTTTACTCGAGGGGCACTCTGTTCATGGTCCTCTAGCTTTCTCCATCGATCTATTAATACATCCATCAATTCATCTATTTGTGACGATCCACTTAGCCTTCCTGAGATGGGTTCAGGTTCAGATCAAGACTTATGGATTTGACAAGAACTCATGCGCAGATTCAACGGCACTGTAGTCATCAGTTGGGTATGCATAACTGTTTGTATTGCTGAATGGGGAGTTTTCGCCAGTAACTCTTGGCTCTGACGACCTTTCGCCAAAGACCCTTGTTTTCTATTGGCCGTTTTGGGACCGTTTGGGCTGCGTCTTATTGGTTCTCCCGCCTGTCACACCCTGCTGGTCGTTACCACTATAAGTATCATAAAGATGTCTCTATGGACAATTTTGCCAAGTTTCTTTTGCTTTGATGACATTAAGATGATGCAGTCCACAGGGACCAGAAACGTGAAGTCGCCAAACATTTAGCAGAGTCGGGCCCAGGACAAAAAAAATAACGCGGAGTACAGCCAACTTGGAGAGTTAGGTGAGAAAATAGACCAACAATTGTGAAAAGGGTTGAGCAGTGACATATAGTCTCAATTTTAGGAAGGATGATAGCGCTCCATATGGCTGAGCCACTTGAGAAAATGCAGGCTCTTCGTCTGCAACGGCTGCGCGGTGACGGGGTCGTCGAGGAACCTTTCGGGCGGACACCGGTAGGAATACCACCGAAATTCATGAGGATCCTGACTCAGCTTGTAAGCAGCAAACTCCTTCGTCGCGGGGTACCCATTCAGCGGCATGGAACGGTTGGCGGCAAGCTCAGGCCAGGCAATGATCGATCGGGTGGGGGGCAGACAGCCTCGTTTCTCGACAAGCCACTTCCACGCGTCGTCGTCGAGTTCTGGCTGAGTCTGCAGCTTCTTGCGATCTAGGCGGCTGTCAAAGTCGTGGTCAACATCGTTGCAGCGGGGGCAGCACTGCTCGAGTCTGTGTGACCGCGAATACTCTCCAGGCCGTCGGTGCAAGATGCAGTGGGGGCAGAACATCTCTTGTCGGCGGTCTCCTCGTCCATGGCGATCGAGAACTCCCCATGCACTGTTGCGAAGGAGTTGATCCGGAGGGATAAGTGAATCAAGTCGCACGCTGCATTAAGGAGTTCTACTGTTGTGCCCCTTTTGTCAAGGATTTTGGGCTCCAGGGGAGGAAGGCTTGCAAAAGTGAGGTGATAGTCGCCGTCGGGATTTGTTCAGCAGAAGTCGCAGGCGACTTTGAGCAGTATCGCCAGGGTTCCTCGCACAACAAGGCCCGGAGGACTGCAGATGCTGTTTAGCAGCGTGTTGCTGCGAGGACGTTTCAGGACTCGTGGCTTTGTCGCGTCGACCTGGGCTCCGTTAGCACTCATGACGTCATGAGCGCGCTTAGAGTGATGAGGATCGTCGTTCGAAGTGTCGCTAGTCGTGTCCTTGGCTGCCGCTGAGTCCATTTTAGCTGCAGAACGAAGCAAGGTGAGAAACGAATCCCGTAATAGTTGTAAAAATTGACATGGTAATTTTGCTTGGGAATATTTTCGCCTGGATGCTTCAAAGTGGAAGTCACGACTGACCTTCAAATGGAAAGATGGTCTCTTACCTGCGATGTGGCCTAAACTTTTTGGAGCTTGTTCCGTGACTGACCGCTGCGATCGGTAAAATGGTCGCCTCAAAGGACCAAAGAAATTAGCCTTTACTTTTTTAAGCCGAATTTCGTTCCACATCTACTCATGTCAGTGGTTGATGCTGCTCGGTCTGATATGACACAGCTTGGTACTGCTCAGGTGCGTTGCCCCATTGCGGCGGGAAAACAATGTGATCCAGCATCTTTTGGAACTCGAGATCCCAGTTCGGGCCCAGTCCAACATCAGCCGACCACTGCCCCTGGTTCATGTCGAAAATATCCCATCCTGGATTGAACTGGCCGTTTTGGAACATGTCTGATGTCAGCTCAAAGGTATTGGTGCTCACAGCTGTGTCAGGAGTTAACTTGGACGTCATTGAAGCAGTTCCAAATTCAATTCCCTGAGACACGACTGGTGTGGAGGTAGGTTCTTTCGAACTCCCTGTTTGCTCAAAAGGCTGAGGGCCCCATTCACTCAGGGGCATCTGCGACTGCTTGTACAGACTGAGTAATTTCGGCTGCAGGTTGAGCACGATTTCAGCCACGCGAGGACGAATGCGCTCGTCGATGTCCTGAAACTCGTTCTGAAAGAGGACCTCCAGCTCCCGTCGCACAAGCGTGGGCATTTCTCGACGAAGGAACGTGGCAAAGTCCTCAAGCTCTCCACTCTTTTGCTCCTCGCTCGGGTCATCATAGTCTGTATCGATTAGTCGACTCCTCCGCTCCACAGGTCCAAGAAACACTTACAAGGTGATGGGATAGAGCTAGGATCATCATCCGGAAAGAGGATGAGGTAGATCTCGCGCCACTTCTCCTCGTCTGTCATGTCGGCATGCGTTTTCTTGCGGCTGCGCAGCTTTTTCTCCTGGTCCTTGGTGAAGCCCTCGTGCAGCATCCGATTGCCCTGGATCGTGCATGGGGGATCTTGCTGGAGATGGGACTGGAGCTCGCTGTCCACTTTGAAGACCTCCCAGCAGCGAGGGCACTGGATAGGCAGGGAGTGGCGTCGGTACAGGTGAGTTCTGGTCATTGTTAGCATCTTCTTGGGCTTGCTGCAACGACCAGCAGGATACACACTTGACTCGATGAACCTCGTCCCACCCAGGGCCTGGGCAGGACGTCCACTTTCCATATTTCCTCGGGTTTCTCTTGAAGTACGGGCAAGCGAACTTCCTGCCTCCTGATTTCGAGTTGGGGGCGGTCTTTCTCGGCTTCTTTCGTCTCCCATCACCGTCATCTTCCTCAGCAACCGATACCGTCTCCTGGGCCTTTACCGGAGGAGCACCGCGCTTCCTAACTGATGGAGCCGGAGCCCCTTCTGTTTCCTCCTTGGCTTCTTCACCATCTGAATTATCAACTTCTGCCTCAATGTCCAGTACAGGTTGGCCTTGAGAAAAGGACTGAACGTCTGTATCCTCAACAGTGGACTCCAGACAGTATTCAAGCAAAGACGAAGAACCAAAGTTGTAGATAGCCTGAGCATCTGCCTCTGGGTATTCGACCAAATCGGCTCCTTCTGGGACACCATCTCGTGATGTCTCCCTCATTCCCCCAGTCCGCCGTTGTTGTGAGGAGGACAGATGTCGTGCAATATCTGAGCTCTGTGTAGTGCTTTCCTTTGTAGGAGACTTCTTGCGAAAGAAGCTCAAAGCGTCGCGTCTCATCTTAACAGACTCATCTGCGGAGGGAGATGGCATTGGCCGAGTCTCTGAACGTGCCATGGCACGCTGAGAACGGGCATGTCCAGCAAGAGAAAACTCAACACCTCCAGCTGGAGGAAGTCGTGAATGGGAAGGCGGTAGAAGAAATGCGGAACGACTTTGCGCGGGATGTGCAAGTGGTGCCGTAGGCAAAGGAGGAGGAGTAGGAGCTGCAAGTGATATCTGGAGGGCTGCAGGGGGAAGAACCGCTGGAGCAGGTTGTCGGGACTGTTCGCGACGAGCAGAAGGAGCTGCAGGCGGAGGAGGCACGGCAGCTGAGAGCCTCAAGGAAGGGGACGGCGGCCTTTGACTAACACCGGGCTTCGGCTTAGGAGCAGCGGGCGGTTTTGAGGGTCGGACGGCTGCTAGCTTAATGTCGAGGGCCAAGCAGAACTTTTTCATGAGCTGATTGACTATGGCCTGCTTCTGTTCGTCCAGCTTGCCCTCGGCTTGAAATGAACTGCTCCCATCCTCAATGTCTGAGACTAAGGACTGGCTGTCGCTCGACACCTCGATGTCCTCCCCCGAATTCCGGTCTCTGTCGTCGTCTATATGCAGAGTAGACATTTTCTTGGTCAATTTGACGGCGCCATCCTGTGAGCATGAGTGTTTCGACTCTTCATCATCGGATGAGGATAGCGCTCTCAAAGGCTCGTTGGGTACTTGGGCTATTTGGGCTGTCTTGACCTCAGAAGGGTCAGGGACAGACCCAGATGGAGACATATTGGTTGGAAGTGTCCAAGTTGTACTCGACGTGTGCTAAGTCACCTCGAGAGCTCTATTTACGTTGGTGTTGAGAAGTCAATCTCCAGAAGCGCAACCAGAGGAGAGGTTCCAGTACAAGGCAGCAATGACTTGAAATTGGGAGTGGAGCGTTGCCAAGACAGCCGTACAAAAGTCATCCCACTCTACCACACTCATTAGCCAGCCACCACACGCCACGACTGTTTTGGCTTGCGGCTTGGTCTATGGCGCCTGGCTGGTTGCCGAAAACCTTTCTAGACGCAAGCTCATTAAACACGAGTTCAAACATGTATCTTGACTGGTTTTTTTGTCTGTTCCCAGCATTTAACCGATTCTTTCACTGAGATAAGCGCGTTGAACTTTGGAGTCATGCTTGCAGCAGACATGGCTAGGTTACCACTTGACTGTCCCGGTTGTAAACCTGATGCACGACTCAAGATTTCAGAACTGACTTTGGCAGCCAAAGCAAACACTCAACAAGACCTGCTACCACTTTCTAGATATCGGTTTGTTTGGCTTCAACCAAGATGCTACCCTAGCGACTCGCTTCAAAGCTGGCCAAAGGGCCCTGCAGGCCTGCCTAGTGTGACTCTACACGGGATCAGCGGGAACTGCGATTTAGATGCCAGCCAAGTGATGGATCTTGGCTCAGGCTTGTCAAGCCTCAACAAACGCTGATCCCGTCAAGCCCATAACGCTTGTATAAATGTCAATATATACGCTTTAATCGAGATGGGATACATTCTACAGACCACGAGGATGAAGCTCTAGACATGTATCCGTAAGACACGGTCTTCGCCCAGGCTTCAGGGTCCTGAACCGGCAGCAGAGCCACAAGGACTGTGCTGAGCTGCGCTAGAGTCTTGGCAGCATGGCTGTCATGGCACGCTATAAACATAAAATCCGACGGCCCATCCACAAAGATCTGTTCCTCTCACTTCAACAGCGCATTCTCGGCGTCTGTCCGGTTGTTGAGCATAGGTGACGGATGTCGTCTGCGAAACAGCAGACCGGATCAAACAGCCTGAGAGTGCATGTTGTGAGTAAGGGCTAAGAACACATATTTTTTTAGAGATAGCCATGGCGAATGGTTATGTCTCAACGGGGCTGGTCGCCGCCAGCACGTCCCTGTTTGCTATCGCCGTCCTGGCAATTGGGTGGTCGACGGTGGTCAGCTGGGCAAACCAACGAAAGACAGAAGGGCAACAATCACCAGCTGTCAAGACAGCACGACTTCATCAGGCAATTGGAGTGACCCTTTTCTTTGTGTGAGTTTGCTCTCATCCTGCCCTCAATCAACAGTGATTGACGCTTGCATAGGGGGAGTGCATTGACGTTAATTGATTCCGCAATGGCCACTTGGCTCGCGGCAGAGTACTCCGGGACCGACCGTGACATTGACCAGGAGTTTTCCGATGTTGTATTTGCCGCGACCATTGTCGCCATCATCGGCTCGTTCATCAGCATTGTGGGGTCTGTGCTCATGATGGTCGCCCTCCACATTAGCAGCGTTTCTGCCTACTATGTGGTGGTTAGCCGTCAACGGTGGTGGAAGTTTTTCCAAATAGACGCTTGGTGTGGCATCGGTCTCATGGTTCTCTTCGCCATCATCTGGACTGCCGTACTACTGGATGCCGTTATTCAAGGTAAATCTGTTTCAGTCAACATTAACTGGCTCCATTTTGTTATTTGGTTCGCCCTCGATATCATTGCCCTATGCATCTTTATCGGCGCCATCTATGTTAGGTCAAAGTTCAAAGAAAGGAGCGATCTTGTCCCGGGAAATGTATGTTCATCTTGCTTGTTCCCTTGTGGAAGGAGTTACTGACCGCGTCTCTGCAGCTTGTGGCTCTTATTCTCACTGCCTCGTTCCTCGAACTTGTCCGTTGCAGCTACTGGTGCGGTATTGTAAGGCAAGCCATGCGAGATGATACCTCAGACACAGGATACCACGCTCGTCTCATCCTCGATCCAATCTTCAGCCACTGGGTCCAAGCAACCGTCATCATCCTCACCAATGTTGTCCTCGGCCGGCCGATCTGGGCCCACGCACCCACAGTCGATGTACCGCCGCCACAGCAGCCGATGTACGTCTATCCCTTTCCAGCTCCGGCTCCGGCTCCAGCTCCAGCTCCCTATCCGGCGCATTACTCAATGTACGGCTATCCCCAACCGTATGCCCAGCCTGCGGAAACTTCATATTCTGCTCAGGGGTATTATGCGTCAACGGGGCAATCTAAGCCTTCTCCGGCTCCTGTCTCTCCTCCGGTCGCAGCGCCTGCTGCTCTAGCCACCCCTCCGCCCCTTGCGAACCAACCGATGCCCTCTATGTCGACGGGCTCCACTCTGACCCAGCCTCTGGCGCATATTTATGAGGCTGACAATGGGAGTGTGCCGAGGACGGAATTACCTGCTGATCCTGCGCATATGAGATGATGGATGAGTTTTTTTTGGAATTCCAATGAGGCTATGGATGATGTAATGACTTCCCAAGTGAGCTGATTATGGTGTTGATATCCTGGACATTTTCGATAATGGTGGTATACACATTAAGCATCTTGTGCACCTAAAAGCACGGTCCACACTATACCGAATCCCCCAGCGTGTTTGAGACGAACAAATGCTGGTCCAACACTTTTGATTGAGTCAGTGGCAGGGATGAACTTTGTACGCTGTCGAGCCCACTTAGGTTGGTGATGTCACGGCTCCCGGGTGCTAAACTTGACAGATCATGTACACTTTGGCGTCACTAGGTCGCGCATGTTTTTTTTTAAGTCACTGTGTCCTCTGGTTGTCCATCAAGAGTCCCAATCCCTTCACATCATTATTTATTATCTATTGATCTTCCCATCAGTAGACATTAAGTTGAAGATATTCAGCCATGTTCTGCTCTACGCTCCTCTCTCTTTTCTTTCTCCAGCTCTGGCTGGCCCAGCTCGCCTTTGCTGCCCCGGCCGCCCCGATTTCTGCCGAGTCCATCGACAACAGCTGGCAGTATGGAACAGGCGGCGGCATATTGGGCTTTGTCGTCCTCATCCTTGACATTATCGTCTTTGGTGTGTCTCCTGCTCCTAGCTACGATCTCCCTGAGCCTAACTCTCTATAGTCGAGGTCTTAAAGTCCAGTCGGCCGCCCATCCACAAGCTGCTCTGGTGCTTGGTTGTCTTTTTCTTCCCTGTCATCGGCCTGATCATCTACTACTTCTTCTCGAACCGGTCTGCGTATCAGCGCGGGGCTGGGTACGAGCCTGTAGCTTGAATTATTGGGTGTGTTTCAGCTTTGCCAAGCTGTAACCCGGATGTAGCAACTTTTAGGAGCCAAGATTGGGTAGAAAATAGTGACATTCAGGCTCACATGCTGGGATCCGGATTCTCGAAGATTATTGAAGTTGCATCGAGTTATGACTGATACCCTGACTACCCATTGACGATCAGAACATATACAAGAAGAGTATGAGCACAAAGTCCAAAATGAACGTTGCCTAACACTCCCTCTCTTTTTCCCCAACTTCTCCCTGACCTCATGAACCAGCAACTTCCTGGGCTTCTGTGCCTACTGGAGGTTAACGCAAACAAGCCTGCGTTGTTTTCTAGTTGTGCTGCAGCGGACAACAACTGTTCTAGCTCCAGGACTACTCGAGGGTCGTTGGAAAGCATTTGTTGAGCTACAAACTCAATGCACTGAGATGTTTGTGTCAGGATCAACTCCTGAAACCGGATGTCGGCTTCCAGTTCGCAGACAACCTCCTCGTGAATCCCACCGGCAGCCTTCAGCATAATGAGTATTTCCTGAGGCAGCGTCCCTCGGTTGTAGCCCCACCGAAGAATCCGCTTATAATTATTCTTCTGCCTAGGCGTCCCCAAAACCGTCATCATGCCCGCGCCGAGCCCCGTTAGGAACGCATCCTTGATGCCCTTGTGCTCCAGGCGCGGGAGCTGCTCGTACCAATGGTCTCGGTACCAGCCATGAGATAGAGATACCACTTGCTGCCGCAGAGCGTCAACCGCACGGGGAGCATCACCATGATGGTGAGCCCGAGCCAGAGGGGGATAACGACGAAGATGAAACCCAGCATCAGGAGGGCGCTGAGCGCCATCCAGAATATAAACTCGTGTTTCTTTTCTGGGGGGACGTCAAGACCGTCCCCCCAGAAAAGAGCAGGATACCAAGGGGAAGGCCCCCCATGAGGGTGTAGCTGAAGCGGTAGACGAAGTCTAAGAAGACGGTCGTAAGTGCGAACCAGGCATCGTCGCCCCAGGGTGTTTATCGCAGGGAGGAGGAGAAGAGAGCCAAGTTGCCTGGGAGCGTTAGGAGCGCGGGGATCCACGGCCAGATTAGCCACTGGAGCGCCATTGGTAGTGAATAGGAGCGATGAAGTAATTGAATATTGGTTGAAGTTCGCGGCTGTTGTGCTGAGCTCAACCACACAACGGCAGGTCGAGGATTACTAGAAGATTTAATATGATATGATGATAGAGAGAGCTCTGGGAGCAGATGCAATATTTATTTCGACCAGTTATGGTGAAAAACGCTGCGAGGTTGTTGGGGACTGGAGTTGATGTGGATGTTGATCTCTCAAACACAAAACTAATCCCATCCATCATATTTTAGGACGCCTTCATAAGCGCCATCACACCAATATTCTCTATTCCAATACGAGCTACAACTCAGCCCTACTTGATGCTTTAACGCCCTCACAGTTCAACTATTGCCGCTATGCATCCCAGCTCCCAGCTAGTGATGGCAGTGGGGCTGGGATTTACCCCCATCGTGGCTGGCCCTTCTGACTACCCAATCAGTGATACCAGCACGAATGCCGCCGTTAATGTCGCAGTCCTTAGGCGGCCTCAAGCAAAGCAATAAATAGGTGGCTGTGACAACAATGCAGGACCTGTGGCTGTGGCCTTCCATGCGGGTGAACATAGGGTCTCGGAGTTGAGCGTTAAGCTTATCGAATGTGCGGAGTCGGCTATTTTCCGATGAACCTATCCCAATGCTAGCAGGTGCTGCGCAGCCAATCTTAATGAGCATTGTCCGTTTTAACTCTCAGCGAATCTAGACCAGCAGCGTGTTGCTGCAGCGATAGGATCTACCCGGATTCCGCATTGAGGTGTAAACTGTAATACAGCGTGTTTCAGCCCCGGTCTTGGCGGATGCTTCGCTTTCTTGCTGGTCGCCATGTAGCAAACTCAAGAGTTTGCGCGTTTCTCATCTCTGACATCGCGACACGCGGGCATCATGACAGCTCGCAATGTGCCTGCTCCGCACCACCAAACTCGAACTTGTAGAGTTTCTTGGTGATGATGTCCCGCCGTATGCTATCCTCTCCCACACGTGGGGCATCGAGGAAGTGCCTGTTCAAAACGTTCAGCTGGGTTTGGCGCAGGAGAGAGTTGGCTTCAGGAAGCTTGAAGGGGCATGTGCGCAAGAAGTGAAGGATGGATTTGAGTATATCGTGAGTTTGTCCCGAATGATTGACTCGAACTAACACAGTCAGTGGATCGACACCTGCTGCATCGACAAGTCCAGCTCGGCCGAGCTTGGCGAGGCAATAAACTCCATGTACAGCTAATACAGACGGGCGACTGTCTGCTATGCCTTTTTGAACGATGTAAGGACAGACGAAGATCCGTATGCTCCAAACAGCAGCTTCCGGCGAGTGCGCTGGTTCACTCGCGGATGGATGCTGCAGGAGCTTCTCGCGTTGCCTGTTCTGTACTTTTACGGTACCAACTGGGTTGAAGTCGGCACGAGAGCCGACATGGTCGACCTGATCGTGTCCATCACTAACATTAACCGCCGATATCTTGACTCTGGTAATCATACTGAGTTCTCAGCAGCCAAGAAGATGTTGTGGGCGGCCAGACGACGAACGACTCGAGTTGACGACATGGCCTACTGCCTGCTTAGCCTGTTTAACATTCACATGCCATTGCCGGACGGCGAGGGTATGAAGGCGTTCCACAAACTCCAGGAAGATATACTTAGGCAAACCGAGGACGAATCACTCTTCGCACGTAGTCGCAAGTATGATGTATTGGCCCATTATCGCCTGTATTTTGCCAACTGCTGCGACATCGAGTGCGGTGACGCACTACCCGACGAACTCAGTCGCTCTCTCTTCTGAAACAGAAACGTCTCTGTTACCGGGCGTCATATCAAGATGACGTTCCCTGATGAATATTGGCATGACTTGTTATCGCTCTTATGGTCATTGCGTAGGATTTTCGGCTGGTTCACACACATCTATGGCCCAGAGACATTGGTTAACCATGGCTATTGTGCTGAGGACGATGGGGCTTTACTATGTTTGTGACGATCCAGGCAGGCCTCCTGAGATTGGTTCGAGAGGTGCCAAGCCGCTGACCTGAGAGACAGGAGTCTCACACAGTCAGAATGATCCATGTTGTTACACGGACACGGAAGTCCAAGGAAAGGGGTATACGTGACTGAGAACACAAGGGACACCAGAGATAGAATGATTGTGAACGACACAATACGTAATTGACTCTGGAAGATATATGAAGCCACACGACCGAATGAGCCAGACGGCCGAGGCAGGAGGCCAAGACCTCTGAAAAGCCTGGAAGGCCAAGGGACTCATAAGGCAAGAGGATTCCGTAAAGGAAGTTGCCCGGACACGATGAAGGACTTTTCTTGGTTCTTCCTTTTTTAACACAAGGGCACTGAGGACCAAGAAAATTGTTACACGTACTATTTGACTTCGTTGTGCACCCCACATCGTCAGTTGCTATCATCTAACCCATTTGACCCATTGTCAATATCTGCCTGCACCGAACCAAGTCACACGTTACGTTTCCTCTCCCTAACATAAGGATACTGAGGACCAAAAAGGATTGTTACACATATCATTGACTTCGTTGTGCACCCCACATTGTCAGTGGCTATCATCCAACCTATTTGACTCATTGTCAATCCCTGCCTGCAGGACTATCACCACCGCCACAGTGGTTAACAAGGGGCAAAACGCGCTGTTGATACCCGCTGAGAGATAAGGCGATATGGTTCTCCGTTTTAGCAAGCTATAAATAGGTAGGTCTTGAGTCCTCAACCTTGTGGTTGTGTCCCAACAATTCTCAACTCTCAAGGAACTTTTCCAACCACAACGTTGACATCATTAGTATCTTTCAGGAGGTGTTCCGTGACTCGCCTGATCTAACATTAATATCCTATTCCACCCCGTCCGCCATCATGGGCTTTTTGAATTCCTGATGGCCCTGCCCTGGCTCACTGTCCCTTTGCTTCCAAGGGTTGTCTACATTTTCTTCAAGAATCAAGTTATCTGGGCTAAGATGGCTTGGGGGACGCTTAGGGCAGCATCAGGAACAACAGGGACCTTGTTTAAGCAGCTCTGGCTCCCAGGCATGGAACCAAGGATTGCCAAGCTTAAGGCGGCCGCTCCCGATGCATAAAACATGGTGCAGTTGGACCACGCAAAGGACAAATCACGATCGTACGCAACAATGATTCGGGTTACAAACTTGAGATACAAGCCCTTGGTCATGCCTTGCTTGAAGACGTGTTCAGAGGCGGACGTGTGGTAGGATTTGCGGCATGGTTTATTCTGCTTCCTTTTCAACTTGGGTTGGTCGGTGTGATAGGCTATCTTGAATGGAATAGTAAGTATGAGCAAGACTAGTTGGCTAAGTATGCGCTTATAAACGAGAGATGAAGACAAATATGATTTGCAATTCACGAAAGAGATCGAGCCGGTAGAGTAGCGATGCAGGCAGTGATGCCCAGTTCCCTAGCATTTATGTGGTATTAGTAGCAGAAGGCAAGGCTTTCAGCCGAGCCCTTCGTGTGAAGCTTACGAGATGTTTCGGATCATTCTGCGAGACTGGTGAGTGTTTATGCGACACAGGGGTTCAGGGCAAGAGGTTGGCTGGTCAACATCAGGGTTAGGGTTTAGCAGGACTGATGACTAAACATGTCTGTGGCCCATGCTGGGCTGATTTGAAGTGTGTGTGGCCGAGGCCGCTGCCAGAACACAGTTGCCAACACCGAGGACCAGACAAAGCGGCAACCGTCGACGTCGCTCGAAAGCAAGATGCACCGCATTGCATTATAAATCTCATGATCCACAATAGAATGCGATTTATGAAAAGCCAATAAAATGTTGTTTCTTCCGCAGCCTGTGCAGCTGCTTGGGCTGCTCGCAGCCACGTTTCTGTCGTTGCCCCAGACGGCGCTGGCTGCTGGCCACGAGCATGCGCTACCCGCGTACCACTACGGCGCCGCTATCCCCGTCGAGTGCATGAACCGCAGCTCGTAGGAACATCCGGTGTTGTACTTTGTGTTTGAATGTGCTTGCTAACAAAACCAGTGAGAGCGGCGAGCACATCGAGGATTCCATGACACACGAAATCCAATGGATCCCCTTCCCCGTCTGCAATGAGACCGGCAAGCCCCTCGAGTTCTACTACGGCATTGAAGAGGAAAAGAACTGCACCATCGCCATGGTCGATGACCCGTTCTTCCATTTGCTCGAGTTCTACATCCACATGGACGCTCCCCTGTCCTGCCGTCTGCCTGCCCGCCCCGAGCCCCATGTCCAAGTTGTCGGTGATGAGCCGCCGCGGCGAGAATATATCCCACTGGTCTTTGCTCTGGCTGGCAAGTTGCAGCTGAGCCACATGCACATTAGCACGCACATGAACGTCCTTTTGCACAGCACTCCGAAGCATCACATTCATAAACATGACAGTGGTGTTCTTGACAGCGCGACTGCGTATAGCACGAGTCCACTGGCACACGGGGAGGGTAGTTCCACAACGCGTTTGGTGATTGGCGACCCTCTGCCGCTCAGTTTCAGCATCAGGTGGTTTCCTACCCCGGCGCTGCCCAAGACTGAGGGCAAGGTCGAATGGTCGGGCATGGGAGGGCACTTTTATGCGAGCACCATATTCTACAGCCTGGTCTCGTTTTGTGCTGGTGTAATTGTTACAGCGGCGTACTTCTTTGGGTCTGTGCTGCCAAAGAGGCTCAGAGGGAGGAGGAACCTAGGAGGGGCTACGCCTCTGGGATATGGGCTTAAGAGCGTGGGCAATGGCTGGGGATACACAAAGAAAGCAATCGACTAAAGGTGCATGGCTGATACCATTACGGCGTTTGGAGTTGGCTGAGCTGCTAAATTGACCAGTTACGGGCTCTTCTACACGTTCCCCGTGTCCAAAATTAATTCGCTTTCTTAGTTTCCAGCAGAGTATCCGCGGTCCTGATGCGGTACAGAATCCGGCTTCCCATGTCGATGGCTCCAAGAGCCGCTTCTTGCGTCAGCGTACGTGCAGAACGACTGCGGACGTTAGACTTACGGAGAACCAAGTATGGCCCGTAGAACTGGATCACCAGCGTGTGTTTAATCTCGGCCGACCAAACGGCACTGTCCAGGTTCCAGACGTCGAACGCGCAGACGACCGTCGTGAACCAGACCTCGAGCGCGTAAACGAAGAATAGGAGCTCGTCCTCGCCTGAGGTGCCCTTGCGCCGGATGCCAAAGCAGTACAAGCCGTACAGGATCGCCGGCAGCAGGAAGGCGGCCTCGAGGAAGAGGAAGAGGCCCATCCAGCTGTCGTGGCCGGCCGACGTCTCGGGCGTCCACTGCACGATGGGGTCGTTGAAACTCGCGATGTACCACTGCTTGCTACGGAACGCGGCGTGCAGCGGCGAACCGGCCGGCTCGTACATCCATTTCGGCCAGAGGAACTCCAGCAGGTCGGCGACTGTTACTGGTTAGATCAGCCCACTCTCTGGAGGTTGCGGACGCGGCTTACAGGCAGTGATGGGAAGCTGGGTCAGGAACCAGACCAGCCAAAGGGTATTCCTCCCGGACGTGTTGTAGGTCGTCATCTTGAACGATAGCACTTTCTCTCAGTCTGAACGCTGGTGATCTCTGGAAGCTCTGGTCTTAAAAAGTTCGACGTCGGGCTGAGCGGAGACGTGTTGTGCCGAGACACGCGTCACACCCCGCGAAGACAAGACCCTAGCCCGGACATCAAGGTTCACCACCCGGCGAGGAATCGGTCCCCGAAGCCCGAAACTTCCGTCAGACAAAAATTATTCTTCCACAAGAAACCCTCATCAATTCTTCAGGGCAAGGTGGCCGAGCGGTCCAAGGCGCCACGTTAAGGTGTTAACCCTTGATTTAAATCCGTGGTCTCGAAAGGGGCGTGAGTTCGAATCTCACCCTTGTTAACTCTTTTCTCTTTTGCATGTTTGAGCTTGGCATGCATGCGTTGAGGACTTTTTTGAGTGAAACCTGTGCGACCAATCTGCGTTTCACTAGATCGCCGAGATTTGATTGGCGTACCTCGAGGGTTAGGGTTGCAACAGAACTCCATGGCAGTTTCCCCTTTTAACCTCTGATTCGGCAAGCAGTTGGTTACTACCACAGCCGTGGATGACATGGCAGCTTTTTGACAGTCATGACGTTTCATTTCTCCGTTTCCAAGGATCTAACCAGCTGCAACTTCAATCCCGACCGCAATCTTGCCCTATCAAATCCATCGGAATCCAACATCATGGCCGCTGCGAACACATGTTGGGCGTTTTCAGGGGTCGCCAAGATCGCGGAAATAGGCCCCATTACGTTATGGGATGCTGGCCGATCCACTGCCGCCAAGGAATCAACGGCTTGGAGCGTCTGCCGCGTCCCCAAGATTCACCGACTTCGACCCGATCCCTGGACGTTACAAACAATGCCTAGGCCGCCACAACCCGCGTCGTCCTCATGATTCTTGGCTTTTTGTAGCAACAACAACGGCGATATGGGCGCCGACTTTTCTGACTCCTCCTCTCGGTCTTCGTTCGAAGCCGACGACGATCCCGAGGCCGTGCTCCGTCCCATTGGCGACTCTGACGACGACGACAACCTGGCGCCTCGATACCGTCTCCGACGTCTTGCCCCGGCGCGAGATGACGCCGGCAGCTCGTCCGCCTCACCCGGCCCGGGTGGCGTCAACCTCATGTCGGTCTACGTGACGATGCACCGGTATGTAGCGAAGGGGCATTGTGTTTTGGGCAGATATTAACGTTTTTAAGAATCCGCCGCCTTATTATGGCGGCCATTGACGACACTTACACGCTGGACGAGCTCCGGGCACCCCAGATGGACCACCAAGTCGTGCGGCCGCTCGTTGAACGGCTCTACAACCCCGAGGATATGGCGCTGGGTGTGTCTCACTCGACTTTGTCTCGCAAACTCATGCTTACCCGACCGTTGCACAGTTTACTGCCTTATCGCGAACCGGGTCCAGTTCCTGCGGCCTCGCTCAGCCAGCTCCCAGCACCAGGGCGTTAATGAGACCCGAGCGATGCTCTGCGAAATATTGGCAACCCGCATCCTCCGACGCTTCCACGAAGACCATACCGGGCGTACAGGCCTGCTTTTGCTTGCAAACATTCTTGTTTCTGGCTTCGACCCATGTGATACCGCCCCTGAGACTGTCCGGGCCCTCCGACCGCAATGGGCTGTGCAAGATCGTGGGGGCCACGAGCGGAAACTGACGGCCCTCGAGCTTGCTATCGTCTCGGAGAGTAAGATGTTTGTCGGCTCTCCAGCTTGCCAGCTCGTCGTAGATGCCGTGTACAAGGGCGTGGTCGTGTACACTCCTGTGTCATTTGTCGATTTTCTGCCTGACCATTACAAGCACCATCCTGTATCGCTTTACGAGCCTCGTCGTGCCGCGATCCTGAACCACCACCGCCTGATCGTGCCACAGATCAGGAACATTATTGAACTCATGCACTTCGCCATTCTCTTAGTGCTTTACATGTTAACGGTTGTGCACTTTGGCCTGGGACATGACTTGGACGGTCTTCGATTCTTTGAGACTGTGTTCAACATTTTTGCGGCGGGATGGGTACTGGAGCAGTTTGCCGCCATCGTCGAGCACGGCTGGGAGGTGCATGCGCAGAATTTGTGGTCTTTCCTGGATGTGACGTTCATCGTCATCTATGCTGCATACGGCGTGGTGCGGACGTTCGAGCTCCTGCTGACCGATCACGACTACTATGCGCTGCCCGTCCTATGCACAGCTGCGCCAGTAATGCTGACTCGCATCGCCTTCACCCTGATGCCGAACAACATTGTTTTCATCGCTCTTCATGCCATGATGCGTGACTTTACGCGACTCACGTTCATTGCTATTTGGTGTTTTGCTGGCTTCGTTGTGGGCTTGTTGTTCCTTGCCCGGACAAGCGGCGACAACTCGCTAAATGTCGGCGTTACTTGGGCCACGATCTCAAAGTGGTTGCTTTGGTACGTTCCCTTCGTGTACCTCTTGCTGATCACTGCTGACGAGCTCAGGATCTGGTTCGGTCTCGACGGCACCGGCATCGAGCGTGCTGCCGACTTCCACCTGATCCTCGGTCCAACCCTCATTATCACCTTCGCCTTCCTCGGCAATACCCTCTTCCTAACTATCCTCGTAGCCATCCTGACGAACACATTCTCGAAAATTATCTCCAACGAGGCTGCCGAGGTCCAATTCCGCCGCGCCGTGCTCACCTTCCAGGGCGTCAAGAGCGATGCCATCTTCTCGTACCCCCCTCCCTTCAACATCCTCGCCATGCTCATTATGCTGCCGCTTAAGTTCATGCTCGGCCCGCTGGCATTCCACCGCGCAAATGTGGCCGTTATTCGGACCATAAATGCTCCAATTTTGTTGATCATTGCTCTCTGGGAGCGCAGACACGTTTTGGCGCGTAAGTCGAAGCCGTTCAGGATCAAGTCTTGGTGGTATTGGCCCAGGTTGTCGCCGCACAACGATATCCAAGCTGTGTTTGGGTCGGAGCCGCCGCCGGAGGTGATTGATGCGCTGGAAAAGATGGACTCGTTAAACGAAGTGATTGGCGTTGCGAAGGATGCCCACATGCAGAGGCCGCAGTCAGCCAGAGATTTTAGCGGGCCACCATCCGCAGTTCGAAGGCGAATGACTGCGGGAAGTGGCAGTATCAGGAGGCTTGAACTGTAAAAAAGGTCTCATAAGTTTTGGGCACAGTTCATGTTCATGTACATAAACCATATCCATTTAATTTGAATTGGGAGTCGCATTGAGTTCCTTTCCACAGCGCTTACCTTACATTCATGCTCCCTCTAGTCCTCTCCGTACAACAACCTCCTGACTTCCTTTCCTACCTTCTTAGTAGCGTCTCTTGCAGCATACGACCAGGCTGTCATTTGGAGCCAGCCGCTGATGAGGTCGTCGTAATGGTGCCAGCTGACCTTAACACCAGCGTCTCGAAGCTTTTTCGCATATTCAATCCCGACATCTCGCAGAGGATCGAAACCGTTAGTGAAGATGGCAGCTGGGGGTTGCCATAACAGTTGGTTTACTTGTTGCATTCCCGGCGAGACGTATCGATCTAGCGGTGATGGCCCTAGACGCGATGAGGACGGTACGGTGAAAAGGGAGATTTCTTAAAGCTTACCATTTGGTCGTGGCAGGTAGTGCGAACCAAAAGAAAATATCCCGTTGCACTGCAGATAGTAGCCGGAGTTGTTTTCCTTAGCCGCTGGCGTCTCAAACGGCAGTCTTGTTTCGGGATACAGAAGGATTTGAGCTGCGAGAGGCTTCTTTCCCTCGTCCAGCCTTCGCAAACACACGGCAGCAGTCATGTTTCCACCCGCGCCGTCGCCTCCCCCGGCAATTCGGTCTGGATTTACACCTCTGGATCGAAAGCCCTCTGTTTGCAGCCAGTCGATGACGGATGAGTACTCATCCAATTGCGTCGGGTACCGGAATTCAGGGGCTAACCGGTAATCGACGGCGTATACCTAGCCTCAATGAGCATCTCACCTCAACAGCTTGGAGTTTCCGGCTGACCTGACACCCCGACTCCTCAGCAACCAACCTCAACCCGTTTTCAAATTCATCGACCGTCCCCACCGAATACCCACCCCCATGGAAATAAACCAGCGCCCCGGCATCGCCCTTTTGCCTGCGTCCCTCCCCCGACCGAGGGTACAGCACACGAAACGGGATTGTCCCGTGCGGGCCGCGGATCGCTGTGAACTCGACCTCACCAATGGGATTAACTTTGCTCTGCGGGATCTTATGCAGCGCGAATACCTCCATGTGCTGCCGTCGTTCGACGCAAAAGCCTTTCTCACCGCCAAGCTCGAGGGCCGGGTGGTTCGCGAGGAAATCGGCTATTGCGCCGTTTACCATGTGGGCGCGGGTTCCGATATTTGGGATTTCGGGGGAGTTTTGGGACATTGTGATCGGTATGAAGGTGGATTACAACGGTAGGGCTCAAGGTTGTAAATTGAATTCGGCTGTAGAATCCCGACTCAACCTCATCTTGGGCGGACGTTTGACTGAAATGTCTTGTTCGTGCGCGATGCGATCGTGCGCTTGCTACATATACGTCATGGTGGGGTAAGGGGCCCATCGGGTATTGTGCCGGGCCCTTTTTCCAGTCATTCCAAGTTTTGTTGGCTGGCAGGTTTTCTTCCTTGACCTGTTTGTGTTGAACTTGATTTGAGGCTGTGCAACAAACTGGTTACTCTCTGCTCTCATTTGACATTTCATTCACAAAGTTAAGTCATTTCCCTAACATCCTTGAAGTCCAAGGACCTTGCCGCTGCGCCGCCTGACAAGGAGCACTAGACAATGTGACGAAACGCACCATTAGTCACAGGTATTCAAAATGATGAGGGAAACGAGGTCTAATTTCATGGCTTGCGCAGCATCGTCAGATTGGTGACAGCGGTGAGATCAAATAAGCTAAGTTCGAAGACTACGCGTGAGGTTTGTAGGCCCCGTCACAGATCCGGGCCAATAAGAGGAGGCTGTTTGGGGTGGAAACCTGTAAACGGGCCCCCACATCGCGTTCTTGGTTTGCCCCTCCAGGCATTCACGCGACGCGCTACCGGAATTCGGGCCAGCACCTTTTTTTTTATTTACTTTTATTTCCTCCGTCCGCTGTGCGACGCCAGCATTGTTGGCGGCTTCGGCCGCAGACATAGGTATCATATTGTGCATTCCACGGCAAATTTCCTCGATTTTTATAAGGTCGCACCAAATTCGAAGGCCTGCCACACCAGCCCTTAAGGACGAGAGCGCATCGCGATGCAGCTCGTCTAGACCCCTCAGCAGCTGGGGGCCCACCGAGAGCACCAACAGCCTGGATCCAACCACGACCCTGGAGCAGACGCTACCGTTTCGGCAAGCCGACAGCGCAGGCGGCAAAAAAAGAATAAAAACAGCAACCACCGAGAGCATGCGGGACCATGCCATCCAGGAGGGACTGGCCTGGGAGGATAACGGCCTGGGCCCGGAGGCACGGTGGACACGGGACCCCGACATTCGGGCCATCACTCGAGTCTGCCGCCGCCATCTGGGCATTCCCGCCGACGCTGCCGAATCTGACTTTGTGGTTTCCTTCTACAGCGACGGCGCCTACAACAAGCTGTACAATGTGCGCACGCCGAATGGGCAGTTCGTCATGCGCGTGGCCCTGCCGGTCGACCCGCAGAACAAGACCCGCGGCGAAGCGGCCACGCTGCAATTGCTTGCGAGAAAGATTCCCGATGTGCCTGTCCCCCAGCTCGTCGCCTTCGACGATACAAGGCGCAACGAGATCGGCTATGAATGGCTGCTGATGAGCAGGTTACCCGGCACGCCGGCGTACTATCGCTGGCGCAAGATGACGATGGAGCAAAAGGAAGCATTGACGGCGCGCATTGCTGCCTTTCATGCGCAGCTGCTACGCTGTGGCAGCGTTGGCGAGGGATTTCGCGGGATTGGGACGCTCGGCGCAAGGTGCGATGACAGCGATATCGACACGGCCATCACCCCCGACAGTGTTGCCGAGCCTGGGCAGGTCGTCACGCCGTTTTTCTTTGCTGGCCCGCGATTCCACTACCCTATTCGACGAGGACCGTTTCGGTCGAGTCATGACTGGCTGCGGACACAGCTGAACGTTATTATCAAGGAACAGACGGCCGCGCTGTCGCAGGCGCAGAACGATGACGACAAGGAGTATGCTGAAACGGCGCTGCGAGTGGCGCGCAAGCTGCTGCGCATTCTGCATAAGATATTCCCGGCGATCGTCAACCCCCCGGAGCGGACGGTACTCTGGCACGATGACCTCACGCTGCGCAACATCCTAGTCGACAACCAGGGCAACCTGACCGGCATTGTGGGATGGTTCGTCTCTGACACTCACTTACTTTCATACTTGATATCTGCTGACAAGCCCAGGGAATGCGTCTCGACAGTCCCCCGATGGGTCGCCTCGCAGGTTCCCGAATTTTTACGAGGAGCCGAGCGCGAGACCAAGCCCGACCGCAACTGCTACACCGACGTTAGCGATAAAGGCAGCGAGGCGGGGGATGAGGATGGCGGCGACGACACCGAGGACCTCGACAACGAGGGAAAGACAGAACTGTACTGGATTCACCTGATGGAATACGAACAGACGCAGCTGCGCAAGGTGTACTGCGAGCACATGCGCCGGCTGCGCCCAGACTGGGACCTGGAGGTTGAGGAGGGCGCGCTCAAGGTGGACTTCCTGAATGCGATAACTAAGTGTGGCTCGGGATTCTATCTCAGGCGCATCGAGCAGTGGGTGGATGCCCTGGAGAGACGGGAGTTCTTCCCGCTGTTGGAGGTGTTGCGCGTCGGCATCAAGAAGGATAAAAAGGATAAGAATAATGCCACAAAATCGGAACGTGGCATGACATGACTAGGGATGTACGCAGATTTTGCTCTAGGAGGGTGTCAAGCATGCAGATATCGACTCTTGGGGCCATGGGGTGATTACTGGGCATTAATGAACTATCTGGCTCTCTGAGCCTACGGGGTTGTGGGTTGACCGACCACCTTCCCGTCAAAAACCTCGCTGAAGATCTCAAAGTTGCCCTCCTTCCTTCGGTCGTAGACCGCGAACCAGATCTCCTTGAACCAGCCACCCTCAAACTCTCTCTCGCTGAGCACCTCCATCCAGCAGGCGGCTACCTCACGTGGCGGATTCCCAAAGGCGCCGCAACCAATGGCACCGAGGACAAGCATAGTATGGCCCTTGGACGCAGCCATACGCAGGCAGAGCCGCATCTTGTCTTTGGTTAAGGCCCGGACCGCGGGATCGGCAAAGACGAGATCGCCTTTTGGAATTTTTGGCTTATTTCCCTCCGGCTGCCCTTTCCTGTCCTTCCAATTCTCCTTGAAATGACCCTTCACTCTCGACTCACCGCTCTTTGCAGGCGATTCATCATTCTTCTCTTTGGCCGGCTGATCAGTTTTACTTGAGCTTCCCGACTCGTCAACTTCCCCCTTCCCTTTAACGGCCGGTTTCCTCACTCCGGCGATGCTTAAGACGCTCGCTACCGGCAGCTCCTCATCCGGAATGCCTTTCCCGTCACTTCCCTTGCCCTTAATCAACAGCGTATGCCCCCGATCCATGCCCTCCCGAAACACGACCACGTCGCGCGTGTAGTGTCCTGTCCTTGGAGCCATGGGGTACATGTTCTTGTGCAGCGACGCTGCCAACGTGCTGCGGTAACATAGCGCTTCCTCTTGTGCCGTCGATCCCTTCAGCCAACCGCCTCCGGGACTAAACTCCGACGCCATATTGAGCACGGCGACTCTTGGGGCGGTGGTCGCATTAAGTTGGTCTGGCAGGGATGCGTGTGTCTGAAGCTGGGTGAGGATTTCGGACTCTTTAGCCTGTGTCGCTTTGCTCTGAAAGGAACTGATGCCCAGAACGATGGCCGGCATGGACAAAGCCGCGTCGAAGGTGTCCTGGTTGAAGACGCGCACCCGCGTACCGTAGGTTGAGTCGGGGAGTTTAAAGCGCGGACACTTGGCAGGATCAAGAGCTGGCAAGGTTTCCAGGGAGAGCTTTTCGGAATGAGTTGGATTGAGGCGCGGCAGGCTGGCTGCGACCGTTAGTGTCAACTCGGATGTCTCCTTGGCAATCGCCGCGAGGGCGAGGCGCTTGGGGTTGTTGTAGTACTTTTTTCTTAACATGGTGCTGAATTGATTGAATCGAAATTGCTTATGACTTGTGTCAGTTTTCGAAATCAGGAATAAATTCAAGTTTTGAATGTCTGGATATCAGTTGTTCAAGTAGCTGAGAAGGGTAGCCTTTTTATGTTGAGCACTCTTTCCTCTAAGGGTTGGCCGAAGGCTGAGTGACAGTTGCAGGCAGGCGGGACGGATGCATCACCGGCCAGCTCAACTGGGCTTGGTCGCCAACACTTTTCGTACACCCCGCAGATGGCAGCCTAAAGTTCATCTAATAGCCCCTGCTAAGTTGCACACAGAATTCCTCCACTCTGACCCTCAAAGTCTGCTTTATGCTGGGGTCAGTAACCGATAAGCAACTGCACGGAGGAGAGGCTGAGCAAACACCGTGCAGATTGCGCTGAGGATTGCAACAAAGACGAGGTGCCAAACAGCAAAGCCTGCAACCATCCTGCGTTTTACGAGCGATGAAGCTCTCACCATTTTCGGGATGGGAGTGATACGCTGCTCTTTTGCCGTCTTGCACGCGATTTGCATTCCGGGCAAGCCGTCCACGCTTTCTGCGTTCTTCAATGCCCAGTACCTGTCGAGTCTTAGCTATTTCTCCACACTTCAGGTGATTATGAGACTCACCGTTCCATGCTCTCATCCTCCTTGCCCTGTGCAAACCTCTCGGCCTTGCGAGCAAAGAACTCGGTCAATGTGTTTCGGAACCCCTTGAACTCGTAATATGGCACCGAGTAGCCGCATGAACTCGCAACCTGATGCACCGACACAATGATGATGGACCGCGACGCCGGGATGACCTGCACATCATTCTTCTTGACAAACTCATCGAACGCCGGCGTACCCCGCTCCAGCACAGTACCGTGTCCAAACAGACGGACGATGCGGGGCGAGCCTTCAAAAGCATTGAACATGATGGTGATACGGCCGTTGCCAGGCTCGTAGAGATGCGAGATGGTCTCGTTACCGCTGCCCGTCAGGTCATGGTACCAGAATGTCTTATCGTCCAGCAGCCCGAAGAATAGGCCGCCCTTAGGCGAGACGTTGACATGCCCGGATCCGGAGAGTGGCGCCGTGGCGACCCAGAACATTTTTTGTTCCAGGATCCATTTCAGCAGATGTTCGGGGATGGTCTCGTAAAACTGGCCCATGGTTCGAGAGTTCAGCTAACAGTTTTGTCTCCAATCGATGCAATTTGAGCATTTCCAGGCATAATTAAGATTTTTATGTGGGCTGCCACAGCGCCCTTTGCCTGACACTAGCAGCTCATTTGCGCGCTATGTAACACCGACTCGGCCGGCAGCACCCCTCATCCGGTCCGGAGTTAAGATGTTCTTCCCGGATGAGTCACATGATGAGCGCTATGGCAGTTCAAATAGTACGGAGTTGAACCTTAGGAGGGGACTAGTTCATCTAAGATCGCTGCGCTCACCCTCAATCATCTAGCATTAGCGGGCAAGGGAGAGAGCTGCTGAGAGCTAACAGCCAGCACTAATTGCCAAAGGTCTGAGCTTTTCTCCTCAAACACTACAACAGGTTTCTGTCGCAAGGTGCCGACATGATCTGGCCAACATTTGTGCTTTCATCTGGTGATTAACATGAATTCAAGATCCTGGTTCGTGATCGTGCAGAAGGTGAAGGGCATTCTCGGATAGCCAAGTGAAGTGGCCAAAGCGAGGTTCCAACCATTGCCATTCTTTGTTTCTGCTCTTCTATGAGTTGCAACCAAAAGGGTTATATTACTCTAAGAAGGCTACGGTCCAGCAACCCTGGCCGCTCTGTGATATTTGGCTACATCCAGAATCGTCCCACGAGGATTTGCAACGCAAGCATTTATTTCTGCTTTCCTCAGATCATCCAACGTTCCACTGCCGGCATCATTGAATAAAGCAACGTAAATTCACTGCGGTCTTTGCGGATTGGTCCGCCAGTCGGAAGCAAGTTTACACTCCTTTTTCCGGCAATCCTCTCGCCTCGTTCAATTGTACAAAGAGTCAATATAAATATTGTGGTTTTCTCCAGGCCAAGACACGGCTATGTCAGGAACTAGCTTCGGGAAACGGTCATAACGGGATTTTCACGTTCATATTGGTTTAGAAACAGTTGAGAGTGGCTTTCATTTGGTTTGTTGGCCTGATAACATGTTTCGGATCGTTGGCGACGTAGATCACTTCTTTCAGATATAAAACGGAAGTTCCTGGAGTAGTTCCGAGGATGGCTTTACGACATCGTCTTCACTCCATTCTGCCAGTGTCCATCCCTGACCTGGGACACTTGCTATCATGTTGAAGTCAACATTTCTGCTCGGTCTCCTCGCCTACAGCCCTCCGATCAACGCGAGCCCAGCTCGAACCCTTGCTCCTCGCCAAACTGGTTGGCCATGGGGATCAGGTGGTTTTCCTTGGGGCAGCAGCGGCTCAGGGGGTTCGACCTGCCAGTGGACTGGTCACTGCTTAGGTATGTTCAGCTCATTCAGGCACGAGAATGTCTGCTGATAGACCTAGGCGACCCCTGTGAGACTGAAAATGACTGCGACGGCAACATGTGGTGCCAAGCCGGCCGCTGCGCCAACCCAACCGGCGGCGGGGCACAGCCCAACTTCCCTATCCCGACCGGCCTCCCTGCTCAGCCTGGCTCTGGGTTTCCGAGCGGCTTTCCCACGGGTTTCCCCAGTTTTCCGACAGGCTGGCCTTGGGGCCCTGGTGGCAATACAGGAGGTTCTACTCCTTGCGTGTGGGAGGGCCACTGTCTTGGTACGTCCTCCCCTTCAACGAAGACTCGATGACTATCTAAGCTAACCTTCGCAGGCGACCCTTGTGAGACAGAGAACGACTGCGACGGCGACATGTTCTGCCAGAACAGCCGCTGCACAAACCCGACGCCCACCAGCCTGCCGAACTTTCCCACTGCTCTACCTAGCTTCCCTGTTTTCACTCCTGGTTTTCCTGGTGGCGGCTTGACCACGATTATTAGGACAACCACAGTCTACGTCACGGCGACACCAAGCTCGACTCCCACTCCGACTAGCTGGACCTGTGTTTGGGAGGGCCACTGCCTTGGTATGTCTTCAACATCCAAGCATGAAAGTTCATGGAGCTGACAAGGCCAGGCGATCCTTGCGAGACCGAGATTGACTGCGACGGCCACTTGGCCTGCAGCGCTGGGAAGTGTGCTGAGCCAACAACAGAGCCGGCTCCCACAAGCGCCTGGACTTGCGTCTGGGAAGGTCACTGCCATGGTATTCCAGGAAAGCAATTAAGTTAAGTGAAACAATACTGACATCAGCTAGGCGACCCCTGCGAGACGGAGATCGACTGTGATGGGCATCTAGCTTGTATTTCTGGCGCGTGTGCTGAGCCAACTCTGTAGCTGTGAGAAGTGAAAAAAGGCGAGTATTTGGACAAAGACTTCGTTTCAAAGTTAAGCATATCTAGTTTCACCCGGACATAGCGCTGCCTCGATCATCTTGTGCAATCAAAACCGAGCTGTGGTACTCTTTCTAGTGCTTGAACGAAAGTGAGCCATTGACGAATGCGCAACTGTTTTGTCCCTAAAAAGAAAAAAACACATCCCAAGCTAGAGCCAAAGTGTGTCTGTAAGGCTCTGCCCCCTGAAACAAAATGCTTGGTGAGGACAAAGACCAGACACCAAAACAATATCCCTTGTCGCGCATTGTAGAAAGACAAAGGACCTTGTAGAACACAATCACACAGCGATCAACAACCAAATTAGAGAGTTTATAAATGGACTGCAATGCTTCACGATGCCCAGAATGCAGAGTGCCATCGAAATAGACAGGTTAACGTCTAAGCAGTCACAATGGTACACATTCCTCCCCAGTGTCCCTTGTGGTTCAAATCTCCGAACGATGACGATAATGCTCCTATCTCCCCTCCCAAAGATGTCAAGGCCTGTATCCCCGACTTCCCCAAGTTCGGCTTGCACAATTGTGGTAACCACCGTTACAACACAGAGAACAAAAACATTCACATCTACTTCCAACGTTTCCAGCGCAGCGTGCTCCGTGGTCAGTCCCGGAATCTCTCGGGCTCGATTGAACTCGCCTGTACCAAGTGCAACACCCTCACTCCCCTTTCTCATCTGCATGATCTGCCCTGCGGAGACTTAGTCTGCCTCGTCTGCCTTCGAAGGCTCATTGCTCGAGTTTATGCAAACATAGCCCAGAATTGGCGGGCGATTCGGCACACCCGGAACCAGATAGATCAGCTGGAGCGGCAGCTGCATGATGCAGAAATCGGGGGAGATCCGGAGGAGACTCCCAGCAATGGCCGTGCCAAGAAGCGCAGACTCTCATGGCCCAAGATCTCGGCATTCACCAACATCAGGCACGAGAACTTGGAGAAGGAGTGCTTTAATCTAAGCAAGAGGCTGCTTGAACTGGCTGGCCTGACCTGCTGTGGTGTGAGCATGAGGCTGGGTCGGCTCCTGGCGTGTCTCCCGCCTGAGACGGCTCGCGACTTGTGGCTCATTTTTCAGTGGGTGAAGGATCCGCCATACAGGCAGCGCGTGTGCGCCTGGCCTGATTGTGGCGCCTACATAGCTGCGTGTTGTCGTTGGGATGTGGGTGCCAGTGGCTACCGATACCATTGTGTGGTTTGTCAGGGCAATTCGCAGGATTGTTCACGAACAATTGAGCAGGAGCAGACTAGGTTCCCTTATTTGCCTAAGGGGCAGCCTGCTCTGACGCCAGCGAGGTAGGCAAAGGGATAGCTCCACATTGTAGATGCAGATAGATGGGCTGGATCTCACATTGTAGGATCTACATTGTATACATCGTAGCGGAAGATTAGTTGAATTATTCGTTACGTGGTATCTTAGATATTCCCATTCCCAACACCAATTGCAGTTATCCAAGAAATGTGTGAGTGCGTATGTCAGTTTAGAAGACAGTGCCCTTGACCTGAGCATTCTTCCTAACGTTAATGTTGCGCATGAGCAGGGTGGCCACAATGGCCAGGACCATGAAGGCCGTGCCAGCGGAGAGCATCCTAGTTTGGGCGTAGCCGTACGCCTTCTGGATGCCGTGGCGGATCGGGTCACCAGCCGGGTAGCTCAACTGGGCGTAGAGATCCTCATAGATGAGCATGAGGGTCTCCTCGTCGGCGACAACATCCGCAGGGAGGTACATCTTGAGCGCCTTGAGGAAGGTGTTGGTCCAGATGGAACCAGAGATAGCAGCGCCGATGGCGCCGCCGGTCGTGCCCACGACGAAGATGAGGGCTAAGGCGGCGGCGACATGCTGGTGGTCGACGACAGCAAGAATCGAGACCTGCTGGACGATGATGAAAATGGAGCCACCGATCGAGATGAAAACCTCGCACATGATGAGGTAGCCAAAGTGCTGGTCGGGGCGACGGAAGTAGATCATGAGACCTTGGGCAAGGATGTAGAGAGGCACGGCAATGTAGAGCAGCCACTTGTAGTAGCCGGTCTTGCGGATGGCGAAACCAACAATGAAGAGCAGCACACCGGAGACGACGTTGAAGGTGTTGTCGATGTAGCCGGCGTGAGACATGCTCAGGTCGTTGACCACCTGCAGGAAGGAGCTGAAATAATAGGCCCAGCAGTAATAAGAGATTTGGTAGGTGGCGCTCAGCAAGCAGGTACCGACGACGCTACGGTCAGCGAAGAAGCGAAAGTTGAGCATTGGCTTCGGCGCCCAGAACCACTCGTAGACGAGGAAGATACAGATAACGACGAAGCCGACGATGATCATGGCAATGATGTAGTCAGTTTTCCAGCCGTTGGGGGCCGTGCTGGCAAGAGTGAACGGCAGCAGGAAGACGGTCAGGCCACCGGCGAACAGGATAACGCCGAGGGCTGAGAGGTCAGCGTGGTTCAATTCAACAACGGTGGAAATGCTTACCATCAAAAGCGATAATGTAATGCCAGATGCTCTCGACAAGAGTGCGCCCACTCGACTCGTGCTTCACCAGGCCCTGCTTCTCGGCCTTGCGCATCTGAATCTTGAGGACGATGTAGAGAGGAGCGGCAACGACGGGGAAGATGATGGAGAAGGCACCAAAGCCCCAGCGCCAGCTGATCTTCTCATAAAAATCCTCGGCAGCCTCGGGGCCGGCGAAGGCCGTGATGATGTACGGAGACGAGGTGAAGGCGTACGCCAAGCCTCGATTCTTGAGCTTGGAAGCGTCGGCCGTCAGAACGTCGACGCAAAAAGTCATGCCGCTGAAGCCGAGGGAATAAAAAACCTACTCAATTAGCTTTTACGCTGTATCTCGAAGCACAGTGAGACTCACATAAGCAGCGCAAAAGGTCGAGAGGTTCTTGCAGGCCGCCATCATGACTAGACCCATGGTCGCAAAGATGGTCATGAGGAGGAAGCCTTCGGCACGACCCCAGAGGTCGAGAATCTTGGACAGGGGAATGTAGCATGCTGCTGTGATGGAGTTGGCGACGATGAAGATTGTGCTGAGCAGAGAGTGCGTCTCGAAATCGCTAGTCACGTAAGGAATGAGCGAGTAGTTGATAGCCGACTGGAAGGCGTTGACAAAATAAAGCAGCCAGATGCTGTGCTGTGTCAGCACACTGATGGTGACATGATTCAAGGCGACTCACTTGATGAAAATCCAGATCAGGACCGGCTTGGACCAGGCCTTCGCGGCGGCCTCAACGTACTGCACACCTCGCTGGACGTCCTCCGAAACATTGTCGGATGGCGGCGACGAGTCGTCAGGAGTGTCAACGGGGATCTTCTCAGTGGTAGCGACGGGGTCGACGGCCTGGGGGCCCTTCTCGTCAGCGACCGGGGCCGTAGCACCCTCTTCCGCAGAGGACTTGCGGAATTTATCAAAGATGGCCATGGCTATGTCCAAAATCAATGAGAAAGGTATTACCCTTGGATAATTGAGAGGTGCGTTGCATCCGCCCCGGAGGCAGCAGCGTCGCTTTTGAGCACTTCCCGCTGTGCCGAAGCGACCTCATCCTCCAGCCGAGCTGCAATACCCTAGAGCTGGTCTATGGGAGAGCTGCAGCGCTGAACGGAGACGGAGCAGGGACTAGCCCCTGATATCAGGAACAATATTGGCCCATCGATCCACGCCGAGCTCGAGGCCAGCCCACGCCGAGCCGACGCCCAGACTAATGCCAAGCCAGCGCCCAGCCCAGCTCTTGCCAGCTATCTCATCTGATAAGATTAGATCCAGCGCTGCGGTGCTTGGTCCTGCCGACATCGGTGCCGTTGTACACAGTTGTGGCTTGCCCATCCGCCGGACTGTGCGATGTCATCAGCAACCGACCAACCACATGGGCTGTTGGCTTAAGCTTCCAAGGCTTTGTCCAAAGCTTCCGGAGGCTTCTCCAGGGCCTGCTCGTGCGCCACACAGCTAGGCTTACCTTAATCTAATCAATCAATCAGATTAGATAAAAATTTTCAACCCCACCGGGCGGGGCACTCGGCGGAGCCTGCACGCACATACGACGACAATTCTTGGAGCTGCATGTGGGGGGATCAGGCAACTGGTGCGTCAAGAGGAGCAGAATCGGCTTAGTTTTGTGCGACTAGAGAAGCTCTTGCAACACTACTGGGATACCGGCCATCGAGCGTCACAGCTTCGAATCCAGCCATTTGGGTGCACGTTTCTCCGTAAACGCCCGGATGCCCTCGGCAAAATTTGCCCCGGCCATCAGTTTCGGGTACCAGCTGTGCTCCAGTGCTGACACCGACTCCTCGACATTGCCGTACTCCCAGCTCATGCGCACGCCCAGCCGGCCGACGATGAGCGCGTCGGGGCTGTTTCTGCACATCTCCCGGGCCACTTCGACTGCAGCCTGTGCGACGTCCTGACCGGCGGGTACGAGACGAGAGACGAGTCCCCAGTCGTGCAGAGTCTTCGCTTCGACCGTCCTCCCCGTCAGCACAAGGTCCATGGTGCGTTGCAGGCCAAGGGTGCGGGTCAGACGCGGCAGACAGCCGGCGACCGGCACAATGCCTCGCTTGACCTCGGGCAAGGAGAAGATGGCCGACGCAGCAGCGATTACCACATCGCAGTTGGCCACCATCTCGAAGCCCCCTCCCATGCAAATGCCATTCACAGCCGCAATGATGGGCTTCTTGCCGCTGCGGCGGGGCAGGCCTGCGAGTCCAGGCGCCGCCATGCTGTTAACCACGCCTGCCCGGTTCATCTCGTTCCACTCTGAGTCGTCAGAAAATTTTCACATCACAGCGGAGAAGTGGGTAGCCCCCGTCAGGTTGGGTGTTAGCGGTACGTACCGTGAAGATCGGCCCCCGTGCAAAACGCTCGCCCCACCCCGGTGATGATGCCCACCCACAGGCTCTCATCGCCGTCAAGCTCGTCCCAGACCTGCGCAATCTCTGCGCTCGTCTCCTTGTTGATACAGTTGAGCTTGTCCGGCCGGTTGATGGTGACCTGGACGATGTGCTTGTCGGGATACGACACGCGGAAGTGCTTGTACTCGCGGGGTTGTCGCGACGCCATGATGGGATGCTTATAGGTAGTTTGGTCGATGCGAGCCTGGCTCAACATCGTATCTGCATTAATGCGGTTCGGGTCTTTATACAGTATGCTTGCCTTCCTAGCAACCCAAGATCCGAACATGCACTACGACCCTGCACATCGCTGCACCAGGTTCCCCGTGCGTGTCGCTGGGGCAGATGGGCCTCAGGTCCCCGGATCGTCTTGATTCAGAGCTCCCCGCTACATGCACAGCCGGGCCCTCCGAGTACGCGGGAGTTATCTGAGTACCGAATCTCCGACCCACTGTTGGTGCATCTTTATGCCATCTTGCGCTGCGACCGAAGCAGAAAGTTGAACAGCGTCCTTCCATCTTTCGTTGATGAAGCCATCAAGTTAGCCACAGCTGAGATGACTTCAACACTCCCCCTCGCCCCCAAGTACCCCCCGGTGAAGCTTCCTCACCCCTTCCTCACCTCCTACCATGTACGCGTCGTTGAGAATAGCACGCCGGCAAGGTTAGTCTTGACGCTCGATGAGCAGCAGCCCAAGGACGGCCATCCGCTCCCGGAACCGCTTCACCAAGATACACTGACCTGGCTTGAGCTGGTCGTGCCCCCGCGCGAACAATGTCCGCCCATCTCGGACAACAGCCCCTGGGCGCGCGCTCGCCGGGCCCCATCGACCGTCATTAACTGGCCAGAGGACAAGGAGCCGTCGATGGCTGCCTTTTGGAACGTCGTCCACGCCATATACCTCGCGCATCCGATCTATGAATACTTTAGGTTGACGCTGGATGGAAAGGGACGAGAGGTGCTCAAGGACGCTCTGCTGGCTACTGGTCTGGCCATTGAGCACCCGGAGCCGCGGCGTTGGGGCAAGGGTGCGAACCCGGATGCGCCGCTCCCGCTCACTCCCTTTGGCGACAAGGAGCTGCTGATCCTCCGGAGTTCTTTCTGGCAGGGTGCTGCCTCGCCCGTCGGTCCTCGCCCGATCTGGGTCTACGGCGATGGCACCGACAGGCATCTGCCAAAGCCGCTCTTCAACTATCCCATCATGCCCGAGAACTTCCACTTCTCTAACAAATTCCCCGAGGAGCCGGTTTACACGCGGCACCCGATCCGCAGGCCCAAGCCGGCGCCCAAGTCGATTTGCTACAGCCGGTACATTCCCGAGCTGGACCAGCACTTTTCACTGGAGGTGGTCGATTGGCAGGACGACGAGCATCTGAAGCTCTTCAACAAGTGGCAGAACGACCCGCGCGTCGCTGCTGGCTGGAACGAGACGGGCACGCTGGAACAGCACCGCGAGTATCTCCGCAAGCTGCACTTTGACCCTCACGTTCTGTGTCTGTTTGGGCGTTTCGACAACACGAGATTCTCTTACTACGAGCTTTACTGGGCTAAGGTGCGTTCTGTCGCTGATTTTGATCTGGACAATACTGACGCGTTTACAGGAGGACCACTACGGCGCACACTACGATGCCGGCGACTACGACCGTGGCCGTCACTCGCTGGTCGGTGATGCCAACTTCCGTGGTGCCAAGCGTGTAAATGCCTGGTACTCGAGTTGCATCCACTACTGCTTCCTGGACGACCCGCGCACGCAGAACGTCGTGGGCGAGCCAAAGGCCACGGGCGCCACGATCCTGTCGTATGAGAATGCGCAGGGTTTGACAATTGGCAAGTATGTTGATCTGGGCCATAAGAGGTCCGTACACTCCATCTGCAGCAGGGAGAAGTGGTTTCAGCTGTGCCCTCTGTGGTGGGATGGCCGGGAGCGCCCGCTGGAGTCTGCGGATCGTGCTGCCTGGAATGCGAGATTGTAATTCTAGTCTGCTTTCTTCGATCAAACTGTCCCCAGATGATAATAGTCAATGTACGATCTGATAGGAATGATCTGGTAATGAACTGCCACGATCCCATGGCATGTCAGCCCGTGGCCGTATGTCCGACGGATTGCGTGCTTGTTTCCCAGCATCTTCGGGCCAACACCGGCCGATTGCCTGCGGAACGGCAATTCGATGGAGCGGTCGGCTCAGTGGGGTGTTGCCAGGACTGGCAGGTGAGGACTTTTCCGTCTGCTCTCGCACGGCGTGGGTCAACTGTCTCGCAGCTCGAACACATGCAACCTGCCCACTCCACTGTCAACCTTGCATCCCTTCATCTGCAAAAAGTGGACCTTGATGGGCAAAACCCTTTCCGAACCCGATGTCGGCTGAATTCGCCCTAAACCGTTTAGGGTTATACTTGGTTCCGCGTCCCAGCGGTTAACGGTGACAAAAAGCCTGCCGGACTGCTTCTCAGTCACGGTCAAGGACATTACTGCCAGTGCAACTGGAAGGCTGACATCATGAAGGTCGCCAGCACACTCGCCGGCTACGTCAGGCTGCTTCTGGCCGGCAATCCGAACACGGGCGACCTGTGCATGCTGGTGGCTGCCATTCTCGCCGCCATTGCCTCCGGTGTTCCTTTTCCCTTGATCGGTATATTTTTTGGTGAACTTCTCAATGACTTCAACGAGGTGTCATGTGCCGAGGACGCCAGCTCGGGCAGCCTCACCGACGAGGAGGCCGACGCTTATCAAGGCGATGTCAACGACAAGATTCTCATGATCGTGTACCTCGCCATCGCTCAGTTCGTCCTCATCTACGCCCATCTCACATGCTGGGCCTTATACGGCTCGCGTCTGGCCCAGCGTTTACGTGAGAGGTATCTCCAGCGACTCCTGCGTCAAGAACCATCCTTCTTCGACAAGCTTCCTCCCGGAGAGGTGGCTTCTCGTCTCAGCGCCGACATCCAGACCATTCGTTCCGGTACGTCCGAGAAGGTTGGCATCTGCCTGTCCAGCGTGTCCTTCTTCGTCACCGCATACATTGTTGCCTTCATCAAAAACCATGAGCTCGCGGCCATGCTGATCTCACTCATCCCGGCCTATTTCCTCATGTCGTTTGTTGGAAGTCACTACATCGAAAAGTTTTCTGGCCTGGTCGCTGAGCATGCTGGCACGGCTGCTTCCATTGCGTCAGAAGCTCTGTCGAATGTCGTTGTCGTCCAGGCCTTCGGCGCCAACAACCGCCTGGAGAAGAAGTTTGCTGATGCACTCGATGCTGGCAAGCGTGCGGGCTTGAAGAAGGCACTGGCTGTTGGTATTCAATCCGGTGTCATGTACTTTATCGCCTACTCAGCCAACGGTCTGGCGTTCTGGCAGGGCAGTCGTGATATTGCCAAGGTTGCCGAGCATGGGCACGGCGGTGCCAGCGTTGGTGCGACCTTTACGGTCATCTTTATCCTGATAGAAGGTAGGTTACGACCCATAAAGCGTTTCAAGAGCTAGAATACTGATCATTGTGACAGCCACTCTCCTGCTCAGTCAGGTGGCTCCTTTCGTCCACCTCTTTATCGCAGCTGTTGCGTCGTTCCGCAAGCTGAAGGAGGAGATGGACCGCGAGTCTCAGATCGACGGCACGTCAGATGCTGGCATCCGTCTGTCGGCTCTTGACGGCTGGACCTCCGGCTTTGAGCTCGAGGAAGTGTCTTTCACGTATCCCTCCCGGCCCGAGGTCACTGTTCTTGACAAGGTCAGCATCCGGATCCCGGCCGGCAAGCACACAGCCATTATCGGTCTGTCCGGCAGTGGCAAGTCGACCATTGCCAGCCTTGTCACAAGAATGTACGACCCAACTAGTGGCCGCATTCTGTTTGGCGGGCGTGATCTAAGGGAAGTCAATGTTCGTGATCTTCGCAGCTTCATCAGCATGGTTCAGCAGGAGCCTTCTCTGCTTGATCGTTCGCTGCTCGAGAATATTGCTCATGGTCTGATCAACTCTCCGAAGCCTGAGCATGCCCACTTGAAGCCGACTCTGCTTAGTTCGGCTCTTTGTGACCTCGCTGCTGAAGTTCGAGACGGCAAGAGTCTCGAGGAAGCCGCCAAGGCACATAGTGCTGAAGTCGAAGAGATCGTCAAGTTGGTCAAGCAGGCCGCTAAGCTTGCCGATGCCGATGGCTTCATCAGCAAGCTGAAACAAGGTTACGGCACGGTCGTTGGCTCCAGTGGCCGCCTCATCAGCGGTGGTCAGAAGCAGAGAGTTGCTCTGGCCAGAGCGCTGATTAAGGACCCCTCTATTCTCATACTGGACGAGGCCACGGCTGCCCTCGACTCGAGAAGTGAGGAGCGCATCCAAAAAGCGATCAGCAATATTTCTGGCAACCGCACCATGCTCACGATCGCTCACCGGCTTTCGACGATCACCAGCGCCGACAACATCATCGTCATCCACAAGGGCAACGTGGTCGAGGAGGGTACGCATGCTGAACTCATGGCCAAGAACGGCACTTACGCCGAAATGGTCCGTCTGCAAATGATGAGCGGATCAACTGGTGTCTCTAAGAACGCTGAACCTAACCAAGAGGTGTCGTCTGTCGAAATTTCCGAGAAGAAGGAGACTTCGACTGAAGACTCGAGCAAGGAGACGGCCTCCATTAGCGAAAGCGAAGGTCCAGCCGCAGAGCCCGCACCTCAAGAGAGTGATGAGCCCGAGACGCCCAAGAAGTCGTTATGGGCGCTCGTCAAGGGCTATTCTCCCACTGTCCGCCCCCATCTTCTCACCATAGCCATCGCGTTCATCGGCTCGCTCATTGTTGGTGGTTCCTTTTCCGGCGAGGCCGTCATCTTTGGTAACACCGTCGACCGTCTCAACATCTGCAAGACCCCTGACAGCATCCGTGATAGCGGCAACCTTTTTTGGTCTTATGTTCTTCGTCCTGGCACTCATCGAGCTGTTTGGCAACATTGCTAGCTGGACCGGCTTCGGCTGGGTTTCGGAGAGGATCGTGTATGCCGTCCGCGTGCTGTCCTTCCGCTCGCTGTTCGAGCAGGACATACAGTGGCATCAGTCGAACGGTCGCACGCCGGCTGTGCTGCTTTCGTACATTACTCGTGACGGCAACGCCCTGCAGGGCCTGAGCGGTTCAGTCATTGGTACGCTCTTCTCCATCACGGCCAACCTAATTGCCGCCATTGTCCTTACTCATATCATCTCGTGGCGCATCGCCCTGGTTTGCTTGGCCTTGGTCCCTCTTCTTCTGGGTTCCGGTCTCATGGAGCTGCGCGTGCTGGGCAAGTTTGAGGAGCGTCACGAAACCGCCTACACTCGGTCAGTCGACATCGGGACGGAAGCCATTGGTTCGATCAAGACCATCGCCGCCTTGAACCTCGAAGAAGAGACTCTCAAAACCTACCGTCGTTCGCTCAAGGGCCCGCGCAAGGAGACTGCCAAGGTGACGCTGCAGGCAAGTTTCTGCCAGGCCATGACTTATTTCCTTGGTAACTGCGTCAACGCGCTTGCGTACTGGTGGGGTGGTAAGCAGATCATTGCTGGCAACGTGTCGACTGCGCAGTTCCTGATTGTCGTGTTCTCCTTGCTTGTCAGCGCGCTGCTCTGGAGTCAGATGTTTGCGCTCGCACCTGAGCTGTCGAGCGCCCACGCTGCCATGGCCAGAATTTTGAGTCTCATTGAGATCGGCTCAGACGGCATGCAGGGCAAGGTGAAGCCGCGGTCCGATGTCAACTCGGAGGAAAGGTCTATCGAGGGCTCGGGCTCGTCTGAGAAGCGGCAGGCAGCACGCGTACAATTTCGCGATGTTGTGTTCGCCTACCCCGCGCGTCCTGACGCTCAAGTCCTGAAGGGCCTCACCCTTGACATCGAGCCAGGTACATTCTGCGCTCTGGTAGGCCCCAGTGGTGCTGGAAAGTCGACCATCATATCACTGGTGGAGCGCCTGTACACACCACAGTCCGGCTCTATCCTGATTGACAATGTCGACGTGACCAAGACCAAGGACCTGTCCTTCCGCAACACGATCGCTCTCGTTCCTCAAGAGGCCATGCTATTTGAGGGCAGCGTCGAATTCAATATTGGCCTGGGTGCGCCACCCGGTCACGAGGCGACCAAGGAGGAGATTGAGGAGGCCTGCAAGCTGGCCAACATCCATGACGTGATTGAAGATTTGCCAGAGAAGTACCAGACATCATGCGGTACGAATGGTGCGAGGTTTTCGGGTGGTCAGAAGCAGCGCTTGTCGATTGCGCGCGCTCTCGTCCGGAAGCCGAGGCTGCTCATCTTGGACGAGCCGACGAGTGCGTTGGATGCCGAGTCAGAGAAGCTACTGCAGGAGGGTCTGGAAAAGGCGACGAAGGGGATCACAGTGATTGCCATTGCGCATCGGTTGAACACGATTCGCAAGGCAGATCGCATTTTCTGGATCGAGGATGGGCGGTGTGTCGACTTTGGCACGCACGAGGAGTTGTTTGAGAGGCAACCAGCATATAGGGCGAATGTTTTGCACCAGACAGTAGCGACATGATAATGATCAAAATAAAGATAATAAGGTAATGACTTATGACAAAGGAATTCGATGATGCTTGATGCTGAAACACTTCTGACTCGGTGGTTGCCTGATGGGGCTAATGCTTGACTATGCCTCAAACGGGTTCAGTCAGGAGCAATTGGTCCAATCACAGGCGTTTTAACATTCCATATCAGGCTGCCAAGATATGCAAACAGGGGCCGACTCGCTTGATGCATTTTCCAGGGTAGCTGCCTAACAAGTCCACAAAGTTGAGCCACACTGCAAAATCAAAGACATGGGAATATATCTTGATCCTACCCTATGAATACACAACGAATTAAGAATTCACAGAAATAACTCAAGACCGATCCTTGACAGTTCCAAACAGTTCCAAGTTCCAAACGCCATTTGAACCTCAACGCCTCCGATTGCCAATTTTGTGACTCCAAGGTATGGTTTCTCCTCTTAGTGATGCTTTACTTTCTGCTTAATGTTTCTCCACAGGTTTTCGAGGCTCGTGAGTCTACGCCTGTATTTCGACTTCGTCTTCCGACTCGAGCCTAAGATCGGGCGTGATGTGGCTTGTATCAACGGGGGCGAATCCTTCACCGGTCTTAGTTCGACTTGAACTACTTCAGGGGCTTCATTGAACAGCGAACTCTCTGGCGAAGCTGCCAGCTCGCTGATCGCAGCAGTGAGATCGTTTAGCAATGACTCGACCAGCTCCTCATCCGACTCGCTGCCCACCACGCCCACATTCAGCACGCCTTTCTTGACAAACGACACAAGCTTCAACGGATACGCGGCATCACCGTGCGGGTTGAGAATGCCGACCTTGCACGACTGGCCCGCGAATGGCATCTCGTCAAAGTCCTCCCAGTCCTGATGGTGCACGATCGAGTTAAAGAAAGTGTGGCCCGACGCTGCCCAGTCGGTGCACTTCTTGGAGATGACGTCCCAACCTACAAAGTCGTACGCCATGGACTCGGCGCTCTGGCGTTGGACAAACTCGAGCAGGTCGGAAGCAGTCCACTGGCTCTGGAACGGGATGCGAATTGGCGTAAACTGGTAGCATGGGCCCTGTACCTTCTCGGCATCCGGCATACTGTCGATGGTCCGGCCTCCGGTGATGCCACCAAATGAGATATCCATCGTCTTGAGCCGGCGAGCCAATACCAAGCCCCAAGCAGCCGAAAGCAGGCTAGCCGTTGTGATGTGCTGAGGAAGCTGCGTGGCTCCATCGATGGTCTTGGTGCGGAAGAGGGCCTTGCCAGCGGGGACAGACTGGCCTTCCAGAATTGAGAGTGAAGAGCCCTTGAGAAGCTTGCTCCAGTAGCTGACAGCTTTGGACAGGACAACCTCATCGCGTGTATGAGCAAGATACGAGGAGAACGGCACCGATCCAGCGGTCAACGAGCCGGTGTACATGGCCTCAAGGTCGCGGAGGAGGATTGGCAGAGAGACACCGTCATACTGTGCGTGTGATAGCGTAATCACGAAGCCCTCACGACCATCTTTGCCCTCGACGATAAAGAAGTGAAGGAAGGGAGCGCCCAGACGAAACGCCCCCTCGGACTCGGCGTGAGCGTTGCAAAGCTCGCGCACAGACTGCTCCAGATCATCAGAGGCGGTATGCTCCATGACAGGAACTTCCAGAGACTCCAGGACGACCTGCAAGAACGTTGACTCGTGCTCGATGAAGACGGTGCGTAGAATGTCGTTTGCGCGCACGAGCTGGTTACAGGCAAAGATGAGTTGTGCCCGGTTGAAGCCACTAGGGCCGGAGAGGAGATAGGTGTACTGGACTGACGTGCGCGGCTTGTTGACCGTAGCGCGGATATCGAGAGCCTGAGAGTCGGTGACCGGGAGGACGTCTTTCACAGTCCACTCATTGTCGGCCAGTTTCGGGCGAATCTCGGCAACAAAGGCCTTCGCGTCGACATCCAATAGTGCGAACGGCTGGTAAACCTTGCCCTGCGGCAGCTCCTGGTTAAACTGGTTAACCTTGAGCACCTTGGCCGCGTCGGCGAGCCGCATGTTGCGGAAGATGTCGGCAACCGTCAGGCCGTGGCCTTCGGAGCGCAGGTGCGACACCAGTTTCATGGCCAGGACGGAGTCCCCTCCAAGCCGGAAGAAGTTGTCACTGGTGTCGATCTTCTCGGCCTTAAGACGCAGAATGTGCGCCCAGGCACGGCGAAGGATGTCTTCAGCGGCCGTCGTTGTTGTTTGCACCGGCGTGATGGTCTCCCAGGCGGTCTGGAACCCAGCCCGGAGAGCTTGCACAGTGTTGCTGGAGATCTTACAGGCAACCTGCTGCAGAAGGGTGCGGTCAACGCGACCGTTGGAGACTGGAAGCTTGTCGACGACCACATAGGCCGAGGGCAGCAGATGGGGGGCGAGCGAGTTCTGGACGAATTTGTCGAAGCGTTTCAGCAGACTAGCGAGCGTGACAGAAACTGTGCCGACGATTGTTGTCTCGGCAATCGTTTGGGGCCCGGACAAGACTTCAACGGTCTTTTCTCCTTGCTGGTCCTCCACAAACAGCAGAACTTGGCGACCTGTGGAAACAGCTGCCGTCGGAATCGACGGGAGCTGGGTCGGAATGTGGACTTCGAGCTCTGTCACGTCGACAGCCTGGCCCTGAGTAGAATCGGAGTCCTTGTATCCGATAAACACCAGATTTCCGTCCTCCTGCAACTTGACGATGGCGCCCGTCGGCTGAGTCTTGCCATTGCGGCCGGGGACCTCGGGACTGCCTGCGACCAGCCAGGCGGGAGAATAAACAACCGTATCGCCAGTGAGGAACCAACCCTCCAACCAGAGCTCACCAGGGCAACCAATGGGCGCCAACATGGTCGGGTTGTGCAGGTCGCACACCCACGGGATGGTGGCCTGAGCATGGAAAGCCTGACCGGGTTGAACGGCACTCGAATTGACCTTAAGCTGGCCAGAGCGGCTGTCAAAGAACATGGGCGGCTCACGGTTCCAGTTCCAGATCTGGTTCAGCTCAGAGGGAGGCAGGTAAGGGACCTGGTTGACCTTGCGGGAGAGGTCCTTGGTGAGCTCGAGGCACGCGGTTTCGAGTTGGCCGAGGATTCTCTCGACCTGGGCAACTGAGACCAATCTGCTATCGAAGCTCGCGCATACCCTCAAGCCGTCCTTAACAATGCCGCATGCTAGCATGAAGGAGTAAGGGTTGAAGTGGATGGCCTCGCGGACCACATCGCCTACCTCAAATCCGAGTTCCTTGGCCAGCTCCTCGGCTGGCTCGGGCTGGATGACGATGCCAGACGGGGCCTCAACCGCATACTGGGCGTCGCGGCTGACCTTGCGAATGTTTTGCATGCCCATGTGTTGGTACGGGGTGCGGGCGAGGACGCTCTGCTGAATCTTTTGCAAATAGTCGCCAACGGCGGTTTGGCGGTCAACGCGCACACGGATCGGCACAGTTGCAATGAGGGGACCAATAATACCTTCGACGCCAGGGAGCGCGATGTCGCGACCAGTGAGCGTCTCGCCAAAGACGACGTCGTCGTTGCCGGAGTAGCGAGACGAGACCAAAGCCCAGGCACCGCGGATCAATGTGGCCAGCGTGAAGGGGAACTTGGCCGCGCTGGTTGATAGAGAAATTTTGCGCTCGACAATGACGTCGGGGTTGGGAATGAAGTCTCTGGAGGGCACGCGCGGGAACTGGGGCCCGATGGCACCCTCAAGTTCTTGACGCCAAAACTCTTTCATGGCTATCTGGTCGGTGTCGTGCAGGAACTTAGCGAAATCGGCCATAGTGCTGGGCGCCGTAGGAACTTGGATCTCCTCGGCACCATCGACGATCTGACGCAAGACATTTCGGACCTTGTCGAGGACCAAAGGCTCGGCCCAGCCATCATACACGGCGTGGTGCAGTGTCCAAACCATATACCGGGTCTCCGTGCCGGCCGGCTCGACAATGGCCCAACGGGCAAGGGCTTGGCCTAGGTTGATCCTGTCGTTTCTATCTTCCACTAAGAAGTCCTCGAGGTCTGCTGTCGAGTGTTTCCAGGGGATCTGTCCATTGATGACGACCTGAAGGAGGGTTGGATGGGCAGACAACTGGACGATCCGGGAGCGGAGGATAGGAGTGTCGGTAATGACGAGGTCCCACGCCTTTTTCCAGGCCTCGACGCTGAAGTGCGACGGGATGCAACTCACTCTTTGCGCAACATAAGGCTCGGGAGATTTGAGCGAGAGTGTTATGTGCGCTTCTTGTGTGGCTGTGCAGGGATAGATGTCTTGGATCAGAGTAGCCTTGCAGCCGCACGCCTTGGCTGCCTCCTTAATCAAGTCCTCAACTGGCTGGTTGATCAGGGAGAACGGCTTGCATTCTTCAGCTTGAGAGTTGGAGAGCGACACGACAACAGCGGCCATTGTGGATAGGGTCGGGTTGCCAAAGGTCTTGATGACGCTCAGGTCGAGCCCGCGCTCTCTACAAACAGACGACAGCCTCATAGCCGCCAGTGAGTCGCCGCCAAGCGCAAAGAAGTTGTCGTTGAGCCGGATATTCTCGGCGTCGAGCCTCAAAGTAAAAGCCCAGGCTTCGCGCAGACGCTGCTCCATCTCGGTGAGCGGTCGGTCGGTAGCGGCCGCTTCACGAGGGGCGGCGACCTGCTCGGCGGTCAGCTGTCTGATGTCAACCTTGGTGCCAAATATCTTGAGCCGTCTCCTGTCAGTCTTGCCCGAGATCAGACTCGGGATGTAGTTGACAGGAATGTAGGCGGTCGGCACCATGTAACGAGGCAGCACCTTGGAGATCTCGGCATCCGCCTTTGACAGCGCTGCTACCAGATGCTCAGGCAGCTGAGTCAGTTCGATCTCCGTGTCCTGGGGCTTAGGAGCTTGAGAACCGGGAGCAACGAATGCCACGAGCGTAGCCTGGCCTTGGGATGAACCCTGCGGCACAATGATTTCGGCGATAATGTTGGCGTCGGAGGGAAGCCTGATGCGGAGCTGACTCTCGATCTCGCCGAGCTCGACACGCTGGCCACGTAATTTGACCTGAGTGTCTTTGCGGCCGACGAAAACGATGCCGCCCGAGCCGTCAGGGTCGTATCTTCCCAAATCACCAGTCTTGTACAGACGACCGCTGCGTCCGGGATACCGGCCGTGGCCCGCCGTCAACCAGCGGGGGTCGTTAATGAAAGCGGCGGCCGTCTTGTCGGGATCGTTGAGGTAGCCCTGGCCAACGATGGGACCTTCAACGAGCAGTTCACCCACGGCACCAAGCGGCATCAGGGTCTCGTGGTCGTTGGGATCCACAATCCAGATGACCGCACCATTGCCGGGGCCGATCGAGATGTAGTCGCGACCGGTCGCGGCACTGCTGTTAACCGTGCAGCCGATTGTGCACTCGCAAGGCCCGTAGCCAATGATGATGCGGGCCTTCTGGCCCCAGTAATTGACGTCGCGCGCCGAGCAGGCCTCACCGCCGAGACCAAGGCCTTTAAGGGAGGAGATGACGTCGAGGTCGAGAATGCGGGCCACCGATGGCGTGATACCGCAATAGTTGACACGCATGCGACGCATCACGCCGTTGATGTCGTTAAGGCGGTCCTCATCGGAAGGAATGCACAGGCACCCGCTATTGGCCAGGGTCAGCATCATGCTGTCGATGCTGACGTCGAAGGCATAGGACGCAAAGTCAAGAACACGCCAATCGTCTGCGTAGCCAACGGCCTTGGCGCGCGGATACGCACTGCTAGTGTAGGTGCAGTGCGAGATCTTGACGCCTTTTGGAGTACCCGTGCTTCCTGACGTGAAGATGATGTACATGAGGGCGTCTGGGGGAACAGGCGCCAGGGGTTCCTTCTCGTCTGGCGAGTTTTCGAAGATGGACGGCTCGACGACGATCTGTTTCCCACCTGGTAGAATTGACCGCGCGAGATCTTGTTGGCTGAGTGAAGAGACCATGACTTTGGCACCCACTTGCTGGCCCATGTTTTGCAGGCGAGCCAGGGGCAGGCTGGGGTCCATCATGACCATGCAGGCGCCGGCCTTCATCACAGCCATGACGGCCACGATGGTCCAGCGCGACTTTTCGAAGCAGAGAGGCACAAAATCGTGCAGCTGGACGCCAAGCTCGTCGCGCAGGCGGTATGCTAGGGCAGTCGAGTACCGCTCGATCTCGCCGTATGTTAAGCTGCCGTCCCACGAGCAAATGGCCTCCTTGTCGGGGTGCTGTCTTGCGCGCTCGGCGATGATCTCGTGCATGCACTGGTTGTAAGTGGGCGGTAGCTTGTGATTCCAGCCCCAGATTTGGTCGAGGTCGTGTTGTGTTGGAACGAGCAAGCTCTGGATGGTTGCGTCAGGGGCCGCAAGATACATCTTGACGGTATCTGCCAGGCCGCGCGTGTACCGCGCGATGGTGAACGAAAGCATGCTGTGGCTGCGCCAGACAGGATACACGTCAAGGCGGCCATCGCTAAAGTTTGCTTCGACATGAAGAAGGGGCTGATATGTTAGCTTGGTCTACCATTTAGGTTAGAGAATGCTCACCTCATCCTCGCTTTGTGAGAGAGTGCCCGTGCTCAGCACGAGACTTGAGCAGCCTGTTACACGCTGGGATATCGCGGCGACGACATCTTCAGCCTTGCTATCTAAGTCCTGCATCACCTCATTTGCGCGCAGGCTAGCTGGTTGTTTATTTTCACTCGCCCACTCGAAGAACACTTGGCCGTCTTCTTGGGTTCTCAAGAGGACGATGAACCAAGCAAAGAGAACGATCTCGGGTGTCAGAGGTGCACCGAGGTCATCTGTGGAAAGACTGGCGACCTCGAAAGCTGAAATTCCGTCGCATGCCCGCTCCAGTCGGGCATCTTGAAAGTGCTGCTGTATTGAGCCCATTACTGTCTGGATGCTCTATCGCTTGTTGTCGCAGAGCGGCTGAGGGCGGAAAGCGGTTGGATGCCGATGAAATCATAGACGCGGCCGGATAATTGCAAGGCATTGCAGGAAAGGATAAACTCCCGCGAGGGTGGGGCTCAGCAGGAGATGGCGCGAGTGTTAATGAGTCCGAGCCATGGTAGGGATAACTTCGTATGTGCCATCTCTAGAACAGGCATGCAGGGTCGTCACGGCGGTGCTGCCACTCCCGTCATGCTCCATGAGACGGATATGGATTGTCACAGTTCTCATTCCATGTGAGCGGGAATGTCGCCGGCGGAGATGACCCCGGATCCAGCCGAGATCGGCCGTTGCGGTAAGACGCTGGCATGCTAGCGCAAGATCGAGGAACCGTTGTCTAGCCTAGCCCAACGCACGATCGGCACGCTCATGTCGACCAAAACCGATGGCGACGATATAGCATGCTCAAACTGGCTGTTCAGATGGGAAACACGTCATGGAACAAACATCGCTACATGTAAGTCGTACCGAATGCACACATGTGCATAGGCAACAATGGTAGCAATTTCCAACGTGCGTCGGTGATGGTGTGATGGAGGGTGAAACCCGAGCGAGCTTCTCTCCGAGCACTGGAGAGAAGGAGGGCAGGGAGTTGCCGGCAACTCGGTGAGTCGACAAACCTTGAGGGGCAGTTCCACATATCCTGGTCCACTTGCGGGCCCTACGGACCCACAACGGATCAGATAAACGAGCCGGTGATGATTCGACAGCTACCAAGACCCTGGGCAGCCACCGTTTGTACACAGTGCGCACCAATACTTCAGTTTTGGGCCCCGCACATCTCCGTCTTTCCAACCAAAAGCTGGCTTGGCGCAACACTTCGTCTTACCCAGGACCGTATCCGACTTTCTTAAATTTGGCGCATGTAGCCATTCAAACTCGTTTTCGGTTCATGGCCCGCAGGGTTTGTGCAACTGGCCGAGGTCGGCAGACTTTGCGAAGGGGTAGCGGGCGTTCCGAGGGAAGTGGAGTGGACTTTTTTGATCGGTTTTGATCAAACTTTTCCTTTTCCCCGCCAAGAGCAGGCTAACCCGGTGGCTAGCCAAGGGTCATTTTTCTTCCAAAAACCGTAGCACTTCGGACTATAATCTTATCAATCTGATCAGTGCCGATCAGAGTCCCAGGTGCGCTTAGAGTGCGTGGTCATTGAAGGGCTCTAGTGGAGTGGAGGCAGGGTCCAACGGGCGACCGATGGCGCTAGTTGCGCGAATTAAAAGCTCGGGACTTCGGCGGGCTTGCTTTTGTTAGGAAGGTACTTGACCGTGTTGCGATTGAATCGGTTGACGACATTGCCATGAAGTCTGCCACGATCCTCAGCACAACTTCATCCTGAGTCCTCTCTGGACATACCGCAGACTGCAGACCTTGACTTCACAGTACAAATTTCCGAAGCACCAGCCAAGATGGGTTCGAAATTCTGGCCGAAACGGGGCTCGCCGGGAATTCTGCACCATTGGGTACGTTCGTACCCTTGACGAGCTAATAACAACTGGCTAACCGGCCCTGTAGACGGAGACCTTGGTGACGTTTGAGTTCACCAACGGCGCAAAGCCCAAGCCTCACAGTATTTTGTTTATTGGTGGTTTAGGCGATGGTCTGGCCACGACGTCTTATGTGGCTGACGTGGTGACAGCGCTGCAGCCGACGTCATGGTCGCTGTTCACGCTGAACCTCTCATCATCGTACCAAGCTTGGGGCTTCGGTCATCTCGACAGAGACACTGACGAGATTGCGCAATGCATTAACTACATCAAGGAGTACAAGAAGGAGAAGTATGGTCAAGAGGGCAAGTTTGTCCTGATGGGCCACTCGACAGGCAGCCAATGTGTGCTGCACTACCTCTCCAAGCCCAACCCGCACACCAGTAAGCCCCCGTTTGACCGCTGGCTCGAGCACGTCAAGCGGCCAGTCGTCGATGGCGGCATAATGCAGGCGCCAGTCTCTGATCGGGAGGCCATTCAGTGGGTGATTAGCGAAGGTTTCATGGGCAAGACGCCGATGGAGCTCCAGGAGACGTACGACAAGCTCGTAGCCATGGCTAAGGAGGCTGTCGCGAAGGATATCAGCTGGGATGTCCCGTTACCGTTGTCTCTGACATCGCAGTTTGGCTACGGGTTCAGCACGCCGGTTAGTGCCCGGAGGTTTTTGAGCCTCGTCAGCCCGGAGAGCCCAAAATCTCCATCCGAGGATGACCTGTTCAGCTCCGACTTGCCCGACGAGCATCTAGCCAAGACATTTGGCATGGTTGGGCAGCGCGGGCTGCTCCGGTACAAGCTCATGGTACTGATGTCGGGTGCGGACCAGGCTGTGCCGAGCTGGGTGGACAAGGACAAGCTGATGGCGAGGTGGAAAGCGGCCGCGAATGCCAATTCCAAGACGCCAGTATGGGATGAGCGGAGCGGGCAGATACCTGGGGCGTCACATGCATTGAGTAATGACGATCAGGCTGAACCACGGAGGATTCTCTGCAGCAAGGTATTGAGCTACATTGCGGATGTTGAAAAGCTCTAGTGCATGGTCGGTGACTCGGAGTTGGGTGTTGGGGCATTAATCATGAGTTTTGATATCCTTTTGCGTAATAAAGATATGGATTCTTGAATGCGTATCTACCTTTGGGCTGCTCCAGAAGCAATTATATCCCTCACGCCCTCTTGTAGCCACAGCGGCCACGATCTAATCCCAGCCAAGTAAGAGCCGTCTTTCGAAATGATCAGCTGGCCGCCTCTTCTCTTCTTGATCTGCTTGACAATGTCGCTTGCAACCTCCTCCGGAGTGAGTAAGCGAAGTCCTTTTCGTTCCAAATTGTCCGCAAAGCCTTGAATCAGGGGTGTCTTGACGAAATTGGGGTGCGCCACGGTTGTGAGCACGTTCGGTGCCTTGTGGTAATGCTTGAGTTCCAACGACAGCGTCTCGTGGAATGCCAGGGCGCCGGCCTTAGTCGCCGCATAGTCGGCCGCAGTGGGCACCGAGATGAAGGACGCCATGCTAGCCATGGTGACGACGTGGCCCTTGTTGGTCTCGATCATGTAAGGCACAAACTGCTGCGTTGTGAACCACATCGACATGAGATTGACGCCCATGATGCGGCGAAGGAATACCTCGTCCGTCTCGAGGATTGTCATGGGCTTGGCGATGCCGGCATTGTTGATGAGGATCGAAGGATGACCGAGTTGATTCCGGACCGCGTCCGCAGCCGCCGCGACTGACTTGAATATCGTGACATCGCAGTGAAAAAAGTGGACGCGTGGGTTTTCTTGAAGGTCCTTTGGCAGTTCTTGTATATCCAGCACCGCAATCCGCACGCCCATACTTGAGAGTTTCTCGGCGATGGCCTTGCCGATGCCGCTGGAACCCCCGGTGATGACTGCGATCTCATTTGGCCAGTCCCAGCCGGGCGCCGGAACTAGCCGCCATGATGTTGCTGCAATAGCGCTGAGTGCCCGGTTTGCCGCCCGTAGAATACCCCAAGCCACAACGACGCGGAGCACGTTGAGCAGAGAGCTCGATTGGTGAGGGGGTGAGATCAAGGCCAAGCCTTGTGGGAGCGGGGAAAGCAGCCGACTGACTGTATCCAAGTGGTAGGTCACCGCAAAGAGAACCGGCACGGTTACGAAAGGCGAAAGCAGCGTTCTTCCGATGGACGCGGCCGCATCCAGTACGAAATAACACAGCCTCGACGTCATGGTGGTTGAAGTGTGGCTGGTTGAAGTTGGCATGTTCAAATAAGCTTTGCTAGATATGCGCTAAGCCAGCCATGTCAAGGCTGGGGTTCGATCCGAGGTTAGTTTCTTGGCGGCCAGCAGCATCGGTCGTTGGCAAGGAAAAACTGAAAGAGGAAACGAAGGAAGAAAAAGGAGTTGACCCAAACAAGATTCAAAAGAGGAAAATCGGAGAACCGGAGGAGAAAAAGTGAACGGAAGAAAAACGATCACAAGAGGAAAAGAAGAGGAAAGATGAAGTGAATATATTTTGATGGTTTTAGGCTAATCGCTAGTGCTAAGAAGAAATTGTCAAAATCTTTGTACTCTTTTGGTCCAACGTTATAGCGAGCAAGCCAAACGTCCGCAAACGTTCCCAACGACCCTATCTAGGTCGTGTTAGTGGGCACTGTTTCCGAAGAGCTCAACTTTTTGACATGATTATGGAAGATCAACTGACTTATATCAATCGAAGTGTATGCTGGCTGGTTGCGACTGTTCAAACAAGTGCAGACCATTATTGTCGTCGGTACCGCCATCTGGCAAGCACCGCAAAACTGCCAGAAGTTGCCACTGTGTCAGGACATTAGCCTGGAATTCATGCAGGGTTGTATAATTCAAACACACCCAGCGCTTGGAACAAGTTGGCCATCTTGTACGCCAATGCATTGACCGAGCTCCAGCTGAGAGAAGAGACGTCTTGTGCCACCGCAGTCGACGCAGAATGCCTGTAATGTGAACTTTAGTGTGCCACCATTGTTGAGTGGAACCACTATTACGTTCTGCGGCCTGTGAGTTTGAGTTGCATCCAAGAGAGATTGAGACTCACAGTGCAAGAGATGATGAAGTTGGCTGTCAGAATACAAGGTATTAAGAGTTGCAAAATATAAGCAAAGAGGTATTTCTGACTCATTTTGATGTTTCTGAACAAACTATTAGCAAAAAGTGGGGAACAGGAACAGCTCTCAAAAGTTTAGTTTGTGGTTGCTTAGAGCTTGAATGTTCTTGAAGAGAGTACTGGTTTTTGTTTTTTCAGTTGTGTTTCATTTCCATCAGGGTGTATGACGTTGTGATGACTTAGGGATTCGTGCTGATGGAGACCCCTTGCTGAGCTCAGCACCCCAGGTCAACCTCTGAGTGCACCAGTTTGCACATAGGGACAATGAACATGTGCAACCATTAAGGTTGCCGCAAACACAAGCTGACATGTGTGGCATGATTGCAAAAGGTTTGAAGTGTCTGCATGCCCAATACAATGTGTTAAAGAGCCTCACTCCCTGCCATAAACAATTCTCAAGCTGTAAATGGGTGCTGCCAGCCTCAATTCCTTTCTAAGATGTCATCCCTGGCTAAGCGGTTCGGCAGATGGCCTTCGCTGGGCTTCATCGAACACATCGTCCAGGGCTGGTTAGCTGAACGATCCAAGGCTTTCTGCTGTCAAAAAGACTGCATGTCAGCAGAGACTGGCATGGCAAACTGTCAGCACTCAAACTTGACCACTGTATGCCTACTACTTGGCTACTCTATAAAAGGCCAGAGTTTGTCAGTAGAGCACTCTAAAAGCGCTTTTTTATGAACGCTTGACTCCTTGCTATCCCGATCGCGCAATATTTCGTGTTTGAAGCAAAACTTGCACAAACCGTGTCGCTCGCCATCATGACCAAGAGGGAGAAGGGGACCAAAGGGCGGGGGCTCCCATGTCGACCATCCAGTGCTGGCACTGCAAAAATCGACGTGAACCTGTCCATCTACATGTGCCCGGATCCTCGTTGTAATACGAGAGCCTTTATATTTTGTGCCTTTCTGGGGTGTGGCTCTCTGGCTCCTCCCCACGCACCTGTTCCGCTCTGGTGACGAAGACTTGTTTTGAGGATGCTTATCTTTCGTTTCTGCTTCGGAGTCAGCTAGTGGAACAGTTTGGTTGGCAATATCAAAATATCAATTTGGGTCACTTATCGCGGAACAAACGGTGTTATCCGGATAGTATACAGTTTTGCCTGTTGTTAGCTGTCTACTGCTGGCTTATATCCCCTTTCCGTTACTTAGCTGCTCTAAAAACACCCTCGCCTTCTCCAGCGGCTCATCGTCGACGCTTCCCAGCCTTGCCCAGCCGTCTACCGCCATGCGAGCATATTTTGTAGCATTGACCCTGTCGCCATTGAGGCGGTGCAGCTCAGCCAGCATGTCATGGTACTCCGGCTCAAGAGGAGGGACCATTTCCCATTCGGCAAACTGCAGCCACTCTTCAGCCATGACGATGGCATCGTGGAAGAAGCCCTCATTCTTTGCTGAAAGAATTGTGTTCTTGAGGCTTTTCATGCGCCGGCGCCAGGACTCAGAATCTTCAAGCTCTGATTGAGAGCTGCGGCACAGTTCGCATCTGCAGTCGAAGCCCCAGTGGTCCTTAAGATACTTTTTACGTTCATCCACGGGCATCTCAAGGGGGACGTCTGTCACGATTAGCAGATATATCACAGCAGCCTGTCAAGCGAACACTTACAACTTATTGTGATCTCTTCGCCGGGTTGAATGGTGCGGTAGGCCAGAACCTCCAGTGTGAGTCTGCGTTCCGAGAACCGATAGTACGCGCTGTGCAAGTTAGCTCTGTCAAATACGTATGGTGAGATACATACTTCGGTCGACACGCGTGGTTTATTCTCTGCAAACTGTTAGAGCAACATTTCAAAACGTTGTACGGAAAACGTACCGCTAACTGCGTGAACAAGCCAACATGGACCTCATCTGCCAGCATCACTGTGTGCGCGTTTGGGCCAAGAATCGCATCTACTTGATACGGCGAGCCGGCTTGATGCAGGCCGTAAATTTGGTTTTTTGTCTCCGCTCGGAGTTGGTTGAAAGCTTGCTTTATGATTCGCCGCCGATGATGAGGTTTGGTTGTGGTGAGGAACGAGATGCCAATTAGAACTGCCGGCATGTCGACTATGATGATTTCTCCACGGCGTATTTTTCGTGTTGCTACCACTCCAAGCCCCTTCCCTTCCATCGGCACGATATCATAAGCAGGTTGTGAATGACGTCGTGGTGAATCTTCAAATGCGCCGAGGCCAACAAGGTGCGAAGCAACTGTAGTTGATGTGACTAGGCTGATCCCGTGTCCGTTGCGAAAGTTTGTGGATGTGAACAGGCAGTTTATCTGCGTCTCATTTTCTTGCCTGAAGCATTTTGGTTGGTATTCCCACGAGATGACATTATTCTTGTCCTCAATAATTCCAATCCGGCCAGGGACTGGGCAAGTTCGAGCAATGTTTTCTTGAAGCCGGCCAAATGGTCGGTGAGGGCATTGAGTTGCAGAAGCTCTGAGAGCAAAAGCCAGGAGAATCCAGATCAGCAACAACATGACTGCCTTCTTCCTGTCCTGAGAGAGTGATGGATCTAAGTGACTTATTTCCACTGAAATGAATATGCAATCTGTCCAAACCGTCGGAAGATGCCGTCACCCTTTCGGAACTTGGTGTTGGATGCTACATCACTCGGCTAAATTGACACTGCCGTGCAGCACCCGCATAAAAATGGGCGAATAATTTATTTATATATGTATATTTTCGACCGTTTCACCACTGGGGATACTAAGTCGTGCTCACGGCGCTGGCGGGCAAGAGCTCTAAGATTTTTAATCACAGGTAACGCCGGAGTAAAACTCGCGTGGGAGAAAAACCGACGTGAGATATTGAAGGCTGTCACGTGGTTGAGTGGAGGGATGTAGTTCCGGGGAGCCATGTCCGGCCCTCGGGTTCGAAGGGGGCTTTGGGGGAAGAGGTTGAATGTGGAGAGAGGGAAAGCCGTTACTGGGCAGGGTTCGCAGGCTGCCCCCAGAGTTCGGCCCGGGAGACTCTAAATTTGAAGAGTTGGAAGGGGGATCAGAAGGCCCTCGGGCCCATCCTTCCCGCGCGTGGGTTATCGAGAGAAACAAGAGGGCAGGAGAAGACATGTCTCCTGGAGACCACTGCCCCCGCAGGGACACTTTGACAACCTCCGGCGGGTGGTTGAAGCGCATATGGTACTCCAAGAAGTCGCCGTGGCCCGAGGCTTCAGCAAACCAGCGTAAGAGGCAATGACGGGAGAACCTCTCAAGGAATGGTTTAGCACTGTGCGCAGCCCAGTAGGCCGAGGGGGGTTTGTTAGTGCGCCACCAGCTACGCATATCCAGGCCAGGCACTCGTCGTTTCTGGGGGAACAGAGGGGAGGCCGAGCCACGCCCTGATCCCTAGGTGCTTTGGCTCCCATAAGGGCTTAGCCCTGAGCCCGGAGGCCGTTTGGTGCAGACATACCAGCCCCGGTAAGGGGGCCAAGCAAGTCTAATCCACAGAGGTGGTTCGCCGGCAGCACCTCTGCGCGAGCTCTCTACCTTGCTAGCTCTCTGTCCAGCAGGTACTCTGGGTAGAAGCCAACTAGCCACCAGTGCCACGCGGTCGGGATTGTCCGCCACACCGGGTAGATCACTCTGAGTGCCGCGTTCGCGACCTTGGTGAGGGACGACCACACCGGCGTAAGTCCAGATGGGACTAAGCGGCCGTTAACCGCGGCCCTAGTTGGGCCGGTATCGAGTTGGACCATACCATGCAGGAGGGAAGGTGTAACAGGTGACTTGGTCTAGTGCAGGCAGGGATCGACAATAGGTCAAATGGGTTAGATGATGGCCACTGACGATGTGGGGTGCACAGCGAAATCAATTACTACGTGTAATAATCTTTCTTGGTCCTCAGTGTTCTTGTGTTAGGGAGAGGAGGAACCAAGGGAAGTCTATCATGACCGGGCAGCTTCCTTTATAAAATCCTCATCATGCCTCGGCCATATGGTTCATTCTCTTCGGTCATCCGGCTCTAGACATCTTCCGGGATCAACCACGTATTTGTGCCGCTCACAATCATCCTGTCTCTGGTGTCCCTCGTGTTGGCAGTCGGGGACATCCCTTTCCTTGGACTGCCGTGTCCATGTGACAGAAGGGGTGACGACCGCGTCGAAGATCTTGGGGCTGGCCGAGGGGGGAAAGTCTCGGAGCCTCGTGTTGGATAAGCGCTTGACCAGCCCCACCACCGATGCTGTCGCCGCCGCCCTCGCGGCTGCTTGGGTCGCAGGGCTGAGCTTGCGGCCCAGGGAGACTCCAAGTCACTTGACGGACTTAGCAGGGAGGAAGGACGTCCTCTCCACCTGAGTCGAGATCGTTGTGGGGTCGATCCTGCCACGCCTCGCTCCGGTGCCGCGGGGGAGGATGTAGAGGACCTCAGTCTTGTTCGGGTCGACCTTGAGGCCGAGCCCTCGGGCCTTGGTGCACAGCTGATTGACCCTAAGGGACGTATGGTGGGCCAGTTGTATTAGTGTTTGCTCCACGACAGTTGCGCATGGTCGTCCATGTACATGAAGTTGGTCCCTTGTTGTGAGGGGGTAATTATCGGTAGGGAGTACAGGACGCAAAGGATCGGGGACCTTGGGGAACCTGGTGGGAGGCCGTGTCCGAGCGGAAGGACGATTGAGCCCATCGGAAGGAGAAGCAACGGTCCTGGCAAAAATCCGCCGCCGCTTCACACAGCCAGCGTGGCTAGCCTTGATCTCTCGGGACCTCGCGAAGGATTGACTGCTGAACCGAGGGGTAGGCCGAGTCGACGTCTAGAGTGACGAGGAGCCCGTGGTAGCCTTGTCTTGCCATGGTCTCCGCATCGTGGACAGGATGGCTCCGGCCACGTCTGGGGGAAGCAAACCCGAGCACAGCGCCGCCGCAGTCATCCGCCGGCCAGGAGCCTCTTCACTCCCTTGCCGAAGGTCGACAAAAGGGTAATAGGCCGCCAGCCTTTGTACGACCGAGGGTCCCTGCCAGGTTTCGATAGGGTAATGACAGTTGCCTGCCTGAAAGCTTGGGGAAAGACGCCCAACGCCATGCAGCCTTCGGTGATAGCTCGAGCTGCCGGGCGGACGAGCTCCCAAGCGTGTCTGAGGAAGGCTAATGGCACCCCGTCCGGACCGGGAGTGTTAGACAAGGCTCCGAAGAAGGCGTCCTTGAGCTCCTCATCACTGAGTGGGGCAGCCAGCCGCGTCGGCCATTCAAGGGGTAGCCGGGGGCCGAGCCAGGCCGGGCGGGGGCCCTCCTGAGCCCCGGCAGGCCGAAAGGCCTGGGTAGCTAGGTACGCTGCCACCTGCTCCGTGTCCGACACTACCCTACCGTCGACGATCATAACCATTGGTCTGTTGTCAGGGGCATCTTTGCGCCACCTCAGTATCCTTCCCCACTCTGCCGAGGAGGTGGCAGTGGAGATTCTTTCCTTGTAGAAGTTGACTCTAGCCTCCTTGCAGAGCTTTCGATATACCACCGGGTTGGTCTCCCTGGCTGTGGCAAGTCCCTCCGACCACCACGAGGCGCTCTTATTGTGCTTGCCGGGTCGAATGGAAAAGCGCCCCGCCACACCGGCTAGGACGTCATAAACCGCCCAAGCGAACTGTTCTAGCTCCTCCCGAGAGGCGAAGCTAGCCGGGGCCGGGGGAGGAGGGTACATAGTAGGTAGGTCGCCTCCTCGAATCGGGCCATGGGGAGGTGCTTCGGTGGGAGTCGGTTAGGAGTTGAATTGAGTTGAATTGAACTGTATTTTCGACACGTTTCACCCTTGAGGGTGCTTGGTCGTGCCCACGACGGCGGCGGGCAACAGGTGATTACAGGTTGCCTAAACCATACTATATACACGCGGGAAAACCCAAAAAAGGGAAAAACGGTGTGGTGCTGCGAGGGGATATCATAAATGAGAATGGGGAATGGGCTAGGTGGGGAGAATCCCCGGAATTTGAATATCCAAGCTAGACATTTTTGAATCTGATTGTGAGTCTCTGGGAGGGTGACGGTTTTGGGGCGTTGTGTCAAGCGAGGAGAGGAGACAGGGCGGCGCAAGGTGGGAATTGTTAGCCCCGTCTGTTCATCTCGTGCGGAGCCGTGAAGCTTGAGTCGTACTCTCTTGTTCTCAAAAAGTTGGTGAGAGTACCAAAAGGCTCTGGGGTCCAGACGCCCTGCCATAGGGTTATTGAAGGACACGAGGGGACATCTCAGAAAATGGCATCTGGAAGCTATCGAACCACAATGGCAGGTTTTAAAAGCACTCGGGGGGTGGTTGGACCTGACATGGTACTCTAGGAAGTCTCCGTGTCCAGATCCCTCCGTGACTCATCTAGCCAGGCACTTTTTTTCGAAGAGAGCGAGGAAGGGTTTAGCTGAAGGGCCATCCCACAGGCTGGACTGAGGCTTGTTCGACCGCCACCATGATGCTAAGTCAGGGGGTGGGATCTTCCGTGGTTTGAGAGGACTTGGGGGTAACCCTAGCCAAGCCCGAAGCCCGGGTCGCCGGGGCTCCCAGACAAGGCCCGGTTGGGCGTCGGCGGCTAATTGGTGTAGGCGAGACCAGCCTTTGTATGGTGACTGGAGTCTCCTCCAGAGGGGGTGGTCGGGCGGTAAGGTTCGAACTCGAGCTCGCCATCTCTCTCTTTCCCGCTCCAGCAAGTACTGGGAGTAGATCCCGGCTATCCACCACAACCATGGGGTTGGTTAGTACGCCACACCGGAAAAATAGCCCTCAGAGCAGCGTGTGCGACCTTAGCCAGGGCTGCCCAGATTGCTCCTGGATTTGATGGGATTAGTCGTCCCCTGATTCCAGCTCTGAAATGGCCGATGTCCATTTGTACCAGGCCATATAAGAGGGAGGGCACCACGGCCATGTTAAACATGACGGGGCCAGCTTTGGGAGGGCCCCTAATTTTGGTGTTTGACAGTCTTTTGATCAGGCCCACTGTAGACGCCGTGGCTGCAGCTCTGGCGGCGGCTTGGGTCAATGGGGACAGTTTCGTGTCCAAGACCACCCCAAGCCACTACAAAAGTTACAGTTGAGTATGTATCGGGCCTTGCTTTACCAGCTCATTGACCAAGTCCCTGGGGATGTTCCACAAAGCTTGGCTTCTACTATCAAAAAAAAAGTCTTCAAAAACGCCGCCCTTTGGATCCAAAACCCATTTATCCCGGATGGCACATATCTGAGTGTGAGGAATATCTCTGGTCCCCTGTGCAACTGTCTTTACGGAAGGGGGATGTCTGAATAGTTATTGATGCCTTGGATGAGATCGAAGGCGACGGCGCTGATAAGCTTCTCGATATCAGCCTTTCAAAGTATCGCGAGCTCGCTCAGCTTGCTGCAAACAGCTCATTCGGACAATTGATGAAAAGCTGAAGGAAATTATGCGGAAAAGTTATGAATTCAAGTTGCGCATATGCTTAGCATGTCGCGACTTTCCAAAACTCCACGTGGAAATGATAGACTCTGTCCAGGTTCATCTGTATAACCAGCCTGACATCGAAACCTATCTGCGGAAAGAGTTTGGATCTGAGTTACCGGAAAGAGCCCTCAGAATGATTATTGCCAGGGCTGAGGGTGTTTTTTTCCGGGCTCGCCTAGTGTCAGAGAAAATAATATCAGGAAGGCTTTTTGCTGACAATGACAACGAAATTATGCAAGACATAGATGATGTCCAGAGGACTTAGGGGAACTATATATGACGATTCTTGAAAAAGTACGTCCTTAAGATAGACCATTGCTCTTTCGGACCGTGCAATGGATTTGCTTCGCAAAGAGACCACTCAGTATACCACAACTACGAGATACCTTGTCTAAAGATCATTTTATGGTCATCTTTTCTACTTTTAAAGCAAGTTCGGAAGCCCGCGTGCTTGGGCTCAGATGATACAGAATTTCGGGACAAACTTTATCATCTGGCAATGAGCTTCGGGAAATAACTCACAGTGGCACACTTCAGTTTATCCACCAAACCGCCAAAGATTTCTTTATAACATGGGGCTTGAATAAGCTCCAGAGCACTGTGTCAGACGAGTCTACTCAAAGCTCTCCAACCGAAAATCCAACTCTCAGTCATCATTATATGTTGGCGAGGATATGCGTGCGCTATCTTGCAACCGAACAAATCAGTCAATTCCTCATGGATCTCCGTGATCAACTACCTACTCACTGTCGTAGCAAAGAAGACTACATAGCATATCTCAATGAGTTGGAAGTGAGTCATCCATTCATGTCTTACGCCGCCACTCACTGGGGTTAGCATGCCTGTTCCAGTAAATTCTCCGGCGTATCTCAAGAAGATCTTTGCGACTACTTTTACTACACTCCAAATACGAAATCTAAACATGCTCAAATCGTGGAAATACTAGCTCTGTATCAATCTGCCACAGGTGTTGGAGATGCGGAATCGATTCCATCAAACCGTTCGATGTTGACCCACCTTCACCTGTTTGCTCAATGGCGACTAACTACGGCAACTAAACGACTGCTTGAGCAGAAGGAAGATAGCGCTCTAATGTCGTGAACAAAGTTCTATAACTGGAACCCTATATCTTTTGGATGGCACTATCTTTACAGATCCAAATCACTACGGCCCCTTATCTACGGAGACCTTCAATCACGAAGGCAATATCAGCGGATCCATTTAAACTGATGATTGACTTTGCTTGCACCTTTGCAACCTCTACAAGTGACCCATTAAACCAAGCACGTTGGTATCCATATGGTGAGGGCGAGAGGTTCTAATGAAGGCCCTTACCTGCTTGCTGCTGTTGACTACGGTCTCTCTGACACTGTCAAATCGATAGTCTTGAAGACAGATTATCGAGACATCAATGCTCGGTCCACTGTAAAAGGACGAAGAGCAGTTCATATGGCTCCTGACAGGAAGTTCACAGATATCCTACAAGTCCTCCTCAACCGTGGTCATATCGATATCAATGAGCACAATCGGGATGGAGAAGGCCCACTTCATAGAGCCATGGATTTCTTTCATGATACAGCTCTGGAAATGGTTCTTGGGCATCTCGCAGTGTCGGAGCAGGATATCGAGGTCACCAGAATGCGTCTTGCGCATGAAAAAATCCATCCCGCTATCCAGGACCGGTGCGGCAACACGCCAATTTTTAATGCAGCAAAGAGGGGAAATGCAGACATTGTGAAGATGTTCCCTGCATCTCCGAACATTAACATGTGCTTAAATATACCCAACAATGAGGGCTGGACAGCCTTGCATGCCGCCGTGTGTTACGGCCACAAAAGTGTTGTCTAGATGCTCCTAAAAGAGACTAGCATAAATGTCAATGTCCGGAGTGTGTATGGAACAGCATCATTTCAACTGGCTGTTGCGGAAATCTAGAGGGCATTACTCCACTGATGACTGCGGCTATAAATCTACGGAGAGATTGTGTAAAGCTGTCACTTGTTAGGGTTAGGGTTAGGGTTAGGGTTAGGGTTAGGGTTAGGGTTAGGGTTAGGGTTAGGGTTAGGGTTAGGGTTAGGGTTAGGGTTAGGGTTAGGGTTAGGGTTAGGGTTAGGGTTAGGGTTAGGGTTAGGGTTAGGGTTAGGGTTAGG